TAATTTAATAGTAGCGAAGATTATCACCGGCCCTGCAGCTGGTGAATTAGCTCATATACCAAGAATACCCATGATCCCTACTGATTTGCCTATACCCTTCAAAAGGCTCCAATTGCCAGTAAAAATTTCTTCCGCACCAACAATAAACAAATCCCAGGGCCAAACATTCAAATTAGTAGGAATTGACTTACGAAAAGAATGTTTAACGCATGGGCAACTTTACGTTGCCCTATCACGGGTCGGGGCTCCCGACCATCAGTATATTTTGTTACCTGAAAATAATTTAACGTCAAATGTTGTTTATAGAGAAGCTCTACAATAATCGCTTTAGTTATCTATCCTATAACAACGGGTTGCACTCGGGGACTGCCGGCAGAAGTGAAAATTTAGTATTAATTACATTTAAATATTTTCCTAATTAACAACTTTAACATCCACAGAAAGACAATCTGTGCAGCCTGCGGATAATTACTGCGTCGTCGATGTTAGTGTCGGTGTCTGTGAATTGACCTGGGAATCATTTTGCTGACCGTGTCTTTCCTGGGTAGGCTTTTTGCAGCGGTAACCGACATCAAATAAAATCACCTACGGTTATAGTGGCGATGTTCGAATAACTTTTTTTTTATTAAGTAGGTATGTTTATGTTTATGGTTTATGTTTTTGCATTTGAGCAGGTTGGTTAACTGGTATAGGTCTGCGATGGAGTAGTAAGCGTTTGGGGCGCTGGTGCTGTACGTCGCCTTTCGCGATATTGGGTATGGGTTAGTAAGAGTAAAAAATAGTTTATTTGTACTAAAAAAATAAGGACATTATATTATTATAGTAGGTACCTTATAAAATTATAAAGGTGAAGTTTTGGAACGAAGTTACTTATCGCGCATTACACGCTCTGATAGATCACGCGGATGGGAGCAAGACCGTAACATTTGTGACAAGACTGTTTTCCGACACATTATAAAAATACTCTAATAATTTTTTTTGTAAGATACCTTAAACAAAATTTATAAATGTAAGATTTGTCAAATGGCACAATGAACTTCGTTACTATCGGGCGTCCCACGACACATCACAGCTTTTTGTATTATTTTATATTTCACTAAGATTAGGTACAGAATTATTTAGAAGTTTATAGAACAATTTTACATATTATTTGTGAAGTATGAGGAAAAGATTTAGTGTAATACAAAGTTCTAAAAAAAAATCGTGAAACATTTCAGTTCGGAACACAGTGCTGTCTTTGTTCGATAATTATTGCATACTAGCGATCCGCTCCGGATCATCTATATTAGCATATAGTAGCATCTAACATCGTAGCATCTATATTGGATCCGCACGGATGCAAATTTGGTGCTACTAATACTACTAATGTGGTGTCAGTGTGGAGTAATTAATTATATTATTATGATAGGACTATACTAAAGCAGATCTTTAAACGCAAATATTTATAGGCCCGATCCGATCCTGCCGGACGCTGCCACCCAGGACTGACGTACGGCTCGACGGTTGTTGGGACCCCATATTTTAAACCTCTAATATCTTCTAAAATATTCATTTGAATGATATGCTGTAACGAGTAATTTTAATCTACATTAAATGCACAATATCTAACGTATTTAATTCGATAAGGAATAATAATGTATTGTTTAAAATAGCTTCATAAGTAACTCATTATTGTTTTGTAATATTTAAAAGATAAAAATGGTTACTGTGGGTTTTTCTTAGGAGATAGACATATACCATCGCGGACTTTTTTATAGATCTTTTAAATATATACAATTCCGCAGTACCTTATTTTGTTCTATCTCGTAAGATTTAGCCAGCGTTTGCAATGTAAGCGCACAAAGACATGTGTGTGTTCGTGACCACTACGCACCCCTCTCGCGGATCGCACCTTTTGTGAGCATAAAGGTAATCAAAAAAGAGAAACTGGCTTATCAGAATGTTACTTCTCCCGATATCTACTTCTCTTTACTTACTTCTTAAGTATTGACTTGACATACATAATATTGATTGATTGATGACTTGACACATAAATATAGGTATAATATAAAATGAAATAAATTAGTTTAATATCACAAAACTTTACTTACACTTACAAATGCGGTCATTTAATATTGAAACTATCCATAGTACCTAGGCATATTCTAGATCCTTTTTTGTAACTTTTTATATGCATATGATAAACAGGCTAAACGAAGCATTGCATCAATTTAAAGCAGCCAGTCATTTGTGAAATCAGAAAATCGTTGTAGCTTAAAGCTTGAGTTTTATCTACACTTATTATTATTTATTATTATTGTTAATAATAAGTAGGTACCTATATATAACTTATAATTTTAAAGCTATAGAAATGCGACTTGCTTTTAACTCATTTTGTTTCTAAAATCGCTAACTATCAGTCTTGTTAGTTAACTCGTTAGCGCTTTACAGTTGACCTATTTTCACGATCCTTGTTTACACTCCGTTTCACAAAAGATTTATTGGCACATTGCATAATTGATAAAAAAAGGTTACATTGATAGTCACATTTGCTCATGAGCAACTATTCCAATTACCCATCGTACGTAAAGGACAAAGTTATAGCTGCAATGGAGATCTTTAAATGTTGCGAAAGAACGTGGACATGTCGCATAAGAACTGAAGGCCAATTCTCGTAATAAAAGTTCGGTCTCAATTCAGTTCCGATCAACTTTCGATCTTACAACTATCATTAAAGGTATTTTCGTAGTAAAAAAGTAAAGTAAGTATTACTAAGACTATCAAATTAACGATTCAATTTAGGGTTACAATACCTTCGATATAATCACATCACAGTCAACGTTGATGCTTAATAATTTACTACGAAAATACCTTTTATGATAGTTTTGAGATCAAAAGTTGATCGGGACTGAATTGTCACCGAACTTTTATAACGAGAATTGGCCTTCTGATGGTTTCACAACGTATCTAAATTTTACACTGGAGGAAAGTGAAGAATATCGGGAGCAGTCTGGATGCCGGGACTCACAATAAACGACAACTTCACAGTCACTTCTTCAGAAAGAAAGAACATTAACTGCGCTGGAAGGCTGAAATATTTTACTCTCATTTCTCTCATTTAGAAGACATCCGCCACACGAGGACGTCACCTTCTCGCGTTAGGCCTCCGTAGCGAGTGGAGGGGAAAACCGGCCACCTGAGACCACGCTATATAAGGACGGCATGAGGCATAACGGCTGGTAGCGAGAAATCCTCTTCGATGACTGAAATGAACACCCAACCCTACGTTGACCAGTGTGTGCTGAGCTGAGTTCAAACTACAGTGCAGTGGGGACAGGCGCAAGTCAATTTACTACTAGCGATCGACTGCTAGTACCTCCCTAAGCGGATGTGCCTAGTCTATTACTGTAACTTATAGAGTAATCTCCACTAGAGCTGCAGTTGTAGCAACTGCATTTTTGTGTACACGCACTAGCCTCAATCTTTGCAGGTATCAGAAAATAAAGGCAAAGAAGTAGTGACAATTACGTAATATAAATCCTAGATGTCAACCTTAAGCATCTCTATAGAATTAAGGAATTGTTTATTTTGTGTGAGTATGTGCATATTTACTGACAGAGTTCTTTTTTTGTTAAGTATACCTATATTTATTTATTTTACCTTAACCTCGCGCTCCTAGGCACGTGCCTACTTTGCCTTTGGGTTAATCCGCCGCTATGATACCGGCCGCAGCTTTCCGATATCATTCCACACGGCACAACATCCATCTACATCATTTAGATAATTGGCACTCCATCGAAAGAAAGAAATAAACTTTTTGCGCACAATTAATCTATGGAACAAATTTTACTCCAGCACAAATTGCAGGCGTCAATGGGCGGCGATAGTCACTTTCCATTAGGGGACCGATTATTTGCCCCTAAAAATGTGGAATAAAGTGGATAGGTAAAACACTTGACACTTATTCCGAAGAAATAGAGATAATAATATTCTACCACATTTACACAACGCCATCTAGTCCCAAACTAAGCAGAGCTTGTACCATGAGTACTAGACAAGTGATATAAATACATATTATTCTTTTTTTTTTGTAAATACATATATATTATACATAGGCACACCCTGACTAAATCAAACATTAAATGTTTATGCAAACAAATGTTTGACTTAAGCGGGAATCGAACCCGCGACCTTTGGTATAGCAGTCCGTTACACAAACCACTACGCCATCCAGTCGTTAAAGTTGAGATTGTTCGTCATGATAATAATCAAGTGCAAATAAATAAATCAAAAATGATGACAGTATTACATTATTCGATAAGATATCTTACGCAGGATGTTAAACATCTGAAAACAGTTGTAGGTTGTTATATAATAACGATAATATGTTTTTTTTATTTTAATTGGCGAGACTATTCTATAGAATGAATTTGAAAAACGTAGAAATAAAAACCGATAGGTAGGATAGAGCATTCGTCCGGTCCATTGGTTTTTCTTTTAATAAAGTATGTAATGACCACTATATTCGAGCCTCTGTTTCTGCCTTTTAATTTTCCTTTTAGTATCGCTTTCTTTTTGCACCAGAATCCTTTTTTAAATGTAGGTACCATTGGTAGATAATAATTATTGTGTCAGATCAAGACAGGCTAAAGTACTTACCTAAAAAACACTAGCCTAGATAGAAATCATGTTTTCTTAAGTTTTAACAAAAATTTTCTGCCTGCGCAGTGATACTGTCTACCTACTTACTTAACTGTCATTACGACTCAAAAAATGTATAGGTGGTTACTCTAATTAACAAGTTATCTAAATCCATGACAACTAAGGTGATATACTCAATTGCATTTACAACTCTAACTTGCAGCGTTTACACATAATACTTATCTCAATCACAAAAGTCTCATTAACCAAAAGCCCTCCAATAAGATTTCCCGTACAAAACATAAATAAAGTTGTACATACAAGAAATCGATTAGTTGCGCGCGCCGCTATTATCTCCAGTCTAAACCAGGACTGAGTTAATGAAAATATCGTCAGCTGGCTTCGAACTACCAAAAGGTACTGTTTGCTATCCGTTTCTTTCTCGTAAAACCTTGTTTGAGACAGATAATTTGCTTTTGAAACTATAAGAAAATATTGTTTACGCCAAGTTATCTTTAACTGAAAAAAATGTTTCTCAAGTGATCTTAAGTATGTGTGTCTAAATAAATTGTCGTCAATAATTATTGCTTTTAAATAGTTCAAAGTTGTGACCTATTTATGATCCTTAAAGTGTTGGGTCCATGTTTCCGCGTTAGCAACATGAGTGATAAGTGAAAAGTGCTGTAAACTCTTTTGTTTAATTAGGAACATTTTTTCTTTTTTTTCATGAAGCAGTCAGCATGCCAGGCGCAAGGCATAAAATATTGGGGCATGTGCTCTCTGGTTTCTGCCACAAAGTGAATCGTCGTAAGCCATTGTATGGCGACGCGATGGACACACCACTCAACCGATGTCTCACGACCTTGGATATAACGTTACTGGGTGAGAAAATTAATTAAAATAACCCATGTTGCCAGAAGTTCATTTATGACCTCACCGCCAGAGTTCAGAATAAATATCCACCATTACTCTTAGTGTCCCCTAAAGCTGGTTTGGGTGAATACTCTGTCCAAGATAGTATTTTATAAGCTTTAATTAAATACAGACCTTATAAATGAAATAGGTACCCGAAAACAAAATTACTAACGGTGTGTAGGTGCTTTTGGTGTTTCTTATTCAAAGGTGTGTACGCCAATGGTACAGTAAAATCAAATTAAATAACCAACATCAATGACATACTTATACAAACAAGAGGATTAACTAAACTAAAAAAATAAAGGTTAACTAAATTCTATCTGTAAATTAAACAAGCCTAAAAAACTAACATAAATATAACAATACTATTACAATAATACTATAACAAGACTATTAAGCCTTTAAATGTAAAACGAACAGAGTTTCAATAGTCGATAGTTCTTTAAAGTTAAAGCTTCTTTCTGCTTTAAAGCTTATGATACTGTTACAACAGGGAAATATTGGTATACTTTCACGTTAAATCAAGTCTTTTTGACGAGACTGGCGTGATGCATGAATCACTTAATTAGCCTTAAAACCCATTAGAGACAGTTTAACTTTATTTAGGTTTTTATAAAAAGCTGTGTCCAGAAAGTATACCTACGCATAAGTTTGCATTCATCGAAGACGTATTAGTAAATCTTATGAGATTAACTTATGAAGAAGTGATATCGTATTTAGAAAACTTTTTGATTTCTATGAAGACGTCAAGTGGTAGATTTTACAATCTACCACTTTAGCTAATCTCATCTTGGTCAAGCATATACTTTTCGATAAAATTGATTCAATCAAGATCTGTGTTGCTTGTCATTGTGTTGTGAGATTAAATTGGAAACCTGTCATTCTTATCGTCATTGCGTTTTGTCTTTTTCGGGTCGATCTATGGACCCAAATCGAATTTTTTAAACTGACTATCGAATGATATAAGTAATACCAGCCGTGGTGGGAAAAGGCCCTCAAACACTTCCTGCAGTAAGCTGACTGGAGTCTACGAAAGGGGGGACCCGATCTGCGGAGCTTTTGTTGTAGCGCGGGTTAAGGGCGGCCGAACCATGCTCGAGACCTACCAGCATCTCCTTTCGGTTTGGACAACCCTGAACTAGGGTATTAAATTGAGGGTCCGGATGTTTTAATGGCAGCTGTACCCGGAAAATTATTTATTACTTTCACAACTCAGACAAATCTAACGACACGTTCCAAGCCTAAATTCATTAAGCCAATTTGACTACAGAGCGTGCCAAAAAATATGAATTGTAGTACATCAATAATATAAGATTTCCTTTGATCATCTTGAAATTTTACATACACCTTACTTTTCAGTCAGAAAAAGTATTTTAACGCAAGGAAAACAGAGGGGGCAAGTTTACTTATTAATATATTACTTTAGTCTTTATGAGAACGATTACATATTAGTTTTCAATTCGTAGATATATTCAGGAAGACATACTACCCATATCTGATATTAAAAGGACCATTCCTGGTTTCTCATTCGTTTTTTGAATTTTTAGGTGTGGGCCACATGGTCGGAGCAGGAATTTACGTACTAACGGGAACTGTCGCAAAAAATATGGCGGGACCTGCAACAGCACTAAGTTTCCTACTGGCTGGCATAACATCAACATTAGCTGCTCTGTGCTATGCAGAGTTTGGAACAAGGATTCCTAGAGCTGGAAGTGCTTATGCATACACCTACGTCAGTATTGGAGAATTTTGGGCTTTCATCATAGGTTGGAACATTGTATTGGAATATATGATAGGTAAACTCTAACTAAGTACACAAAAAAATAATTTATTATCCAATCGAAAATATTTAAAAAAATATTTTGTGTATTCCAGGAGCGGCTTCTGTAGCTAGAGCTTGGTCCGGGTATTTGAACGCAATGCTAGACAATGCAATAAGTAACGCTACCATTTCCATCACAGGGGAAATGCATGAATCTCTTTTGAGCAGATATCCAGACGTTCTTGCATTTCTTATATGTATTGTAGCGTCATTAATTCTAGCAGTTGGTGTTAAAACGTCAGCCTACATTAACAACGGCCTTACGATTCTTAACTTATTAGTTATTACTCTTGTTATCTTCTTGGGATTCTATTACGCCGATCCTACGAACTGGTCCGAAAAGAACGGCGGATTTATGCCTTTCGGTGTTAGTGGAGTGCTAGCTGGAGCAGCCACTTGTTTTTATGCGTTTGTGGGTTTTGATAGTATATCGGCATCAAGCGAGGAAGCTAAAGATCCATCACGCTCAATTCCTATTGCTACCATACTTTCGATGGCAGTTGTTGGTTCTGGATACATTCTTGTAGCTTTGGCTCTGACTTTAATGGTATCTTACAAAAATATCAATCCTGATGCTGCCTTACCAGCTGCTCTTGGTGCAGTTCATGCTGATTGGGCCAAGTACGCAGTTGCCGTAGGAGCTGTATGTGGAATGACCACTACGTTACTAGGCTCCCTGTTTTCCCTACCGCGTTGTCTCTATGCTATGTCTGCGGATGGTCTTCTATTCGGTTTCCTCAGTGACATCAACAACAAGTCTCAGATACCTATTGCTAATTTGATTATATCAGGCTTCTCGTCAGCATTGATAGCTCTTTTCTTTGATTTGGAGAAGCTTGTGGAGTTCATGTCAATAGGAACACTTCTTGCGTATACTATAGTGAGTGCAGCCGTCATCATTTTGCGTTACCGCCCTGTACCCGCAATAGACGACAAGGTTTTTGGTACACCCCAACTGGAGTCTCCATGCGATCGAGAAGATAGCTCTGCAACCGGCACTCCCGGAACTGATGGAGGTTCATCTTCGTCTGAGGTGATTACCTTATTATATCATGTTATTTGTTTGGGTTATGTAAGTAGTTTTACTTATTTTAGAGCTTAGAAGTAGTATCACCTTGATAGATTAGACTTCACCGTTTATTTTTATTGTGTACAATAAAAATAAAAAACGTATTTACCTGTCCCTTCTATATGTTTTTGATTTTTGTTCTTTATTGGAACGGAAGAGACGATGATTCCTAATGAAAATAAATTATTTGTCAGGCTAACATGAGGAACGCAGGAAAACTTAACAGTAAAGAAGATTTTCTTTCACACAGTAATCTATACCTATAAATATATTTGGTAAAATTAAAATCATTTTTTTTTTGAAAATGTAAAACACATCTACAGTGTTTATGTTTTCGTGAAAATACAATAATCTACAGATTATATTATATACAATATCTATAGATTCAACGAAAACTTTTGAAAACTCTATTTTACTAAAATACTAAACTTACCTAACTATTTGAATTTTTGCGATTTCAGATGTTTGAAGCTTTGACAGTGGGACGCCTACGACTTCAATACGCCTGGTTAGAGCCCCTGGCAGGTGGGCGAGCTCCCGGAGCTGTAGTGACCAGTTGCGTTTACACGTTTACTGTCGCTGCCGCGGCATTGTGCGCGCACAACCATTTCCTAGCAGAACCGGCTGGACTATGGGCACTTTTGCCAGACTTTACCCTCACTTTCGTCATCGTGGCTTGTGAGTTACTTTATACCGTTCGTAGTTTTTTCCAAAAAAGGAAGGAGTTCTTAGTTCGTTTGTTTTTTTACCTTTGAACCATATTATGTTATATTTAAGTTCCTATCCAAAGAAAAAATACCAGCCCTAACGGAAAGAAGAATACAGTTTATAACAGTTTCTGTATGGTGTGGTGCGTAAATGATGTGAATTGAAAACACTACTAGGGTCGGCACTTTGAACTTGTTTACTTATTATTTTAGATTATCGAATACAAGGAACATACTTTAAACTATGATTTCAGAGAGCACAGAATATTCTTTTTGGATAGGTAGAGGTAGTTATTTCTGATTAGGGAGCACCCTACGACACAAAGTTAATTTTATTGTCAGCTAAAATCCATAGTAAACTTTTATTCCAGGTCTATTCGTCATCTGGGCACATCAGCAGAGCCCAGCGCGCCTCCCTTTCCGAGTACCGTGGGTGCCGTTGCTTCCCGCTGCAAGTGTTATTCTCAACGTGGAGCTAATGATTAATCTTAATGCGCTTACTTGGGCCCGGTTCGCTATTTGGATGACCTTCGGTTGGTATACAATTTATCTCTTTCTTACATCGTACATCTTCGAAAATATTTATTTAAAAGACAACTAATTTTAATTACCTTATGTATGTAACCTTATGTATGTATGAATTTCATCTTAGATAAGATAGGGGAAAAAATATTCTAGGATTTTAAGCTATTGCATAGCTTCTATCGCGGGCCTTGAGCGTGGAGACCGAATCCAGAAATTCCGTAACGAAAATAACCTAACACACCCCACGTGATACTTTTTAGTTTTGCCATCTATCGACGAATAGCAGAACTTTTAATGACTTTTTTTAAATATCACGCTTGTCTCTTTAGTTCAGCAACTCGCCTTTAGGTGGCATTGGTTGTATCGGCGTTACTGCGCATGCGTAATCCCCCTATTCGCCCCGCAATCTAATTAATATCAAAGAAAAAAAACAAAGGAAAAAATACTGCATAAATAAAATAAATGAATAATTATAATTGCATAAGTTGATAAAAAATGCTATGCAATAGCTTTACCGCGGCAGTCCCTGAGTGCCACACTTTTTTTTTTTTATAACGTGCTAGCGGTCCCCCTACTTTATTTCGTAATGCCACCAACATTATCAATTAAGAAAGCCAATCACAATTTACAAGTTAAAATTGAAAGATGTGCGGAATCATAAATTGTTAAGATAGAATATTGCTTTTAACATTTTCGATACTTTTGTATAATTAAAAACAATTACACATGCAGTACTTCCGGTACAGATACCACATTCTCGTCACATAGTTTTCATCTCTTCATTTAACATGTCTCAGGACATTATTTTAACCACGATGGTAAAATAAGTAATTTTATTTATGTGTTATGTGTCATTGTATACTAATAGGCTATTTCCTCCTTCGAAAATTTAATAATTCGCATTTACTATTTTAATAACTAAACACTCAGATCCAAATAATAAGTTACATCCTGCTAAAACTGTCGCCAACCTTTATCTTATCAGTGTTTTTTTATACTTTAATCATTACTCTTACATTAAATTGATCCTGAATACAATAGTCTATTCAATAAATTTTACTTGTGTTGTATTTCAGGACTACTTCTCTACTTTTTATATGGTATCCATCACAGCAAGTTAGGCGAAGGTGTCACCGGTCTTTTGTCTCGCTCCGCTAGTGGTGGTGGCCACGACAGCGGTGGTTGGGGAGCTGTGGAAAAGACCAGCGCCATAGCTCGTAGAGTGGGACGTTTCGCGCGGGGGGGTAAAGGGGATGACCGCAAACCCATCATTTGCGACGATGAACTGTCTAGACGCGACCCGTGATTCAGAGCCCATGTACGTATTCCCATGCATTTTAATTTTTGATTACATAACAGATGGTATATGGACGAGTAACCAGTACGTTAATTGCAAAATTACGGTTTTGATACCGTACGATTTTGCTTTAGCGTTCTTACCGCCATAAAGCTGTTTCATCGCCGCGCGACGTAATATGTGTCATAGCGGTCGATTTTGTTTCTAGAACTTCAAGCTTTTTAAATTTTATTTTATAGTACCTGAACGTAAATAAAGATCAAGCTACAATCTGGCGCGATAATGGAAACCGAGTACGTGTTAGTTTAATTGCCATATCTTGTTATGCTTTAACGTTAGGCTTAATGAATGTTATAAGTGAAATATATTTGTTAGGTGCACTTTTATTTGCGTGCTTTGAAATATTATTAAAATATAATCACAATAATAAACTGTTCTAAGGATTTTTAGTTGTTTGAAATATTATATAAATTGTGTGCTGTAATCAATAGTAAACAGATCGCGAATAGTAGGTAATTAATCAAAACAAAAATAAACAATTTACAAATAATATGTAGGTACTCATGAGATTAAAAATAGCTTTTTATGAATATTGTTGACATGTTGCGTGAAGTAGCCCTAGGCAGATTGTCTTTGGAAAAGGTATATGTATGTCCAGGAGGACGTGTCCTTGTTTTCCTTTACTTTATTATATCACCTTTGAAACCAAAAGACTTGACGTTTTTTCGTTATACTGCCAGTTGGTATAAATAATTTATGGCATATTGCTCTATGAGTCTAAAAATAATAGAGAGAGTCAATAAATAACATTAACTATTCGTTTATTTAAGACATACGATTATAGGTACTTTTCTGACGCCGATGCGATGTGTCGCTTCGTTGTCGGATCAAAAGTAGATTGCAATGCCTGAAATACTCACGTGAGGTCTTTAATAAATGACAAAGGATGTAGCATATTTATTTTTCAAATGTTATTATTACCCTTCTTTCAAATTGCTATAATTAAATTCCATCAAACATCCACCGACCATTGTTGTCAATCGTGGCTTCCATAACGAACATAAATGAGTAGGAGCTCATAAAATTGAGTTAAACGCATATTTAAAACAAAAAAAATACTGTACGAATATTTTATTGTCCATCAAATTTCACTTTGGTGCCAATGTTGTCAAGTTTAACAAGGTCAATTAACTTTGTATAAGCAACAAATATTGTGACAATTTAATGTTGCGTTTTATTCAATGAGTTTGGGATTTTTTACTTATTTGGCATGTAATACTATATTACTACATTATTGGTAGGAATATATTGGAATAGACAGGCAGGTATTTATTTTTAATTTGAGATCGTTGTAGCGAAGATAGTAATAAAAAGCTGTACAAGTAAAAATACATAGTTTGTTGAACCAGTCATCTTAGAAATACTGTTTTAATTATTATTATTCCTGTAGCCTTAGTTATGTTATATTTTAAATAATTTAGATATAAGGACAGAGTAATATCATAGCACAATGCGTCGCACATGAATTTACTGTGTATACAACTATTGCGCAAAATTTATAAACAAATGCATTATTGTTATAAATATTTATTTTAAGTGTTATGTGTACATAAAGAAATTATAATAATACAAACCTACTGTTTTTTTCTTCCCTGTATTTCGTCCTCATTCAGAGAGTATTACATTCTTGACATAGTATTATATAACTAAAGGCATTTTAGAATGGTACTAAGTTCTTCAGGACACACATGAAAGTAGTAAGTATATATCATAACAAAATTAAAATGCTTTATGTTCAATACAGTTGTGTATAAAAATGTAGTTAAGACTGTAAAAATGTAGATTGTATTTTTATTTGCTACACTGAAATCAACCAGCATAATAAAAATATAGACAATCGAAATAAAAGAAGAATGACCAATATATATAATATAATATTGAGACCGTGTCCTCGAATGTAGCGGCGGCGAGGCCTAGAGGAAAGCAGAGAGATCTTAACAAATATTTTAATACTTCTATGAGCCCGCGATCCCTGCTGTTATATCCGCTCCGCCACCGCTGCAGTCTAGGACGCGCCTTTGCACCAGGCGTTAACATCGACCCTTACATCAATACTGCAGACATTAATTAAATTATACTGTTAAAAGATAAGTATTTAAATAGATATTTCCTTTTTACCGACATGAGAGACGTCATAAGAACTGATAAGAAATTTTCAAACAATGTTCCTTAGATATAAACGTTTAACGCTATAATTTCCTACTTAAATATTAACCGTATGCAGAATTGCACGTAAACAATAATTTCATATTATATAATATTAAAAAAAAAAAAAAAACAAATATTTGTAAAACAACCTATACTCCTCCTTAATTTTACTACCTAATTCTAAGTATTAATATTATCTAATAACTTATAAAATGTAATACACCACTTCGGAGAAATGAAGTGAGTAGTAGTATACAAATCAAAGAATTCCAGAGACTACTGACGTCATACGGTCAGAGGGTAGAAAGTTCACTATAAAAAAATAAATGATTATAAGTGTAGTGTAGTTGTAGTAGTGTATTATATTGAGCCATTGCATTATTCACTACTAAAATTTTGTTAACAACTTAACTAATTACTGTAGTAGTAAAATCAAAACTTTAATCTTCTCCAAGATATAATGGAATATTTGATAGTTACTATGAAAATAGACACACTGTAATCTACGTCAAAATAAAAAGTTTTAAATGAAGAAGACCAAAAGCCGTTCTATATTTACCCTGATATCTGTAAGATCTGAAATGTTTAAATCCTAAAGGATAACAAGTTAAAGGATATCAGATAGATTTGAACTATTCAGTTAATATTAGTGTATTTTCGCGAATTTAATTCGATGAAAATTCAATTACTTATCTGATCTATTGTTCATACAAAATGATTGTTATTTGTCAACGGTTACCTTTTTAAAGGTAAAAAATTCAATAGTTAGTTAAATTAATCCAGAGTATATTTACGTCATTTAATTGTTAGTATACAATAAACAAAAGTTGCAATAAACACATGTGTTAGATGGAAATGTCTTCATCATCGTCATCATCGACAGCCTTTACTAGTCCACTGCTGGACATAGGCCTCTCCTTAGAAATGTCTTATAATAATAAAATAAATACGTACACAGCCTATGGCAAATATTTCTGCACATTTGGGTAAAGACATCGATCCCTATCACCATTACTCACTAACATAGAGACTGACAAACGACAAACTTTGCCATTTTGCTGGCAAAGAACGTGCGACATTATTTTTTTGTCACGGTGTATTTTCGAAATAAAAAATTAACAATTTATTGGGGGTCTGTTTGCACTCGTATGCGCATACTACGCGATAACTTATTTTGTCACAGTGAGAGTGTAATGTATAAAAGAACTTGGAATGCCTATTATATTCCTATTCAGTTAATCTGTCTTTACCATAGAGGTGAATGTTTGTGTGGCAGCCTGTTTGAACTGGCACTTATACTATGCAAGAGGTCTTACAATAAAGATTTAATCATATTTTTTTCGTGAGGATCATTTGAACTATGAATTAACCACATTAAACCATTGCCTGTCGTGTCTGTTAAAATATAAACTTAAAGTTTTATTCAAACAAATTGTTTTATTACCAATTTTAATCATAATAATTTAATAAATAATACAAAAGTTTTTATTATACTCATATAATAGACAGAAAATCTATATGATATTTTATAGAATTGACTCGTTTCACGAGGCTCTGTTTTCACTAAAAAGTACCTATACGTTTAACAAGGAAACGGTCTTCTGATATCAAAATAAGCGCACACGACAAAATTAAAATGAGTTGTCTTCAGTATACAGTATATATTCTTTATATTAAAACTTCCTAACTAATAAAATCAATCGTTCGGGAATATCAATATAATTAGGTATGCCATGCTTTCCTAATGCTTGCTTAGATGTATGAAGAGAGCTAAAGTATGTCCCACTCGTAAAAATGTGTTATGCATGTGTGCGTAAAACACCTGTGTGTGCTAACAACTCTCTACGTGTGCGCCACTTGCGACTTGGTATTGTAAAAAAGGTAGGTAATTCCTATTGGTAAGTATTTAGAAACCACGCTACACCTGGTCCCGATATAGCCATAAATGTAACAAATGTTTGGGGCCTCAATTGAGTAATAAACAATTTGCATGAGGCAGACAGCTTTTAGTGTGTTTAAAAGTTAATACTTTCTTGAAATGTGAAAATAGCTTAGAAGACGTAGTTCCTTGTATATCTTTACAATATATACATAGTAGGGAATAATTTTAAGAGATTCAGTCTTAACTGTTGTACAGGCTAATTTGCCATGCTGAAGCAGGTAGTCGTTGGAGTCTGTTTATAGTTGGCCTCCCCCACTGCAGCCAGAGGAATCCAACGACGAGGCAGATCGTTGTTTCTATGTAGAAACCGTCGATGACTACTTCACAGCGGCCTTCATTTGATTTGCACAACTGTAAGCAGAATACCATTTGCGATTTTTAATGAGGTAGATACTTAAATTTAATTTTAAAAAGTATATAAGTATTCTATCAGTAAATTTATCCAAAAAGAAAAAAAAGATGGCGTTTGTGTGTTAAATGACCGAAAATGTTAAATATTATTATTATTTAACTTAAAAACATCGAAAACAAGTTATTAGATATTTGCTGCTTTACTTTCTTTGCGATGTAATTGTATCTCCAAGAATGGCATTAGACATACAGCTTTGTAATGGAACTATCATCTGTTGAGCTAATTACTTGAATATATTGAAGTTCACTTTTGAAAGAAAAATAGCAAAGAACCAATATTATTTTAAAAAGATAAAAGCAAATACTTACATCTACTTCTAAAGGCGACGAGCAGGTATTATCGGTTAAAGTTGGCGCCGTACAAGTCTTGTACATGAGGTGGTCTATGCCCCACAGGGCCAGCGTGTTCGGCCAGTTTGTACCAAGGTTTGACATAGTGTTTAAAAACGTCATGTAAGTGCCCCCGACAGTTGGATCAGAAACTTTAGCAAAGAACGCCATTACAGCGACGAACATGCAGTAGAGACATGTCTGGAAGTAACGAAATAAAAAAAATACAGAAAGTAGTCTAATACGAGTTAAAATAAGTTCTATTTAAACTTCGATTATGGCTTTTGCTTTATCAGTGTTTATTAGCTTATTCGCTTTTTGCAGTACGTTATCATTATCAACAGCCTTTAATAGGCCACTGCTGGAGATAGGCCTTTCTTGGGAAAGGAGGTTTTGGCCTACTATACCACGTTGGCCAGACGGGTTGGTATAGGGTTTGTGTCAAGTTTTCCTTCCCTCTGTAGTGCTGTTGCCCTGCGTCACTACGCATACATATATTTATGGAATTTCAATTAAGCGTGTAGTACTAGTAGAACTCACGGTGTCGTAGGAAACGAACGTCCCTAAAGACCACGTTTTAAAAATAAAAATAAGAAAAAATAGTTCTGTACATAAGTAGTACATCACCTTCGAAAAACGGGCCTCTGCTAATTAACCCAATTTTGCGAGAATCTAGTAAGTGTTCACGTGATGTCTTGTCCTCGCCATTTAGGTATATTTCAGGATCGTGAGAAGAATACAGAGTGTAGTGACACAGTGTTAATCCGTCACCACACGGACAGTGTGTACGAAAATGCATTTATCGTAAGTATCTCAACTTACCTGATGAAATACATAAAGACACAGTAGGAGGAATAAATAGGAGTACGTGGGTCCGGAATCACCGAGAAGAGTCGGTGTGATGGCTACGAGAGCAGCGGCGAGGGGCCCCACCAGCAGGCGCAACGGGAAAGCACGTAACCACAGCGATAAAGGGGTTGGACCCGTTGTGTGCTTCGCTAAGATCTGAAAAAGTATTTGCTATGAGTATTCTGTGGACTGAATCTAAGTGTCATATATTGCCAAAAAATTAATAAATCGAAATTGGTTGAAAAAAAGTATGTCATAAACCATTTTATCCTTAACTATTTACATACATACTAGCTTTTGCCATTGGTTCCGCCCGCGTGTATGTCTATTACCGCGGTAAAAAGTAGCCTATGTGATAATGTAGCTTTCCATTCGTGAAAGAATTTTTTAAATCGGTTTATTGGTTCAGGCGTGAAAGTATAACAAAGAAACAAACTCACTTTCACATTTATAATATAAGTATCAATTTGTAGGTATAGAGTAGTGGACACGACAGACGCAACGTTGTGCTGGTCGAATGTGGCATTTTCTTTTTGGTCTCATTATTGATTTTTTTAAATAAACTAAAGTCGAAACTTGGGCGCCACTAATTGATGCGATTTTTTGTTAGGAAATGGTTATCTATAGTATATTTTATGTACAATAGATACCCGTCTTTTACCCGACTGCCAAAGAAGGCTTATGTTTTTTGCGCGTAAGATACGCGTATGTTTGTTTGTAAGTTTCTATTACCTTGTACCTTCCAAATGGCTGGATGGATTTCGACAGTTAAGGTATTGTTGTCCTTTATTACTGTACTTAGATGGTTTTCGAAAGAAAAAAGCAAAATGCCGGCTTTTTTGCGCAAAATACTAATAGGTATAAAAAAATAACCAAACCTATCAAGTAGGGTATCAAAATCATGAAAATTAAAGTAGGATTTCAAAAATATACACAAGTTATATATTTAAAATTGAAAAAGGAATAATAAAATGGTTTAAAAAAAAAAGCGTAAAAAAGGACCATGTTTTTGTCGTGTTGTGTTGTCTTGTGCTGTTTCGATCTTTTTAATGCTTTACTTTTAAATTGTCTTTTAGATGTCGGGTTTTTAAGTTTTTTAATTATGTAGACTGCTAGATATTGTTTTATTCGCAGATATAACGCATTACAATTAAGCAATGAAGTACAAATGTTAAAACTTGATAAGTATAGATAAAACTCGAAAAAATATATTTATTGAACAAAGATAAAAATCAATGAAATTAAAGAAACGTGTAGAATGATATGTACACAAATCGCTCATATCTCTTTTTAAAAATTCAATTGAAATTGAAATTCACACACAATATTAAATTATTTCTGTTGGTTTTCTTTTATTGGCGCCTGGGTAATAATAGTTAAGATATGTGTTTTTTTTTTTTTTAAAGTGTATGTATGTTATATACATATAAATAGGCAAATAAAACACTCAGTCTCAGTTCTTTAATGCAATTATTTTCATTGAGTAGTTCTTGATGAGCTGGAGTGTAATGAATTAAAGATAAAATACGAATACGAATGGAACCTACATCTATATTAATATGTGAAAAAATATTGATTACTCCTGTTTAAACTTTTGTAAACAAATAAGGCAGTAGAATATCACAATTGGAATAAAGCATTGAATGCTGAGCTTTTAAAACAGTACATAATTTTGAATTGTCATAGTACTAAAGTATATACATTGACAGTTCAAGTTATGCTGCTCAATGAAACATAATAAGACATTCAAAACGTTAGTTAACATTAAAATCTGATCAAGTGATATTGTCAAACTGTATTCATTTGTCATGAAAAAAAGGTGCTAATGTAACTTCTGACCTTCATAATTAATGACAGTACTTTTAAATATGTACTATGTATATAAACTATGTAATGTGTTAATGTACTAACCACTGGCATTATAATTTGTACTGGGACTAATGGCACTGCTAATAGAGCTAAGTCCTCCCTGGGGACACCAGCTTCCACAAGCTTAAGACCTGATACTGCATCGCTGGCACAGAACCCAAGCTGGAATACAAAATTTGCATATTTAAACATTGAGGATAAGCAATCTTAATTGTTAAATTGTGTGAATCCTTATATGGATCATGATCACTGCATCTAATGGCAATTTTGAAATTTTATGTTACATTGTTAGTGTCTAGTTAAATGATTTGCATATATTTTATTTTATTAGTTAAGCAATGAAAATACTAAAGTTTATTAGAAGTAATTTTATTGCTACTCAATTAAAAAGGAACAAACCCGTAAACAACTTGTTTAATATTACCGGATTACGGAAATTGAATTTTTTACCCACTAAAAAGTTGTCTAAATTTTGGAAAAAGTAATAGTCGGTAGATGCAAGGTCTGGTGGTCACATCTGCAACCAGCTTTGGTCAATCGGTCGTAACCACTGCTCCTTCACGACAACGCGCGACCCCATACTGCGCAACAGACAGTCTCCAAGCTGCAAGAGCTGGGGTTGGAAGCTCTCCCTCATCTGCCATACTCACCAGACCTTGCACCTACCGACTATTACTTTTTCCAAAATTTAGACAACTTTTTAGTGGACAAAAATTCAATTCCCGAGAGGCAGTACAAAATGCCTTTGAAGAGTTTGTTGCCTCCCGTCCAGCTGATTTTTACAAGAAGGGCATCAATAAACTGCCAATGCGTTGGCAAAGATGCGTCGATTGCATGGGTGATTACTTCGAATAACAGAAATAAAAAAGTTAGAAAAAATAAGTACTTTGACTTATTGCATACAAAACGGCAATTTCATAGGTAAAGACCTAATATTAAAGTTACTACGTTTTATAAAAATGATTTATTACAGTTTAAGAGTATGTGTTTCATTAATAACATGAAACTTACCTTAGCAGTAAAGAGCACAAGAGCTAATGTGCGCACAGCTGGCAGTTTCATAATTGTATACAGCTGTTTATATGCATTAACAACATCTTTTAAACCTCTCGTATCATTATTCTCCTTGACGGTAGTATCATTTGATTCATGTTTAAATACAGCAATTAAAGTAGTGGTTATAATAAATATCCAGCCCCAGAATAACAGGAAGCTAGCTAGTGTAACAATACCAGTTGCTTCAGGTTCCGAACGAATATATTTGTTACAGAAGTAAGGTGATTCTAGAGCAAGAAATAAGACATAACCGAGAAAAAAGCCAGCTGTTTGTCCTACTGTATTACATGTTGAGGCATGTCCAACATTACACCTAAAAAATATAAAAAATATTTATAGATACCCAACACATACATGTAATTTCTGGTGAAAATAAATTGCTCATGTTGAATTTGTTGGCTGCCCTAGAATGTTACAAATATGAAGGTTAAGCTTTGCTTTGGTTTCACCCCTTATTCACTCAAAAGGACATAGGGTTTCATCTAGAAAAAGTACTGATCCCAAAGAGTACCTAAATTGGTTGACTACAAGGAATGCTGCGATGAAAACTAATTTTACACATTACGAAAACAAATTCACTTGTACTTATATTCCTTTTTAATTAAACTTGAGCAGACTGGTTTCCCCTCTTTACATTATAAAAGGTTGCTGTTTTTACTGCGAGTTTGTTTTCATGATGTATTGCAACAAGTTCCACTAAGTGCCAACAATAGAGCGTATAAATTAAATTTTACACATTTTTATGGCAAAAAAATTAATAAATAGTGATTGATATGTTAATAGACAGTATAGGATTAAAAACTATATTATTATAGTACTTTGTTACACTTATAAAATCACTGTGGTTAGTGGCAAGTAGGAATCAATTATTGTTCAGTTTTCATCTCATTAAACTTGACACTAACCCTATGATGATTTTCTCATGAGTGAGGCTCCACATAAAGTGTTAAAGGAAGATGAAAATAGGGGTGTAGCAGCAGAGTTATACAACCAAAAAGCTATTACCAATTCCTATCACATAGTTAGGCTGTGTTAACTCTTCACATAAGGCATAAATAAAATATAAAACACATTTTACCTTTTCAACATAGTTAGTGCCCACCCATCAACAGCTATATCTTGAGTAGCAGCCAAGAAGTTTAGGAACAGGAATGATATTGTAAGGTACATCATTGAGGGGGCAACATCTTCAGATCCAAGCCAGTCAGTGATAGAGTTTGACATAATGATCATGACAATACCCAGTAAGTATTGTACAGGGACTAGCCAAGTTTTCCTTCGTCCAAACTCGGGCCAAAATAATGCATCTACTATTGGTGCCCATAATAATTTTACACTAAATGGCCAATTGACAAAACTAAATTCAGCCTGCAATGAAAATGTTTAAGCAAATAAATATATTTATCTAGGTAATAATTCTTTTAAAAATGTTGTTATTTGTTTCTAGATCTTAAAAAAATGATTTGGTATATAAGTGTGTACTACAATAATGACAATAACCTCATACATATCACACACGGCAGTCTGATTTTAAACTATGTAGAGCCTGTGCTATGATAACCAGACTGCTGATTAACATACTTTAATGTTTGTAAATACATACACACTATAGTTAAATCACACCTAGACCCAAAACGAATGATAGTGATCACAGAATTATTCCTGGGTGGGACACAAACCCACAACCTCTGGCTTAGCAGTCAGGTTCACTAACCACTAGATCAACAGGTTCATCAATTCTCTTCAAAAGTTGTAAAGGCTAGTTTTCCTAACAGCGTAATAAGTTATGTGTTAATGTTACAATCACCATCACTGTTTTTGATTGCTGTTAATGAATAAAACTAATGAATAACTTTACTCATTTTGAGATTTATATAAGAGTTAAAAAGATCTCAACTCTCTATTATTTTTTGGTTGAAATGAATACTTGGTCTATAAATATCACAAAAACATTAAAAAAGCCAAATATATTAAAGTACTATATGTAAAATATGGATATGTAGTGGTGTTACCTTACTTTGGTATATATCCAGCTGGTCATAAAATTTTAATCAGTTACCGAATTAAAAAGGAAAAAGTATGTATGACTGAACATAATCTCAGTTATAATTGGATGCAATAAACAAGTTGAAACAGTAGGATTTAATATCGTCAGTAGGTACGTGTCACTGAGTAAGATTAAAATACGATTTAGGATAAAATAAAGATGTACTTACTTGTTGTGTGTAAGTTATGCCGCGATTTTGTAGTAGCATGGGCACTGCACCAGCGAGCCCTAAAGGTATACCCTGGAGGGTATATAGGAACAACAAGACAGAAATATTTAATTCATCTCCCTTAATATTACTTCTTTCATGTTGTGCGGAATTGTTGTCACCGTTTTCCAGTAGTTCTTCCTTTTCACTTAAATGTTTTCGCTTTGTTAACGGCATGATAGTAGCGAGGAAAGCCTAAAAATTTATGGTAAATTTACAAAAACCGAAAATCCACATGACACTACCAATATAATATATACACGTCAGTACATTTGAATCAAATTTTCTAGTTGACAAACCTTAATTTTTATGGTAAATTGTCAAGTTATAATTGAATGAATATTTGTGCTTTCTATTGAAATATCAAGACAATAACCAATCATTCATACTTTTATAAATCTTTTAAGCTACAACAATTCCGAGCTCATTAAAATTCGGAAACAAACACAGACAGACCACTTTGCTTTTATGAGCAAAATACAAATGAAATAGGGATGCTCGATGATCATCGATGTTAATTGATGAAAAATCGATTTTTTAACATCGATATTCCTATCAGCCACATTAGGAGTGTATGAGTTAACAGAATCGAACACCACTGAATACATTGCAAGGGTTACTAGCTTGCAAAGAATGGCTGATAGATACAAATAAAGTATTGGCAGTGACTGATGGTGGAGCAAATATAGTGAAAGTTATTGATGTTGCGTTTGGCAAAAAAGTCAGTCATTTCTTTAGCCCATTTGCTCAAATTAATGGAGCTTGATTGCAAGCTTGATTACACCCATGAATAGACACGTGATTCAAGCAATGTGTTGCAGCAAGTGTTGATTTACGGAAACAATACTAACTAAAACTGATAACTTTGACACTGCGTCCAGCTATTTACCAAATTGTAAACTGCCATAACAGTGCTCCTCTAACTGTAAACGCCAAATAGATATAAGAACTGACTGAGATCTCAACTCAAGGGGCATGCGGAAAAAGCCTTGTTACTAGCAGCAAAGCTAATCCTTTAACGCGAATGCTAAATTTGCAAATCGACGGTCTGCACCCAAAAACCAAAAGTGAACTATATGATAATTTCGGCAAACAAATTGACATGCTTAGTACCATTCTTTATAAATTTAAGAACCAAGTTCAAAACAGAACTAATTAGTTTTGGTAGCCAAATTAAATGAAGCTGTCAATTACTTATTAAGTTTTATAAACTATAGGACATATTACTGTTTGTTACCTTTGTGTTTATTTTGTAACCCTTTTTATCCTTTTCTTGTTTTTTTTGTTTTTTGTAATTCTTTTTGCTCCAAACTACCAATTGTCACAGTAAGTACAAATTCAGTCTTTAAACTGTAATATTAATATAAGTACAGGCTATCCACCCTGTGCTACCACTAAAACCCGAATGTTTTCTATAAATCTTGTGTTTGCTGATTAATATTGTACACCCATACTTTATATAACATGCATGTATTATTTTTAAGAAATGTGTAGCAATTGTAGGCTAACCTATGAATAAATAAATAAAACACGTTGTATTAAAAAAATCATGCGACTTTATGGTCGTTTTATTCTTTTCAAAAACATTGATTTTGGCTGAAATCGATGTTTTGTACTTAACAAACACCAAGAATCGATGTTCTTCCATCGATGCCAATGTCGATGTTTTTGCAGAATCGAACACCCCTAAAATGAAATGAAATATTGAACTGACAGCTAGTGATGTTAGATGAATTGGATAGTGGCAATAAGTCTGTTACAGATGTCGCTAAAATATGGTATTTGAAATATAAAATTAGTTGACTCATGAAAACGTTATATTAATAATAATAATAAATCGCTTATTTTGTATGTTTTGTAATCAAGAATTGATTATGAAATGATTTTCTTTTTAATATTTCTTCGATATATCAAAAAAATATTTTACCTTTAAATCAATTTTTTATATATTTTTTTAAATAAACGCGCGGTGAAATATCGCTGTGCGGACAGGGCTTTATGTAGACACCTTTGAAGTCCCAACACACTATTGTAACAATCTCTGTTTTGTAATCCACTTTACGTTGGAGGAATCCATAGCCCTACATGACCGATCAGTAAATCTGCTAGGCAGTACTACCAGTTAGCATGTATGATTTGAAATAAAATGACAAGATATTGTCCACAACGTATTAGTACTTGTAAAATGTCGAGTACAAAGGTATTGATTCTGAAAGAAAAGTATTCGATATTCAAAAGTAGGATTGCCAATCGTGATTTGCTGTACGAGGTACGAGGACACAATCAGGCTCGTAAAATTGTGTAAAAGATTTTGATATAGGTACATTTTATAGCTGCAATGGGTTTTTACTTTTTACACTTTGGCTACAACTTATGATTCAAAATCTATTCAAGACGTATTGTACTTTTACATTTAACTTTAATCAATAGTTTAACATAATGAGTTTAAATTGAAAATCGAAAAAAAATATCTTGTCTTGTTGTGTGTTTCAATAATTTCAACATTTTGTTTGCCTATTTTTTTCAAGCTATTTTTACTACTTATACAATGTGTATTTTTTTATATTTTAAAGTATGGATGAATGTACGAGGTTGAGAGCCAAAATAAAAAAGACCTAAGGCTAGCAGCCCTACTGAAAGGATTCAAACATCTTCGTGTCACTTGTGTCAGTCGTGTCACTGGTGTCAGTTGTGTCACTTTAAGTACATCTACATACTTATTAATACACATATATGTCATACATAAACAAATACTTGTAATGTAATCACGTATTTTATCTTATCTTTTATCAAGGATTGCTAAAAGGAGTAAATATTTTTTATTAGGAAGCGTTATTCATTGTAATTACTCTGTGTGACTTGTTCCTTTTTTGATTGGTCATAATGAAAATTAATCTAATAAACAGTGGAATTTAGGAAGTGTTACAAAATTTTTAATTGTACTTTATTTACTTGTTACTTTGTTTTTTTAACAATGTTTCGTTCCTGCTTCCTACGATGCTTAAAGGACTCCCATGATCCTATAAAATTATTACATGATGTAGAAATTACTATAGGTCGAAGTAAGGTCACTAGAATCACCGACCAGGCTTGTTCAAGAGCACAATGTAAGTAACAAGTAATGTAAAACCACCCCTATGTAATGGTATTAACGACTATAATCACTAAAAACAGAATACACTTTTTTAATTTCTCAGATGTTTTTTTGTATTTTGGTCATAAATTTGTTAAAATCATAAAGTACTCACTTTTCAACAGTGTCCCTCAAAGCTGACTGTGAAAACTGTATAGTTCACGTCAAACAGCTGGGAGTCAATGCATCAGGCCTTGATGGGTGTGCTTTAGCAAAAGAAGTGGCATATAAAGTAGAACATGGTTCCCGCCTAGAAATCCTTTTGAATAATTATATATACATTATTGAATTTGACCCACCTCCTGAGCTAGATGATAACAAACGATATAGTTCTAAAAGAAAGTTAGAATCAAATGAAGAACCACCTCCAAAAAAAAAAAGCATTAAAATGATTTCAAAGGAAGTTGGTAATATTTTAAAAGCTGCAATCGATGATGTATGGGAGGAAATTGACAAAGGTGAACTTTATGTGTTTACTTCCAAAGGAGTAAAATCTAGTTCTAAGGTAGCAGGTTTTGATATGGATGGCACACTGATAACAACAAAGTCTGGTAGAGTTTTTCCTGTTGACATTAATGACTGGAAAATTGCATTTCCAACTGTGGAAAAAAAGTTAAAAGAATTATTAGAAAGTGGATACAAACTGGTGATACTTAGTAATCAAGCTCCAATAGGTAATGGGCGAGTTAAAATAGACGATTTTAAACTAAAAGTTGAGGCAATTGTAAAGAAATTGGATGTACCTATACAAGTTTACCTAGCAACATGTAAGGGATTTTATAGAAAACCACTAACTGGCATGTGGAAAGTTTTGACTGAGCAGAAAAATGATGGTATAAGAAATATAGACAAGGCTGAGAGTTTCTATTGCGGTGATGCTGCAGGAAGGCCTGCTAAGTGGGCACCAGGCAAAAAGAAAGATCATTCAATGGTTGATAAGATGTTGGCAGAAAATCTTGGCCTTCAATTTTACACTCCAGAACAATTTTTTTTGGGACACTCAATTGCTAATGTACCAATTGCTAAACCAGAATTTAACCCTAAAGAATTGAGTTCTGGTGATTTTAATCATAATTTGATTAGTACAGCGAAAGAGGTGAGCAAAGCACAATAAAAAATTGTTTTTCAAAAATTGTATTTCAAATGAAATCAATCTTTATCAAATCTTTTATAGCTCTGTTGATGTTTGTAGAGATTATATTTTTGCAGGTTCTTGTGTTGGTTGGTTACCCGGGCAGTGGTAAATCATTTTTAGCTAAACAAATTGAACAAAAATCTCAATATGCATATTGTACTGTATGCAGGGATACCCTTGGCTCTTGGCAGAATTGTGCATCGGATGCAAAAAAGTTTTTGCAGGTTTGTATTAAAAAATTACAAAGTTTATAGAATAGCATATGCAGTGAACTGACACTCACTTAGGAAGATAGGTGGTTTAGTGGTGACTGGACTAAATTCTATGACTATAGACCCAAACCACATCATGAGCCTTTCCAGTGGGATCTACAAGCTGTTCAAAATGGCAGGCATATTGTTAGGTTATTAGATTTATTTAAGTTAGATTTTCCATGGTTGGAAACATGTATAGTATGGAATATAGAGGGCTTGGTGTAAGTTTATTTCAATTCTACTCGATCCTGACGGTGACAGCGTTCGGCGTTGTGATTAATAAAGAGTTAATTCTGGCTAATTACGAATCATTAGTAGTAACTTACACTAGGCCCTTTGAAAATGATTGTAAGGAGATGGTGACTGGAACTAGATCATAAGACACACTTCTATCATTTTCAGATTTTTTATTTACTTGCTTTCGCGATTTCGCTCGCCTGGATGAAGGGTCTCCTAAGGGATGTCCTCTGTGTCCTTTTCAATGTATTTCTCCCTTGCCAATATGTATCTCAAGTTTTATACTGAGATATTTGTAGTTAGGGTGTGAAAGCCTTACTACAAAAAATATACATTCGCATTTATAACAAGAGTGAGGATTATACTTTAATGAAGTTTGGTGATGAATTTTTAAAAAAAATTATAGGTTAATTTAATGCCTTCGAATGAAACTGGCAAAAACAACATACATTTATAATTAAGACGTTTCAGTGATGTTCATTTATTAAGGTTATACCTACTTATAACGCACTATTGTTTTTCGGGGAAACCCCTAAAAGAGCGCCTCTGTCGGGTCCAGCTGATAGGGTAACTCCCTGATCAGTCTAGTTCCAAACTTTCGTACGAAACGATAATTTCTTGCAATCTGATTGGTCAGGGGGCGGGGCTTGATAGATCCGTCACTATTTTCTGAACGCGAATGGACTATTAGGTAAAAAAACTTGTCTTAATATTAGAATTTATACTAAAGCAGCTTTTCATGTACTGATAAGGTTTATTTTTTTTAGCAAGGTAAAAGTGTTATAGTAGATAGCACTAATCCAGATAGAGAATCTCGGGCGCGTTGGGTATCTCTTGCTAAACAAATGGATGTGGAATGTCGTTGCATAGTAATGACGGCAAGCATGGCTCACGCAAAACATAACAATAAATTCAGGGAATTAGTGAAAACAAATCATTTGACTGTTACTGACGTTGTATACCATACTTACAAGTAAGTATTCTTTTGGAGTTCCTTTGCTTTTGCGGTCTATATGGCTTTGCCAACATAATTTTACAAACGATTGACCACCCCTGTGCAGGGTCGATACTCTCCATGTAGGTAATAACTATGTAATTGTATTCACCAGTATAAGAAATATAGACACAGTGTAGATGAGATTACTAGGTTTGTTACTTCAAGGCCCTGTAGAATGGAAGTCATAATGAATATACTCATCGTCTATAATTTATAGAAATGGAAGTTAGTGCCGGAGTAGGACATACCACTGTAGCGGATTTACATATTTGCCGCCAGTAGGCAATTAAATTTTTACCGCCCCTACTAACCTCTACAATCCAATACCTTTTTTTTTACACGTGGCAACTCCCTCGAGTCGTCACACCACCCGGATTTGCGCGGGACGGTGTGTCGAAATAGACTCGACTGAAACTATACGGTGCGCCACTCTGTGCCTAAAATAGGAGGGATCCGGGAACAGCTGTTATTAAGACATCCGGACGCTCAATGTAATACCCCTTTTTTACGTGTGGAAACCCCTTCGAGCCGTCACGTTCGTTATTATTCTACTCGTCACGGATGTGGAGGTAGGGGCGGCTATTCTACCTATCCTGTTCTACCAAGGACACAACCCCCGGACCAGACGAGATACCTGCCCGAGTGCTGGCCTGAACCCTCTACCCCATGCCATGCCATGCCAATTCGGTAGAGACCTACAGGCATATGGTGTTGCTGGATGGGACGGGTAAATTATTTGAGAGGGTTCTGTATTCTCTGCGAGGTAGGCCCTGGCTAACGTCCAATTCGGTTTTCGAGCATTCGCAAGCGAGCGGGGCGTTCGGCGATCAGCGTTGTGTTGCGCCTCAGGACCAAAGATCTGGCGATGTCGTTGGACATCGCCAACGCATTCAACAGCCTACCGTTCAGCTACATCAGGGAGGTACTCCACTATCACGGGGTGTTAGAGTACCTAAGGCGCCTAGTGGCAGACTATAAAGGAGCGTACGAGGACCAACAGGAGTCGTCTGCTCATGTCGTGCAGTGTTCCACAAGGGTCTGTTCTTGAACCCGGCCTGTGGAATATAGGGTATGACTGGGGCCTTCGAGGAGACTTCCCTCCCGGCCTGGGCGTAATTTGTTACGCCGATGATACTTCCCGGAAGCGGACCTTTCAAGAGGCGTGTCTGGCCACCAGGGGTATCTCTCTGGTGGTCTAGAGCATTTTTTTTACTGTTTCTTTTAAAAAGTCAGCTCTCGCATTGTGAATATATGCTGTGTCGTGGGGGACTATAAAAATATATGAAACGGACAAAAAGAACACCCATACTTAGAATAACAATTTGTGAATCACACAAAGTGTTGTCCCTTGTGGGGATGGAACCCACAAAACTGAGTTCACATCATCAGTGCGGAATTAAGCTAGCGCGGAGCCTGTAGCAAATTTTGTCAAGAGGCCCTTGGATTGTTATATGTTATCAAGTTTATGGTAATCATTAGAAAAAAACTGTTACAAACAAACTGCTTGATTTAATTTGGCAAATTTATAAACATTACCTACTGTTCATATCGTAAATCAAAATCGCAACAAACTCGCAAGAGTACCACGCCGCCTCCTAAGACACACTGACGAGGCGGCGCGGGCGTTGGCCGTGGGATTTGGAGGCGGAAGTGCTCGCCGAAGTATATCGGCGGGCGGCTGAGTTCTGGGCGGATATCGGTAGCCGGCCCCCATCCGAAGAGGTATACAAATGGCGGGAGGCCACCCGGCGAGCCACGACGGTTCGTGGGTTGCCCCGGCTGGAGGCTCCACGAGCTGCTTTTGCCGCCTTGAAGGCGCTCTAGCTTGTCATTGTCGAGTGGTTAGGGCCGTCAGCACGGGTCCCTTTCCTTCCGAGGGAGAGAGAAGCACCTGCACTCGGTCACTAGGAGTGAATTGAGTCCCGCCGTGCAGTTGCCCAGTTTGGCTGGCCGTGATACTGTAGAGTCAGTAGCGACAGATGTTTCATCGCTGTCAAATCCTTCTGCGAAGATGTCATCGCGCGGAAGGAGAGGGCGGCAACGGTCCGGGAGGAAGATTTCCACCCGGATTCAATACGAGGCCGGTGGCGTGCAGTCTAGGACCTCATGTCGCCTTAAGTAATGGTTAATAAAAAATTAAGTTAAAATTACTAATTTAAATTGTAATATTAAACCGCTTTTGGAATATTTTAACACTATATTCATAAAGATATATTTCACCAAGCGTTCAGTAATTTTTTTAATACAGATGTTGGAGTATTTGGTGGTACTCGACGATCGTGGCGTAGTGTTTGTGTAACGGACTGCTATTCCACAGATCGCGGGTTCGATTCCCGCGCGAGTCAAACATTTGTGTGCATAAACATTTAATGTTAGATTTGGTCTGGGTGTTTCTATGTATAATATGTATGTATGGGGTCTACCAATAAGAACGTCCTGGTTTAAAAATTAAATTAAACACACATTTTTTTATGAAAAATCCACCCGAGTGATTTATTTGATAGATCATTTTATGCAATTTATTTTTTAAATAATATATCGGCCAAATGACCGCCGCGGCTCTTTTTGCAGACGGTCACCCGCTCACGCCAATTTTCGATGACGCGGTGCACCATTTCGGCTGGTATGTCGGCTATGGCTCGTCGAATGTTGGTTTTTAGGTCACGAATTGTAGCTGGATTATTGCTGTACACTTTAGATTTAACGTAACCCCAAAGAAAATAGTCTAAAGGTGTTAAATCACACGATCTTGGTGGCCAACTGATCGGTCCATTTCTCGAAATTAACGACTTACCAAACTTTCCACGCAATAATTCCATGTTCACTCGAGTAATGTGAGGTGGTGCACCGTCTTGATGAAAATAAAGGTCGCCTGCATCAATATCAATATCATCAAATTCCGGAAAGAAATATTCGGTTAACATCGAGTTATAGCGCTCGCCATTCACAGTAACAACGTTTCCTTCGTCACTTTCGTAATAATTTTGGACAATTTCCAAGCGTTGGTTTAAAGTGAAACGTGACATGATAAAATGGCAAACCTTACTGAACACAAATGTCAAGAGACGACAAAGATCTATCATCAAACATGGCCTCTATGAGCTGTCAAAACCAGGTAATCCCTATTGGTAGACCCAGTATTTACAAAAAAAATATATATGTATTTATATCAGTTGTCTAGTAGCCATAGTACAAGCTCTGCTTAGTTTGGGACTAGATGGCGTTGTGTGAATGTGGTAGAATATTATTATTATTATTATATTTGGTACACTGCATAGTACTAAAATATTGTTATTTTTGTTAAATGTTTGGAGACTTTTTTCCTTCGTGTATATAATGTTTCTTTTTATTAACTAAGACAAAAAAAGAATTGGTCCAAATTTGCGGCCCCATAAAAGCCGCCCTAGGCTCCAGCCTACTCAGCCTGCTGGTAATCCGCCACTGCCAGAATGTCTTCAATTACGGAAGGACGTCCATCTTAGAGGAGACCGCCGTTAACAAGTATTATAAGCTCTGTCCTGATTCATGTAGCACAATGGAGCATTAGGGCGGAAGCCTACGGTGCCCGGTTCAATGCCTAGGTTGCCATTCAAAGTTCATTTATCTTAAATCGGGCCGGGCTGGGTCGAGCTTCTAACGTGACACGACATGAGATTTTGCTGGAGTTTAGGAGACATTTGCAGCTACATATCATCCACTAGGCATGTAACGCTTCTCTATGGGGTGTTGTATAAAAAACTTGACATAGGAATGTCTACCCCGACAATTATTAAATAATACTTTACTATTGCCTACCTATTAAATGATATACTTAGGGTAATTCAGAGTTTCGACTTATTGAGGTTTGTGTTATTTACAGAAACAAATTCACAGAACCATCCACCAACGAAGGCTTTAAAGAAGTTATCAAGGCCCATTTTAACCCTTGTTTTGAAGATGAGGAAACTGAAAAATTGTATAAAATGCATTTGTTAGAAAAATAAAAATGTAAGAAGTTCTTGCAATTTATTTCATAAAATAAAACAATCACAAACGCGAATTACTACTTTTATTATTTAATTGAATAACATTCTTACGATATATTTAAGCATTATGCAGGCCAGTTTTACCTAAGATTACATTGCTTTTTTCTGTACAATGTAACTTAACATTTGTTACATATACAAACAACTTTTGTTAAATGAGGCTTTTAAGGCGGTACGATTTAGTAGGTAAATAATTTTTAATTGAGATTTAAACTTATGAGCTTACAAATATTTTATGTGATCGGGTAAAGCGTGCCTAAAGCTGGCGAGTGCAAAATGGACGGATACATTTTTACATCAAATTTACAAAATAACTTCTTTTTATATACAAATTGATATACATGATTGAATTCTAAAAAAAATATATATCGTATGAAGCTAGCTATACTTAATAATTTTTCATTCAGAAACGTCCTTAATATGTCTAATTAATTTTATTAATAGCAGCATCGCATTATGTATTTTCTAACATCTAGGCACTAATTAACAACACTTGGCTTGCAGCTTGTTATACACGATAGTACATGCAATAGTTTTAATTGCTAGTAAGTATTTGTAAGTAAAAACTATTTCAAACATCACAACGTATCACTGTTGCCTACTTAATTTACCTACTAATGAGAGGAAATATCCATACATATATGGTACACATAGGTATGTACATATTGTATGTTATTTAGTAGGAATGGATTTAAGGTGCGATTATAATAATCGCGTCAGTTTGTTGTCATTCATTGTCAGGATCACCTTCTTCATCCTCCGCGTCTAATAAATTATCCAGACTCGTATCCGAGTCATCTTCATGTCATCTGAAAAGAGATAGACATTTTATTTGAGCAGGTGATAGTTCGAGTTCTCTTATTTCATACTTTAATATTACCTACATTAAGTACAAATTGGTAAAATTATGTAACACTTTGTTCTTGCTGCACACGCATTTTCGCCTTACGCAACAGTACCTTATGATGGTAACGATACTTTATCGTAACTATTATTAGGTACCTACTATGACATGTAGCGAAAATGTCTCCAATGAAATCAACGATCCCACGGGGATCTACAAGTCTTATAAGTATAATGGGTTATATTCTTTGCATTAGCTTATCTGGTAGATATAATCTTGGTAGTACCTACCCATAGGAGCACTGATGACAAACATGTGTAAAATGGCACGTGCACGGTTACAATTTTATAAAAACGAACCTGGCTATGTACACGGTGTCAACATGTGTTAGGTGGCCATTAGTGAGGGGTACATTTGCAGCCACTGGTCTCAGCTTGCGTCTCTCCAAAGCACTTCGCGCTTGCTTTACAGCAAGGTCACCGCACCATCGCTCGCATCTTGCGTATATTACAACACCTAGAATTTCTTGGTGTAAGTTTATTTTTTCCATTGTGAAGATTGAGTGCAAAATAGAAATTTCTACTTACCAGCTGTTGCAAAAAGAGTAATAGCTGGCCAAGAATCAAGCAGTAACGGTGTTAGGAACAGTAGTGCAATTAACATAGTCAAAGGTCCCTGTAGGCTTTGAGCGTGCCTCATACCCAGATTGTGTGATGGTTGCCATGCACATAAGAGTGTAGCGAAGAGCCATACTGAAAATAAAGTTCGCATTTGAGCTGAACAAACGTAAATTAGTACACCAATACCATGTGTTAGTTTCATTGCCTGTTTTTTTAACTCAGGTCTATGTAATTCCACAGGTGCTGCTTATTATATAAATAATAATATAGTATTATTATATATGTAAGTGTGCTATCAAAAACAGTGTGCGGATTTAGTTAGTTCCACCAACTACTTTCTGCATTGACTATAAGGTTTAGGTACTTCCACTTAAATTATTTTAAATTAGTCGTTAGACAGACTCTAGAAACTTAATCATTATCTTAATCTAGAATCTAGATCTGACACGGAAGACATCAAGAAGCCTTAAACTCTTACGCGGTACTCCAGTAGCAAACATGGGCAGTCTAATAGTTTCATTGCAGAATGCAACGGCAATTAGAGCATCAGCAAGAACTAGGAGAACCGCTCCAGCTGCCGACAATCGCGCTCCGCGAACGCACGGAGGAGATGGTGCAGTTGACTCTGGAACGGATGTTACTACCTGGAATGAATTTTTTTTTGTTTATTCCACAAATATAAATTCCTAAAATATAACTTTCGGTAAATGACTTTAAATTACTAAAATCAACTAAACCAATGGATACAGTTTAGTTGTTTATACTTAGTAATTTTTAGGAGCTTATGGTGTAAACGCGTTAAAAATGTGTACAAGAATAAATAACTCATTAGATGAAGATTTGTCACTCAGTAGGTATTCTGAACTGCCATAGTTTTCGACACTAGAGATAGAGCGTAAAAATTCGTATACTTTATGCTTTTCCAGGCAGGGTACACATGAACGTGGCGTCAATTATGGAATGAGGCAGTTATATATAAAATGTTCTTCACACGTCTTCTTAAGCCACGCACCCTAAGGCATATGCCTAGTTTGTCTAAGGGATAAAACGCTATTGCCGCTAACTGAACTACTGGTTATTACTTGAATCCTATCCCTGTATTCTTTTACGACTGCGTCAATATCAGTCGAGTCGTCGCCAGAAGATAGCTCTGGCTCACTGGCTTCTGCGTCAGACGTAGGATCGCCTACTTCTACTGTTACAGCCTCTCTAATACCGCTACTACTGCTGGTCATAGGATCTACTTCCTCCGTTGGACACCCTGCATATTCATCGAGAAGCAGACACTCACGTTCTTCAGTTTCTGCAAAAAAAAAAACATTAATTATGATTACGATTTTTATACTACCAAGGTAACTTAAATCGTTGATCATAAGGTCCCTGTATAATGATAATATCCGTGGATCGCCATAATCTACTCTAATCACACACCCATAGAGCCCCTCTCTATGGGTGGGTGATATTTCCGAGGGCCCTATGGAAATAGGAACACAATAGAATGCATCTAGCATTAGACCGAGTCAGATTGATTAAAAAACTCTGCTGTCGGCTAAGCAATATTTAGGATTTTATATGACTATATGTATACATATAGAACACGTACATGTAAAAAATGTTAATGGTTTAAAACGGCAGAGCTGACCCAGGTGAAATGACCTAGTAAAAATTTACGAACTTAAGAGCTCGCTTGACCGATTGTAGTATTTTAATCCGGACGTCATTTACTATAGTAAATTTACCTTTTGTCACTTTGGATTTGATGCTTTCTAAGGTTTTAGTGTGACGTATGGCAGATGGTATGAACCAAAGGCTCCGTTTCTTACTTGAACAGGATTGTTTACGTCCGCCATCCCTTCCTAAACGCTTGTACTCAATATCTGTAACATATTAAAGGCAATTTAGGGTTTATTCGTACGATCAATCCAATTGGTTTATAAAATCAAATAAAAAAATAGACTTACCGCCGGCCTCTTTCTGTTCAAGTGTGGGCACACACCGCATTATGATAAAATGGAACGCCTGAATAGATAGGCCAAGCAAGTGGCTCGCGTTCATAAGAGTGATCATATGCGACAAGGGACAAGCAAACGCAAGGATAGCTGCCAGGCTACCTGTAACATAGATATGACGAGAGATATGATGTGATACATGGTTCATTTATGGCCTAAGACTGTTCTACGCTCAAACCTCGGCAACAGAAACTATTTGATCGTACGAGTATCTACCTACTTAGTAGGCACATAAACACTTTTATAAGGTGAGTTATTCTCTTGCAATGTGTCATTTTCAGTTAATTCAAGGCACAATTATGTACAATAAAGACTATCATACTAATAAGGCTTAAATTCTAGCAAGTAGTTAAATGTTGTTAACCGTCACACATATGATGGTGTCCATACATAGGTATGTATGACATCATCGGGGATTATTCACTCGTTCTTACAAATTATTTAGAGATTCAGATCCCTAGCTAGAGAGACCTATGTAGTTCGTTTCTAAACAAAAGCCACATAACTTTAACCAATAAGTATATTATGTAGAACTCTCGGTCGAAGGTCCTTTTCGACTTTATTTTAAAAAAATTAATTAATTTAACTAATAATTTATAATTTAATTTAATTATTAAAATAAAAAACATTAAAATAAATATATTTTCAAATTATAAGGAAATTATTTATTAATTTTAATATTTTTTTTAATTTTATTTTTTTATTTAAATAGTTTATTTATTTCTTTTTGCCCATGGACACCTGCAATTCATGAGTCAGAAGTTTATTGCCGGCCTCTGAGGTAAAAGTACGGTATTTCTTTTGTCGTATCAGGCCGTTAATGCTGCAGGCAGACAATTGGATCAACAGGGGCGTCATTCGATCTATCCGTCTACTGTTTACTGAAATCATTTAGTTTTTACATATTTACTTCGATCATCTCAGTTTCACTCGAAACCAGATTCGAAGTTAGTGTAATTACAAAATAAAATAGCACAACAGCTTATAGCCAATATATTACTCACCAGCGGTAAAGACAGCAAGGACCGGACTTCCTGTAGTAGCACTCTCATAAGTCATAGATCTCGTGAGTACTTTCCATTCGGGTGAAGCAAGTGCTACTAAAACCGTAAAGAGTAGGGGGCAGAGTTCTGTAAGAGCTAGACATACACCTGCAACGGTTACCGCAGCTATTACCGGACAAACCCAACCAGCGGCCCTCGCTTCCAGTAATGTGGTGACGGGCAAAGCTGCGTCAATGCTGTTCCTGTAATTCAAAACGTGAATGAATGAGGATGTAATGTATGATTACCCTGTCAGATACGTATGATTATAAGGTAATTTATAAGGAAGTAGATGTGGTTTTAACTTGTTATATAATATGTAACTAGAAACTAGATATTTGATGCTAATAAATTAGTAGTAGGCGTATTTACCCTCTCAACATGTTCGAGTAAAGAAAACACAAGCCCGATAGTATAATTGTAGGTAGTCCAATCATAAGAAATACATTTTTCTTCAGTGTACTTCCATTGCTTTTGGGAATCACGACGTTAAATGCATAGGAGATAGGCGCACCTGCCACAAAGAGCTGAAAATCAATATTTAATATTACTTACATTTAACATTAACAACAATATATGACTGTTTAATTTAGTAGGTAGCAACTCTCAATTTTGAATGCAATTTAAAGCCGACTATTTACAACCAGTCAGTCTAGATAACACAACTATGTAAGCTACATATTAGAAAGTAAAAAATATAAACCAGTATAGTTACCTCATAAACAGTAATCGGTATTGGCATATTGATATATGCAATATCAAAGTTTATAAGGCCGAAAATTGCAAAAAACTGGCTAAATATATATAGCAGAATAAGCAGCATGAATGTGAACATCATGCTCTCCTGAAAGTATACAACAAAATTAATTAAGTTTTATGAACATATTAATGTTTACTTTAATTGGAAATCAATGAGACATTAAACCTAATTTTTTTAGTAGTTAAACTATTGTTGTAGTAATCATGTTGTCGGATAAAAAATCTATGGACTAATTTATTAACATTCAATTTCCCTGTGCAAAGAGGACTTTATTACGAATCTATTGCCTTTTTTAACTCATAAGAGTTTACTCTGTGTCTCTCTGAGTTGTCTCTCTCTTTATCTTTTTAACTTAATTTGTATTTCATTTTGGCACTAGTAGTTCTCCGCAGTGCAATTTGCTATTTACAGATATTAGTAAATTAATTTTCTTAAGATTATTATTTCGTGATTTTTTAAATGTTTTAATGGTTATTCCGCTATTCGGGGCGGAGACAAATCAAACAAATCAAAGATCAAGAGCCAAAGTGTAACTATCCTGACTTTGTTCTATATATTAAGATTTATTCTTATTTCTGTTTGTTCAGGTTGACACATAGGTACAAATTAAAAACCTATAGGCAGTGTCCGCATCAGAAGCCGCCATATAATAGTAATAGTAGCTATATATATATAATAGTAATTTAAGCTCTAATTCATCACAGATATGGGTTAAGTAATGTAGGTAATATTCGATAAAAAATTGTTATTGTATGACTAGGTTCAATCCAAATCTAACTATACCAATCATCTCTGTTGATTTTAATAAAGTTTTCGATTTCATCTGAGCCTACAGATGTACTTAACTAGTAATGAACTAGTTACGAATACCTACGTCAAAGTTGTGAAAGTTTTTTTGTGTTTTGATAGCAATCGCAGTCGATGATTAAACCTTGACTTCAATGGCTATGGATTGCGAATTATATAACGTTATCAAATGTTATCAAACTTGTCTTACAAAAATTACATTCACCTCAAGTCCACACATAAACATGGCGCAAACGACCATCACAACCGTCACTCCCAGTACGTCAGGCCACGGCTCGCCCAGTGATCGAGTTTCATAACCAAATAACCATCTCCTGGTCCGGCCACCGGTCACATGATCTGCTGTTGCGCTCAGAATTCGGGCACAGATTGCGACAGCCACCAAATGCGATAGAAAAGTCATCCACATCGCCATGAAATCAGCAAACGAGCGTAAATTCCTTTCTCTGCGGCCGCGTGATGTCTTTGGTGGTGGTAGAATTTCGGCCAACTTTCTTAAGTCTTTGCATGTGAATGCTGTAACATAAGGCACATAAATAATTATATCGATGATAGAGTTTAATTTCATAAGTACACCTATTTTGTTATCAAAATGCAAAACTAATTTATGACAAATAAGCGTTCAAAAACACTTAAGCCTGACCACACGCTACTGCTACTACACTAAAAATAAAAAGCTAATACATTTTCCATTGTTTTTTTTACTCTTAGATATCTTCTTAAGAGTAACAACTTAGTATTATATAGTTTAACTACCTGACCCGGCTAACTTCGTACTGCCATATTGTTGATTATGATGAATATTACCGAATTATGAATCTAAACCATGCTCGAATCCATTTGAACACACACAAATAATCATCAAAATCGGTCTAGCCGTTTAGGAGAACTTCAGTCACAAAAACACAAGAATTAATTTTTGTACGTAAATTATATTCTAATTATTTATTCATTCTTTTGACTCAAAATACCTATATTATTAGGTATTTGATAATACAATGAGTTTATGGCTATTTGAATCACCGTAAAATATTCGGAATTGATGTACCTACATTTGATTATTTTGGGTCAATATTCAATGAATGTAAATACATAAGACTTACTTGCTATAGTAATAAAAATAGCGAGTAGTATTACAGCGGGCACCGCACAGTAGCTAGAGTTGGCTGCAGCAAGCGGAGCCAGAAGAAGTGCGCCTAGCGTCCATCGGGCTCCGCAGGCCTCACCCCTGCTGAACGCACTCAGCGCGCCGCTCATCTTGCCGGGTTCACCAAACTCACTTGACATGTTCCTACTTCTTTTAAATCAACATTAAAGTCATTAGTATTTCAATTAAATAAATTACGTTCTTTTTTATGCCAGGAGTACGGATTCGGTCAAAATCAGTCGTTGAAGAAGCTATTACGATTATTATACCTAATCTAATCCCATCAAAATAGTCCAAAAAAGTCAAAAGACACTCAACGAATTTTTTTAAAATTTTCTGGTTTCATGTCTCACAAGTAAGTGAAAGTTCAAAATGATCCTAATTATATAAATTGACGCATCTCAATGATGGACACAGAAAATTGCACCAATTTCCTTAGTAACAATCTGAAAATGACATACTTGAACATTGTAATTTTCTTATTATATAAATATATTTGTCATGAGATAATCATAAGTTGCGTCTAACTCACGTAACATTCATGTTTATATTTTTTTCCTTTTTTAGTATGCTGTGTTATAAGAATTGACTCTATTTTGATTAAATTTCACATATGTAGGTAAGTTTTCAATTTATAAAGGTAAAATAACACAGTTTTTTTTGCTATTAGGCAATTTCTCTATAAAAGCGCTAGTTAAGACTTACCATATTATTACAATAATGTGATATCTTTATTCAAATTTGTTCCTACAGCTCAGCTACATTTTCACTTTCATATAACCACGAAAATTTTGCACTAGATTTCGAAACCTGGTAATATTTAGTTGTGGAGTGATGAATTTACCGAAATAGCAGGTAAATAAGATCGCGTTTTCATGTTTATGCGGCAAACTGAGCGGTGTAGAGCTATAGCCACTCTTTGTTGTCTCACTCGCGATCGATATGGGATATCGGTTGGGGTGACCATTGCCAGGGAAACGTTTTGGACTAACTAATATACGTAATTACAAAATAGACAACTTTAATTAATTGAGCAGAGGTAATGTGGTTTATCATGATTTTAATAGTAAATAGTATGACAAATGTAATATAATTATGTAACATACATACTTATATCCCTACTCTATGCTACAGAATCGACTATAAACGAGAACAAACTTTTTCTGACTTTTTATCCCACGTCAGTTTCAAACAAGTACATATGTGAAACTGTAGTCCGCCTGGTGGTAGGCGGTTACCATAGTGTAACGATATTTGCAATTCCTAAGACTTAACATAAGACTAGAAAAACGACTCAAACGATAAAAATTATTTGAAATCGTCTAAGACTCCAAAGTCATAAATCAACACACTATAGGAACAATCTGTTTTGTCAAATGCTTAGCAAAAGGAAGTTAATCCACTATATGTTTGTGTCGATCTACGACCGCCTATTTCCAAGGAGTTGAGCCTTATGACAAGAAAGGGCAAACAAACTCACGGCCACTCTTTTTTAATTACAGCTAGATACAGTCGCTCAGTAAAGATATAACAACATTGTTTTGACGTGTGCGCTAGTAAGCCAGTTATTAAGGATTAATAGGTAAAAGCAACGAAGAGACAGAGAGAAAAACAAGATAAGAAAAAAGATGGAATAGCGCACAATTGAAAGTGAATTGAATTTCAATCTTCGGTATTGCTGAACAAGAATGTAACAATATTATAAAATAGATATAAAAGGGCTATAAAAGGCCACGTATCATCTTTATGGTCACTGTACTTTGTCTAATGCCCACTAATTTCTAAGGTTTCGCACTAAACGGTCTACTTGACGCGGAAAACCTTGTCCGTCATAAACACTTCCCTATATATTATTATCCTTTACATTGAGGTAGCCAACTAATATACTTTTAGCGTGCTAGGTTAAGGGTTAATGATGGTTGCAACAGCATTATTTATACGGACGATTTTAGGACGGCGTGTACACTCACTAAATTTAATTTAAGAAAATGCGGAAATGAGTGACGAAAGGTACAAAAACATATAAACATAACACTAAAGGATGACTCTGAAGTGTGTAAGAGAAATCAATTTTTTTTAGATTAAATAAAAAAAGGCTAGTAAATTTATATTTTTTTAAATTGGGTTAACGGATTAGTACGGACTAATAATAAGTTAATCAATTTAACATGCGTCACATACATTATTTTCTGAAATCCATGAATCTCGTAGAACTCTAAAATGGGTATACCTTATTTTTCTTAGTTAAATATGTATTGAGCAGTGATTTATCGCAGAGAAGGATTGAAGAAGTGGCTTAATCATGCAATTTAGGCGTAGATACGCAGGAAGTTACCGAAACTCTGTGAAGTATTGAGAAAGTCGTAAAAATTAAAATCTTAGTGTGGTGTAGTTGCATGAAATTTTTATTACAATTTAGGCAAATATTATCAATATTTTAGTATTTTTGTGCATTGAATATACCCCCTTATTTTGAATTAATATAAAGAATATAGCGTCTATCAATTTATATTCACAATCTCCATTCAAAAAGAGAGTCACTAAGCAAAGGAAACCGACCTACTAACTACATCCCTTCGAACAATGGCAGCGTAACATTGTCATGTTACCCAAATGATTCAATCATTTCATTTAATTATTTAATGAATATTACAAACGATAACGAAACGATTCAATCACTGCTCTCGCTGTTCGCACAATGTTCTGGAAATGGTCATATCAAGTTTATACGCCACGTCACATAGAGGAATTCACAAATGTAAAGGTTAATCCAATTATGAAATGACTCAATGTGCTTCACGGAAGAGATTACGCATGTCTCAGCGATCCAGTTACAAGCAAACATTTTGATAGAGATGATACAAAAGTAGTTAGTTATGTCTTTACATGTTTCTAGGTATTAAACTCGGACTTCATGGCAATAGCCAGCTCGAATGTTTTGTTTTACACATACAAAATATAATTTTACAATTTGTTGATTTGGTTGGTTATTTCAAAAAGGGTCCGTGTGGTGACGGATTAAGAATACAGTGTCACTACCCCTATTCATCCCGTGGGTGTCGTAAGAGCCGACTAAGGGAGCAAACTACTCAGAACAACAGCATTGCAGAGAGAAGGAAAACTTGACACAAACCCTATACCAACCCGTCTGGCCAGCGAGATATAGTAGGCCAAAACCTCCTTTCTAAGGAGAGGCCTATGTCCAGCAGTGGACTATTAAAGGCTGTTGATGTGATGATGATGATGTGATTTCAAAAAGACTTTGAATTTGTCTAGAAAATTTACTTATGTTTTAAGGAAAGGAGCGAGAAGACCGGGAGCCCTTTTCCTATAAAATTAAATTGTAATTTAAAATTATCATGTCACAAATAATTCAAGTTCAAAACTACTACAAAATACTATATAAGTATATTATATACCTAACAGTATTTTTGATATGGTGAAATACAAAAAAAAACCGGTCAGGTACGCGTCGAACTCGTGCGCCGAGGGTTCCGTACCTACCCAGATTTTACGTAGATTTTCGCGAAAAAGTTACAAGTTAAAAAAAAAACTTACAAGTTTTCGCGAAAATCGAACTTTGCCCATATCTTTTTATCGTGTTGACTCAGGACCTTGATTTTTATACACCTAATAGGGACCATAGACCTCAGTACCTGGTATAAATTTCAACTTGCTAGGTCTACCCGTTCCTTAGAAAATCGGTGGTGACACACGGACAGACGGACAGACAGACAGACGGACGAGAAAGTGATCTTTTAAGGGTTCCTTTTTTACCTTTTTAGGTACGGAACCCTAAAAATAGATAATAATTCAAGTCCGACTCCAAAGTACTGCTACCACATTGTCGTATGTTATGAATAGGAAAAGTGGTTGGGTATTAAGAAAAGACGTCATTATATTGCAACTATATTTTTCGAAAAGAATAGACAGAAAAGATCATAGCATACGCCAAGAAAAAAATGTTCACCAGGGATTATAAGCTAATTAACAGAGCCTACATTAAGGCAAGCGGAATCGTGGAGAAAAGCTGCCAAGAATAATATTATTCTCCAATTATTAATAATAGTATTTTTTATTTATTCAATTAGCCATGACTATTATCGAATTACTTATAAGACCTTAACACATCTCACACACGGCTGTCTGAACCCCAAATTAGGCTACTGACAAACATGCTTACTTATTTCTAAATAGATACATATAATAGATAAGCTACACCCAGCCCCACAATTACGAATGACATAAAATTTGTCTTGGGTGACCGCTTACCACTGGCACAACAGGACACTCAAAAATAATAGATACATATTTTATATAAGAGCAAATAATGGCTATAGAAGTGATAACTTATTACACAAAGTCATTAAGTATTTTCTGTAACACTAATAGCCAAAGATAAACAAAAACCTTACGGTTGGTTACGACACCGACGGCAGAACGTAGATAACAAAGACTTGCTTCGCATAACTTATCTGATCGAGAAGAGTCTGTTGTTCTCCTCTTCGACTTGTAAACAATGGACTAGGAGCGTTATTCTCACTCATCAACTTTAGTTTTTAAAGTATATTGTAGTTAAAACATCATTATTGCAAATTGCAAAATATATTTTATTGTTAAATAACGAAATTCAGTCAAAATTATGCAAAATTGTCTTTGTTAATTTTAACGAAAAAGTACGTAACCAGCAACGCCTCGCGTGGGTCTATTTGCCCGATGTAACATTTCATACATAGGCTTGCATCGTGTTTGCTTTGATAATATATAATTAGAATAAACAAAATCTATTTTGTACGTAGTTAATTCAAATTTTCTGTAAATAATGAGAATTATTGTAATTTTTGAAAGAACTTTTCTGTCCAGAATATTTGTTATGATATAGGGGGCAAACGAGCAGTTGGATCCCCTGATGGTAAGTGACAACCGCCGCTCATAGACACCTGCAACTCAATAGTCACAAGTGCGGCCGAGAATGGCCAATATGTGCCGAAGTAGGGCACTCAAACGATAAATTATCTTACATCTCAAACGAGAACATTTTTATGTGAAAAGCTTAGGTGAACATTCTAAAGAATCTTGATCGTAATGTTGCAATACGAGACGACAAAGAATCTAAATTCTATCGTCTCTAGAGCTTTCCCAAGAGCTACTGTTTCCGATAGGCTGTACCGATACATGGGAAATTAGAAGCACCGAGATTATTGCCTTTTTACGGCTCAGCTATAGTACTTTACAACAAAATTGTGCGACGAATCACATGAAAAAAAATAGTTTTCATTCATGTTTAATACCAACCTAACATACCAGAGATATTCAAACATCAATCGTACTTTTAGTGCTGATAAAGGAATTATTTAATCAGTCTTAACTCGAAGAAAATTTTAATTTCTCATGAGACTAATTGTGATGTTTCACTCGTAGTCTTTTAGGGCGATCACATACTGCATACGTTTTATAAAGCTATAAAATAATTTTATTTTACATAGTTTTGTTTACCAGGCTACTATCGCGTGACTAATGTACTTTTTGCGACAATGCTATCCGAGTAGATGTCAGTAATCCACCTAGAACCAACGATACAAAAACGTTTTCAACTTTGAGTTTGAGTAGCTGAATGACGTCGCTTCTGTGTTACCTGCACGTAATGCATTGGTAATGCATTTTTAAATAAATCAAGTCTGCTAATGCAAATGACTGTCACTGACACTATATGTAGGTACGTTTAATAAAAATAAATTATGATCAAGAGGCTCACGTAGCGCCTTCACGGAACTCTTTCGACGTTACTCGCCAGTACAAAATCATCTGTATGGTTTTCGTACCCATTTTCGTAAACATTTGTAGTGTTTGTCAACCGTTGTTTTCCGTAGGGTACTTTGACAATTAATTGGCTTTGAGCCGAGTTGTTCTGTTATAATTTATATTTAAGAATAATATTTTTTCAAAAATATTGCACTTTTGGTTACGTGTAAGGTGTTTTACTGTAGTATTGTTTACTAAAGTTAATATATACTAAAATATTCTGGTCGGTAAGAAGAAAAATCAATGTGGAAGCGTTCCTACTTTGTATTTTTAGATAAAGTAAGAAAGTTTAACAAATTGATTCAACAATTCATACTTAGTAAACTTAGCTAATTAAAATCGCAGACCGTTGTTTGTCATTGGTAGCACCGTCCGTCTGGATGCGCGTCGCGGGATGAAAGCGCGTAGGTGTTTGCTTCCTTATAAGTCTTTGTAGTCGCATCTATCCAGACATTTCTCTTAGCATATTTGCGCTATCCAGACGCCTGGAACGACCTAATATCACTTGAAATCCTTTGATCGCTTTTTTAAGTAATTGTTGGTGTATTAAAATGAAGTGGAAATACGCGTGTTTGCTGATCGGAGTTATTTTGACCGCTGTTATTACGTGCGAAGCGTTTCCATTTCCAGCAGGGCATATAGATTATGTGAGTAGAATTAAACGTATTTTCGTAACAAATAAGTTTGATGTTTATTTCATTTGAGTTGCATGTCACTTTGGAAATACTTTTTACTTGTTTTTATAGATTTTCCACTTGTTTACACTTTAAATATAAGTACCATAAATAGCTTCCCATTTTTTAAAATTGTTTTTATTTGTCAATCCTTCGCCTTATCCGCACAATTTTCAAGCAATTTTGTACACTGATGAATGTGAAATTTGGAATCATAAATAAATAATTTGTGTGTAGAAATGCAGAAAGTGTAGTTTATATGTAGAAAATTCTAGAAATATATAGATTTATTTGACCAGAAAATTGTTTATAAACTCGAAAGTTTGTGAGTATGGATGTATGGATATTTGTAATTCAATACACCAGTAATGTAATACACCAGAGCGGCTGAACGGATAGGGATAAGAATGAATTGGCCCATTTCATGAAATTCATAAAAAGAGTACGTAGCAAGTTACATGTTAGAATGAAGGTCCTATTAATGATTTTCAATTATTATACGTTTTAAAAAGTGTACCTGTAAAATAATTGCCGCTGATAAATTTTAGTTCTTGGAATTTGATTTATTTATTTAGTTACGTTTTTATGACTGTATTGCAATAGATTGCAGCAGTCGGTCTATTTTGTAGAACATTTTCTTACAAATGATGTTGGGCTCACTTTAATCACATAACTACAACTTATCGAAAAATATGAATTTCGGTATATTTAATTGAAGGTAATTCGAGCTACATCTTGCTCTGCAGTTCTGCTGTTATACGTCTACTATCCTGAAAATCAGGTGTATTAATTTTATAAATAATATAATGTAGATTTGGATTCACATTTATTGGAAAGCACGTTAATAAGTCGTTAGTAGTTTACTAATCAAGTTCTCATATACATTTTCCGTGTGCACTGGTCTAATAACAAATTATAGTTATGCGTGACTCAAATATGGTATCATCTTATAGCACAGTAGCATAGGTACATCTATATTAATCATTTTGAGGATAAAAATACGTTTCCTCTAAATATAGCACAAACCATAGACTTAAAGCCTCATTTTCAATTATCATAACTAGTACCACCACCACGTAAACTTTAGAAATACGTACGAGGGGTGATCAATAAGTAATGATAATCGAGTATTTCTAGAACGCACAAAAACCCAAATTATTTTTTTTCTGCTTGCTTATATATCCACTACTTCAGCTTCAAAAAAATGTATAAATAGGACACCATTACCGGGAGATACATTCATTTGAATACGAACTGTCGAAGAGAAAACATCAAAATGGAGAAAAATAAAATAAGAGCTGTCATCAAGTACCTCTGCCTGAAAAAAATGTCTACCAAAGACATACACAGCGACTTAGAGGAAACATTGGGGGAGTCTGCTCCTCCATATTCCACAGTCGCACGCTGGGCAAAGGAATTTAAGCTGGGCAGAACCTCCACTGAAGATGAACATCGCGAGGGACGCCCTTCCACGTCCCTTACTGGAGAAAACGTCAAAAAAGTGGAAGATATCGTGTTGGCCGATCGAAGGGTGACCGTAAGGCATGTAGCTGAGGTCACAGGGATCTCCTATGGCAGCGTTCAAAAAATCATTGTCAACAAAATGCATATGAAACAGGTATCTGCGCGTTGGGTACCGAGAATGTTAACCGACGAGCAAAAAAAGAAACGAGTCGACATTTCGAGGGTGAATCTTCAAAAGTTCCAGGCCGATAAAGAATTTTTTTTGTCGCGTTTTGTGACCATGGACGAGACCTGGATCCACCACTTTGATCCCGAAACCAAACAACAATCAATGACTTGGAAACGAGCTTGCTCACCAACGCCGAAGAAATTCAAAGTGTCAAGTTCAGCGGGAAAGGTTATGGCGTCTGTTTTCTGGGATGCAGAAGGAATTATTATGGTGGAATATTTGGAAAAGGGGGCCACTATAACAGGCTCTTACTACGCAGGCCAAATAAGAAGATTGCGAGAAGCTATTAAGTCAAAAAGACGCGGTAAACAGCGCGCTGGAGTGCTGTTTCACCAAGACAACGCCCCGGCTCACAAAGCCGCAGTTGCGATGGCTGCCATTGAAGAAACGGGGTTCGAACTGCTCGAACACCCTCCCTATTCGTCAGATCTAGCTCCCAGTGACTTCTACCTCTTTCCTCGGCTCAAAGAACACCTCCGGGGCAACAAATTTGAGGACAATAGTGAAGTGATGGCCGCAGTAGAGGCATTTTGGGAGGGTCAAGATAAAGATTTTTTTTCTAAGGGAATCATGGGCTTAGAAAAAAGATACACTAAATGTATTAACTTGCAAGGAGACTATGTTGAAAAATAAAATACTTTTTTTAATCTAATAGTTCTGTTTCATATTGATTATCATTACTTATTGATCACCCCTCGTATGTAGCTTTTTACATCAATAAGGGAAATATAAAAATAAGTACCTATAGCATTTATTAAGACACACTAACATAGTACATATTTTGTCATGTCAATCAAAATCTAAGCATCCAGAACATATAAGCGAAATCAATAAGTATAGTAGATTTATTAGTAAACTTAAAGTTTTTCATTTGACATACTATTTTACTATGAATATAATTATGATAAGGGAACCGAATAAACATTATACTAGCCAAAGTTTTATACATGTATATGACATGGATATGGAAGCTATTTTTTTCCTGATAATTTTAATTTCTTTAGGATTTGGTCACGTATTTTATATAGCCGTAAAGCTGAAACAGAACAGATCTCTGCTCCAATAAACGGATCGAGTAGTCACCCCGTCTCCGTAGAAGACAGTTTTTATTTATTTCAGATGGCCTCACAATGGAATAGCACAGAGGAATAGTTAACAAATAATATAATCTCTTTCAGATGGAAGCTCTTCGCCGCATGCAGCAGGTTCCACAATGGCATTGTATGAGGTACAGAAAGTTTCACCTCCACGGCCACTGCAGCCGATGGCTTCTAATGCGAAGAACCTGATACACTGGATGATTTCTGAAGCACATGAATCGCGTATCACTTTCAAATTTCTAACTGACGTTAGGGACTTATTTAGGTAATTGAACTTGAGTATTTATTGAATACTTTCAGTTAGTTTCGTCGTGATAAGAAATTTAAGTTATCCTTATGTAGTTTACTTCTACTTTTTCAATTATTTGTTCCATTTTTTTTGGATAACATCCAATGAACCGTTATTTTAATTTGTTTAGAATTTAATAATAAAAACACAGGCACGTATATAATATTTGTACGTATATAATATAAAATAGGTGTTATCTTCTTGTTGGTTCTAATAACGTATAGGTACGTGTATATCGAACTTCATGCCGAAATACCTACTTGCAAACTATTGAAAAGTTATTCAATTTAAATGGGGCACACTGCCCTGCGTGATTTATTAAATAAAATGTTTTTATTTTTTTAACTATTTTTAACCGTCACACATTTTATAGGAACATATTATTATATAGGAAAATTGACATGGATATCAGTTACTCATGTTTAAATTGCTATAATGTTGTACTAAATATGGTCTATTTACTCCAAAGTGTTATTCACTCTTTAAGTACTTATAAATTGTAACTTAACTATCAGTATTAAGTTAGTGTAATCATTTAGTTTAGTAGTAAATTAGAAAGTAAAGTTATTGTCTTGAAATAGTGGTTTTATTTTCGACACATCTACAGAAGATACATTGAAAGGTTCATCGTACGCTAACACCAGTTGCTCAATAAAGGAACTAAGTATTTATGTGATGTAACTGAGCACAATTATACTATCGCTTTAGGTAGGTACGCCAACTGTCCGTAGAGATGAATGGGTTTCCCGTTCTAACTAGTAACTAGGTCGCTTCCAGAAACTACTTATACCTTTGTATATTGCGTTTGTGCAGCTGGCGATTGTGACATGTTGTAATGAAGTTCTTTTGAATCATGTTACATTATTATGTCATAACAAGACAGAGACAAGAGTGCATTAATCTGATAAATACGTAATGCGACGTAATAAGGAAATGCACTTATTTTACACACCAGAAACTCGCACAATCTGCATAGGTGGTATTACTAACTTGAAAGACAGTTTAAGTTGACAGGGTGAGGATTATAGAATTTTCTGTTTTTTTTTTCTCTCTCAAACATAAAATTATCTAAACAATTTCATTATAAATATATTTTCGTAAATACCGAAGTTCTCCTTACTATTCAAATTAAAGCTATTTTGGATAAGTGAATCGTACGGATATACACATTATATCTTACACGATTCTCAAGAATGTTATTATGAAAGACACAGTATCATACAACTAAATCAATAGTGTCAGTTTATGAGTTAATATGCTACTGCTGCTACTGCTGGACACAGGCTTCTCCTTAGAAAGGAGGTTTCGACCTACTACGAATATGCCACGGTGGCCAGACGGGTTAGTATAGGGCTTGTTTCAAGTTTTCATTCTCTTTGCAGTGCTGTTGTCCTGCGTAGTTTGCTCCCTTAGTCGACTCTTACGACACCCATGGAATTATATACGGTGGATACTCTTAGGATAAGTAAAAATAATTTTCATTGAGACTTATGTACACAAAGGAAACACTTATGAAAAGTGAGTAAATGAATATATTTTAAGAATTAAGAAAGAAGAAGATTAGCTTACACATTCACAAGCTTGGGATAAGTAAGAATAATTTACAACTAGTCATACACTGGAAACGCGATTGAGTTATTCTAGTGATAAAAAAACAGAGGCGCAGCCGCACCTTCATTTTCTCGAAACTCTTTAAACTCTACACAAAAAGTATCTAGGTACATAGCTTTCTGTCTAAGTTGTTCCAAAAATAGGTAGCTACGGAACAAGTACAATCTCTTTTTTCCTAAAACTATATTTGAATTGACCGCTGCTTTCAATACAAATCTCTTTGATTAAAACCAATGGCCGCTTTCTTTTTTTTTGAGGTGGCAAATCTCTCCGGATCTCCTGCTCCTCGGGAACTCAGGTGCTAGGAGTATGTCGTGATTTCACTAAAAACCACCCCAACGGCCGGCCTCAGGTGCCATACTCTGGGAGGACCCAGACTATGTTATTTCAGGTCCTCCCCTAATTGACACCATGCCTAATTAGACCCTATCCCAGGGGAAAACACTTCCCCCCCTCAATCGCGACTTGGCACCCCAATGGCGACTTATTGCGATCAGGCCGTCATCCTATCCCCTACCTCATCAGTCAATCTGTCACCAGAGGTCCCCACTCTCTGGCGGCCCGCGGACCGTGTTCGCGAGTCACTGCTGTTGATCCTGGTGTAAAGGAGTTACAGTGGTGAGCGTGTGGGAGGCACTAATTAGTCCCAATAAAAAAATTCATACTTTTATAAAAAATATTGGTTCTTTATGCCTATTTGGGTCCCCCTTTTTGCCACCTTTAAGATATATTTTTGTGACATAAAGTAGCCATGCTTCTTCAAGGGTTTATTTATCTAAATACCTATATTCATCCAATAGAAATTGTGAAGTTTAAGCCTTTCTAAATAGCCTGCATATAAAAAAAAACAGTTTTTACTTCAGTTTCATAGGTAGAATTGCCTCTAAAAATCTTAAAAGTATCTTCAATTCTGGACTAGACCAGTTAAAGTTTGATTAAAAAATATATATAGAATATTAGCTGACTCGGCAAACGTTGTTTTGCAAAAAAAAGTTAGGGGTGGGTCACCTTCTTTTTTTTTTTTTTTTTCGTGCGGAAATCCCCTCGGACACTATCGGTGGCATGTCGGACCCGAACCGACTAAAACCGCACGCCGTCTCGGGTACTAATAGCCGGGGAACCAGGTATACCCTAGAAAGGAAGTCCCTGGTGCCCCGACATACCTCGGGTCATCTACAGACGAGTAGACGACCCCCCCGTGTGGGAACCCCATGTTCCCTGTGCTCCCTGGAAGCGAGCGCGATTCGCAACGCGCTCGCCGCCACCCCGGCCTGCTTCTGCTAGGGTGACAGATGGCCTCACCTGTCACCCCCAGGCTTATGGAGTACGGAGGTCGTTCTGCGACCTCCGGCGCATGAGTCGCCTGCGGTACCTGGCCCGTTCCCGGGCCTGGCGGGCCGGGAGTGACCTAAACCTCTCCCGGTCCCGCTCCGCCGTCTCCTTCGCGAGCATAACTTGCTCGCAGAAGGAGACGGCAGAGTTCCACGCACTCCCGCTCCGCACGATAGCCGCAATCAGGCTATCGAGCGAGAGAACTCCCACTCCGATGGCCGCCACGAGGTCTCGCCTCTGCTCAACCCACGCCGGGCACTCTGCCAGCGTGTGGAGAGCCGTGTCCACGGTCTGGCCATCGCAGTGGTGGCACTCAGGCGTTGGCTCCTTGCGGATCAGACACAGGTGATCCCCGAAACATCCTTTCCCAGTGATCACCTGCGTCAGTCGGTATGAGAGGGTCCCGTGACGCCTCTCGAGCCAATCCTCCATAACGGGTCTTACCGCCGCGATGACGGCGTGCCGGCGCTCGGTTGCCCGAGTCGTTCCTTCCACTCCCCTATGATGACCTGGCGGAGTTGGGATTTCCGGTCATCGATTTCTCGAGTCTCGGGACACCGACCCAACTCCCGCGCCTCCTTGCGCCACTTATACAGAGCCGCAAGGGCTCTCGCCTCCAGGTCCCACGGTGGAGTTCCGGCCAGGAGACTCGCCGCCTCAAAGGAGATCGTGCGGTACCCCCTTATGATCCTGATGGCCAGGGGTGGGTCACCTATCATGTATGATAAATAGTTGCTGGCCGATTCTCAGACCTACCAGGTATGCAAGCGAAATTTCATAAAAATCGGTCCAGCCGTTTCGGAGGAGTTTGGTAACAAACACCGCGACACGAGAATTTTATACATTAGATTATATTACTTAAACCTATACCTTAGCAGCCTACGGAACCACATTGTAAATGGCAAATCTACGTAATGGGTATATGGTAATAAATTGATAGGATATATTAAACACACACTACATAACAAACACTACAGTGTGAAATAACTAAGATCAAGAAGAAGATCAAAATATATGATACACTGGGCTCTAGGATGAATATGCCACTAATTTTGCTCAGACTAAAATGCACATGATGTTTAAAATACATAATCGGGATCCGGTGAGCAACTATGATAGTAAATGATATTTAGTTGTGGAAAAATCTTTGTTAGTACTGAGGCGCCATGACGTTATAATATTTAAGTTATATTTTAGGCTTCGAATACTATTCGGTCATTCAAATCCAATTCTCTCCAGTTTCTTAGCATGTTTTCTTATAGACATTTAGATAAGTCATTATTTTGTCTGGTATGCTTGTTTTTGGACCTATTCATCCAAATATTATTACATAGTCGGACCGTGAAGAAGAAAAATAGTTCAACAAAACTAAGTACACTGGCGCCTACAAGTAGACCTGTTGTTCCTCCAACTGAAACTAAGAAAAGGCTTATTTTGTTAATGAAGAACGGCCAACCGAGTAGCTCATTTTTAGTGGAGATGTTTACCAACTAAATCTAATCGACTCCTGACGACGTTCCTTTTGAATCTCTCAGTGGGCAAAAAACCAAGAATAATTTCAACCAACGCTGGTTTCAAATCATTTCCGGGGCTGAAAAAAGTTATAGAATATGACATATACATTTTTTATTATTGGTGTGTGATGTTTTTAATAAAATAAAACATAATTCTAGTTTTGTTAGGGTAAGCTGGTGACACATCTGCTGCCAAAATCGTAATTAAACCCTTAATTGCCTCCTTGATTGTGTCGACGATGCAATCATATAGAAATATCTGGATAGTTTTTGCAACAGGGCAGTAGGTACAAGTAATACTGAGGTCACCAAATCGTATTTGCCACTTTGCTGAGGCTGCAAGTTTGCTGCGTTTGTGGCTTCAATAAGTTTCATATCATGACAAAGAACTTTGTGACTCAATGGCGAGGGGCGCAATAAGTGCACGTATGTCGCTCTCAATAGATATGAAAGGATGAAATTCGGAAATTCTCTCTCCCTCTCTCTCTCTGTCTCCTACATTTGGGTAAAAAAACAATAGTCTAGTCAAAGTTTGAGAAACTTTTCAAATAATGTTTCATCTTAATTTAAGGTAAGAATATTGTCTCCATACAATGTTACTATATACTTAAGACGTAGTTTTAACTGAACGTGCACTGATCTACAGGCGTGTGTATAAAAAAAACCGAAATTGCTAAGACCGCCGTGCGCTCTATATCGCACCTGCCCTGTTGAATGTGAGGTTTTAAGTTTCACACGAGGACTGGTTTAGACACCATTGTTGGAATCTAAGCTTAATTCAATGGGTGCTATTTAAAACTAGAACTCCTCAGAGACGAAAAATAAAAAAAGTATAATTATTACTTTCTGGCTTCATCGTTAATAACAGTGATCTCCCGTTCATCACACGAAGGCAAACAGTCACAAGTAAGACCAGGGCGTTGTGACCATGCAGGTTTCAGTGCAGTCAGGTATTTCGACATTGAATTAAGACAGTTCATTCCTGTTATATTACATCGTTCTTCTTCGGCTGTAATACATTGAGTTTATTGAAAAGTTAGATGGAAATTTGTTTAAAGCCCTCTTGAGGTTTTCTTTTAGTAGTTACTAGTAACCAATTAACATAAAATAAATAAAATCAATTATTAAAACAAAGCTCATTCTATGTAAAAATAGAACTAACTGGTTTGTTGTTTATCCGAGGTCAGTTTATTGTTAATTTGGTTACAAAAATATTCCATAAATAGCTGTGCTTTATTTCATAACCATCACATAATAATTAAATGCAAATTAACTTGACCGAATTACGATCATCGCGTCTTATAAAAAGCGCGTTCATTTCCATAGTGCGCGGAAGTGCAATCAAATCGATTTTTCTATATTAGATTAAAAAAATACAAAATAGATTTGTTAATCTAGGATTAGTCTTGATAGGTTTACAAGTCTTAATGGATGTAAGTTGCGAGACGTATTGACTTAGTATAACATATTTTTAGCTTTATTTGCTAGATAAAAACATTAAAAAAGTAACGATAACGAAGGACTCTTACTCGTGTTGAGCATGAAGTGGTCATTGCACTGGCACAATTTCAACTGTGCTCGCTTTCGGCACAAAACAGTGCACGCACTGTATGAATACTGAGGATAGAGACCGCCTTCGTTCTCATGATGAAACCGGCAGGCTCTCTGCTTGGCTGTAGTCTCTGTTATAAAAGGATCGTTATCTATGTCTCGGACGGAAAGAACTCGCCTGGGAATAGATAAAATTTAAAAAAGCCTTATTAAAATGAATGTATTTCATTTCCATCGTATTTGAAATCGTTTATTGTTTATACATTGTTTTTTATTTATTAACGCATAACATTTAATGAATTTTACAGGATAGTTCAAATTCATAAAATATGGTTCAGTCACTCCTTGGTAGCTAACACCCCAACAAACCATCATTCAATTCAGATGATGCCTACGTTGTACTCTGGTGACTAATTGGGCAGCTTCTATAAAGCTTTGAGCATAAACTCAGTCATTCTGCTTGCTTAAAGTTAAAATATTGCTCAATATAAAAAAAATATAGTCAGTAAATAAAAAAAATACTGTGACCTCCCGTTGCGTACCCCTTAAGAAGTTGTTTTGATTTTACCACCATTTTTAAATTACCCATTAGTCAAATAATGACCAGTGCGTCTCTTATAGGAGCCGAGCCCGAGCAATCTTTTAAAATACATGACATGGTTCTAAATGCTATATTCGTTTCCCTTGATAAAACATTTTGCTTTCTTGCTATTTTTCTTTCTTTACTGCTTTGATCGCTCAGAGCGGTGTGTGATATGTGGCAAGATATTGTTATTATAATAATGGATAGGGTAAATTCTTAGATTATTTACATATAATTCAGCACAAATGAGCCGGCGTGACTGCAGTTTATACAATACGACAGCCTCACAGAAAACAGGTGTTCAGCAATGCTTACCGGTATTTGCGACCATATTGGAGCTTTAATGTTGACGATAGTGATGTTGTTATTGTTGGGACTTCATCATCCCCCAACGTATACATCTGGAAAGTAATCAACTAAAGCACATAAATGTAAAATTTATTATAAAAGAAATATCGAACAATCTTCGAAACGAAAAAATACATAACCAGAGATAGATTTACTCTAAAAAAATATATTTATATTCATGTGATAAAGTCACAAAAGAACGGCTTTTTTATGGATAGCTTATGAAAAACAGTACGTGGTTGAATATCGTGTCACCAGATTTTTGGAATAAACAACTGTAAAAAATCTTTTGGGCTCCCAAGGTGCGCGATCAGTAATTATTAAATCAATTAAAAAAAAAAACAACAAAGTTTGAATGTGTACAAATAAACATTTTGTAATATATTAGGAAGCTAGGACTCTTCTAACAATGCATACAGTAGAAACTTTGATGAAAGCTTTCATAGATTTATACATGAACAGTAACGAACTCTGCAATCCTAAAATGGTGTCTTATGACAATAGTGGCCAGGGCTTTTTTGGTTTTACCTTAATTTTACCCCTTTTTAACTTCAAGACTTACCATGGAAGTCACATTAACATATAACCTTAGAACTCCCTGTTTATTACGCATATTTTTCACCATCGGATAAGGTTGCTGTTTTCTGAAAATACACATAACGCAATTAAAAAAAAAGTAGTAAGCAAAAAAAAGATAATAACACTTAATAATAATAACACTTTTTATTGTAAACAAAAATATAATACAAAGAGATGTACTAAGCTAGTATAATACGGCTAGTACAATTGGCGGCCATATCGCACAGTGGCAATCTTTTACAGGCAACCATGGAATGGAGTTCTCTTAGAGTACAGACAATACTCTAAAAGTAGTACTAGACTGGGAATATTGTATGTAGGTATATGTTTTATGTGAAATTTAATGATTTAGAAAGACAGTGGCGACAAGTAAGCGTCATTTATGCAGTTAGTAAGAAATGCGAAATTAGGATTCTAAACTGAGTACAACCGCACATCAAGAAGGTAACTCAATAAATTCATATTATTATAACTAAAACCGATGGCTATCACTTCATCATTTAAAACAACGTTCTTACTTAAGTTACCTGTTGGAAAAATTAATACATTACTTTGTTTGCACAGAGTTAATAATGAAACATGGTCCAATGTCAGTCTCTATAGGCAGAAAGTATTGGCAGCATGGAAACTCCTTATTGTCATATGAACAATTCGTCAAGATTGTTTCACAATCACTCCGGGCCAATTTGGCATAGTAACTGTAGTTAGACTTAGGGCAGTTAACATCTGGTTTCTGAGCCTTAAAACATTTCTTTAGGAGTATGCGACTCACTCCTCGGTAAAACACTATATCCTTCAACACATCATCTAGATCTAAAAAATGATTTTTAGTCCATAATCTGCAATGAATTAAATTTTTTAAGAAAAGGAATCCTTCAACCACAGATTACCCCCTTAAACAAATTTCTAGAGTAATGGGGTAAAAAGTTTTTATTATAATTAGAGATCGCCTGGCGGGCAAATTTTACCCATTTTGAATGTCGTGTTTTATTTCAATGACCAGTATACCTTGAACTGTCATTGTATAGACTTTTGCATCACGGCAGGTCAAAACATATATTGGACGTTTATGTAGCTGTTTTACATGATTGTTTATACCATATATTCTTTCTGCATTGATATGCTACAATGCCAAATATTTCTTTAAAATTAGTTACATCAATAGTCACTGCTGGCTTTGCCACCGTGGAGGCGCTCCAGCCGGTTATCGTCGAGTAAGCAGGGCGGCAGCATGCGACCCTTTCCTTCCGACTGACGCAGGTCCTTTCCGGGCACCGCTCGAATCGAGTCCTGCCTGTCACCACTGCGATTGCATTGACGACTCAGTTCAGCACAAGCTGGCAATTTGATTTGAGCTCATATGCATTAAGATCTTTGTGATAGAATTCTTTAAATTTATGGCATTTTTCAATCAACTCGTCAGAACCGATTGTTGTTAATTGAAAATTGCCATTTTCTTAATATGCTGCCAAACGATATTTCGAATGTGCATATAATGTATCGATAAACGTATTTACACGAAATTTTTCTTTGCCATGCAACTGTACTGATCTTTCAAAAAAAGTGACGCACATGCTACGAATTATTTTCCTTTGAGACTTATCTTTATTCAACAGCCAAACATTTAACAGTCTGAATACCTAGTGAACGTAAGTGAATGTACTGCACACGGAACAAAAATTACAAAATTACACTTTTCTTTTTTTCTGTTTTACCAACTTTATTACTAGTTTATCCCCATTTTAGTAAAATACCCACTGGGTATATGCTCCAGTCCCTTACTTACTAGGTGCATTTTAGGTATCTTTTATAACTATTATCAATTTGACTAATAACATTTTAAGTTATAATACATGAATACGAGTATATAGAGTTACCCAAAATAAAGAAAATCCAAGCCATAAGGCGATTTTACAGCACAATAAAAAAGTGTAGATAGTGGCAAAACGCGAAACTACCCATTACTATCTGGAAAATTTGGCAATGAAACATTTTCTGTCGTATTCGGCAATGTCATTGGTTCGTCATTGCTAAGGGTTTCCAAGTCGCTAACAATGGCCAATGTTTCCTATAGGTCTGCAACAATGCAAGTAAGCTTGCATAAGATATCTGACCTTATACCCATAAGCCGTGGTAGGACGTCATAAAAACTTTGGATTAGGAGGAGAAAGGCATAACGCAATATGTCACACTTGCGTTTTGCCGACGACCAGATTCTCGTTGCCGATTCCGCCGCAGAACTCCAGATCATGCTCGGCCAATTGCATGATGCTTCATTGAGCGTCGGCCTCAGGATGAATATGTCGAAGACTAAGGTAATGACAAATCACAAATCTTTTGGAAAATTGGAAGACGCCTTCAATTCAAAAATCCCGCAATGTCTAAAAACCAAGACAATGTGTTTTGCCTATTCTCACCTATGGATCTGAAACAAGGCCTCTTACAAAAAAGCACATGTATGCCATAAGAGTAGCTCATGGAGCGGGCCATGATAGGTATCCACCTTGTGGACCATCGAAATTCGACGCCGCACTAATGTCGAGGATGTGGGTATATGGATTGCGAGGCTTAAGTGGAGTTGAGCAAGGCACTTGCCATAACGGGATGACGACCGATGGACTAAGGCAGATACGAAATGGTGGCCATGAGATAGGCAGACAACCTGCCCGACGGTCAGACGACATTGTGAGGGCAGTAGGAGAGCAATGGGTCCCGCTGCCACAGAATCGCCGGAGTGGCTTGATACAGAAGATGCCTATACTATAGAGACAGAACAACGCCCCCATTTACTTTGTACTTTTTTTGGGTCGGATTATATGGTTCTAAAATAGAAAAAAATTGTTTAGTGTAAGCAAGTATATCGCTTTTCGGGGCCGCCGCAACGATGGGGGCCCCGTGTGCCCTTATGGTAAAGACGGTACTGGCAGATGGTGTACCTTATAGTTTAAGGAACCTTCACCTACTTTTTAATTTTTTTGTTTTAATCCTCCCGTTGTACAATGATTTGTGTCAGTCAAAGTAGTAGTTCTGTGTTTGCATTGTTTGTGTGTGGCCATCGCGCCGGCCATCACTACCTCGGGCTATCACGCGCCGGCCAGCCGTGTACCGCGCGTACCTTTTCCGTTTGTTTTAATGTAAACTTGAAGTATAGGTATTATCCTTTTTAGTATTAATAGTAAAATCTAACAATAAAGTTAATGGTAAAGTATTATATCGTTAGATGGCGTTACAATTTTCACGACAATATTTTTCTAATTGTACGTAATATACTTACCTAAATAGGAAAACCATCTTAGAATGTATCATATTTTTATTAAAACAGTTATAAATCGCGACCAAGTAGCTTAGAATCTAGTGTTATTCCTAATAATATAGAAGAATCCACAAGGTCTAACTCGACATCCTTAATCATCACAGCGGCTTGACGTTTGGCGTGGTAACACTTAGTTTTTTGTTCATTCATATGCAATTTGTAAACATCAAACCATTAAACCACTTTCGAAATGGAGCTGTTTACGTCTGTGAAATTAGTAAGTGTGCGTTTTAGTCTAAATAATAGTGATGTATCATCTGTAAACAATGCAATCTTTGTCCTTGACAAGGTGAGAATAGAACCTTGTGAAACGCCTTTTTATACCACAGAACCCGGCGACGGCTCACCATTAATTTCAACTTTCTGAATCCTATTACTTTGATAAGAAGCAAGAAGTTCCAGTAATATAATTGATGTTATTTTATGTTAAGTTTTTGTGCCAATTTTCGTAATATTATACTTTATGTTAAATTAACAGAATAATTCCAATACTTACGCGTCAGCTACCTCAAATGTCTTATCGTTTTCTAGCTCACAAATGGCGACCGCTGGCATTTTAGTATCCCAGTCTATGTAGACTGTGTCGACGCCAAAACTAATTGGACTTAGAACAAAATTCTCCCATGCAGCGATGATGAGTAACGCAGAGCAATACCAAGACAGAATTACTAATACAAGCCACAATAATCTGGTGAAATATAAAACACTTATTACATTATTTTTGGAATAAATGCCGAGCTAATTTATAAAAATAATTCATTTTACAAATAGATTCTAACATGCAAATAGCAGAATCAAACTTGTGCTGTATTATTAGACTCGTATGTGTTGGTTATGTGTGGATTTACTATACCTTTCTAGCCAGTGTTTAGTATGATCAGCAATGAAATGAATACCGGCAAAGGAGCAATTAGCACAATAGTCCTTAATTAATTGTTTACAAATAGTTTTGATATCAGACATTTTAGGATGCTTTTAAAAAACAACAATTTCGTTTAATAGCGGCATAAACGTCACAAAACGAACAATAATATGAACTTTATGTGTTTTAATATTGCCGACATGTTGTGCAAATGCAATGAATTATTAATATCAAATTAATTTCATGCTTATGCAATGTCGTGATTTTAAAACATTCAATATTTATTGTTCAAGGTTTTTACGTAATAAAACAACCTTGTATGTGGCATTGTTTTGTTATTTTCAACATACATAAAACAGAACAAACCAAAAACCAAATTAAAATTTACAAACAGCAAAACGTAACAGAGCTTACACAAATTTTAATCTTATGTGATATGTAACACTAATTATTCTATATTTACATATTTATACATAACATTATGTTAACCATACATATACAACCATACACATTATGAACTAAGTAACATATGTTGAGATATATGTACATTATACAACTATCGTGTCGCTAACGTAGCCTTCTTTTGTCGCAAAGATAAAGAGGTTTCTTCAAAAATCCTCTAAAACAAAATTCGTTTATTTATTTGGTGCCATTACATTCCTAACGGGAGTCTTGATAATTATGTTATTAATAGATAAATAAATATAGGGCGCGTAAAATCGCGTATTATCAATTAGATATGGTTGGTATGGAACTCCTTGATATGTTTTTCTGTGTTTTAAGTTGATTATATGATTACAAACATTAATGCATACTCTAATGTATTCATTAGTAAAGGGAGATAGTACTTTATAAAGTACTCAAATGCTTTATGTATAATAGTTTTTTGAAATTATGATTTTATTGAAATCCGTGTTATTACTGGGTGGAATTTGGAACCGCCATCACTTAACTGCGAGACCATAACAGTACCATTTACACTTGGCCCTAACAAATAAGTAGCTATAAGCTTTACGATTAAAACTTTTTACAAATACTGTAACAGATCCTGATTCTGTAAATAAAGAGACTCGTCAAAGTCTAAGTGCTCTTCAGGAAACAATGCAAGGACTTCGTTGTGCTTTAGACCTGTTGGTTCTGATGAGTGCGGACGCAATCTCCTTGGAATTAAACCTGCGTGCGTGAGAATTTTGTATATTTCCTCCCGTGAAACATCGTGGGCGTCGCGTGCAAATACCTTTAAATAAAAAAAGTTTTACAAAGATGTCACACAGGAAATATTACCTAACAAGTTACTAGAAACAAAACCGGACCATCCAGTCAGACAAAATAATTTAATTCAAATGTTCAAAATAAAATATATTTTCTTTTATATTATCGTGAGAGAGCTATGCACAAATGGGCCGGACCGGAGTGATACCACCACCACATAGAAAATCGGATCCTAAATCCAGGCGCCCCCTGGAGGGGACTCAAGACAGGCCACGCGCTTGTGTCTCTTGAGTTGCATGGGCGGGGTAGTCACTTACCATGATGTGACCCGTCTGCTTTTAAAAAAAACAAAAAATTAAGATTTAGGGGAGCGGCCACCTTAATATTGTTGTATAATCAGCTAATAAATTTTGCACAAACAAAATATTTAAGCAAGATTGTATTTCACTAAGCTATTTTCTAAAACCTGTTACGATATCACTTTTTTTTTAGTTTATTGGGTAAACAAACAATATCACAATAATAAATGATTAAAATAGAGTTTTAAGCCATAGATTATTGCTAATTGTGACATCCACACCGTTTACGACAAGTATGATGTACACAGTATTTTTAGCAGGTTGAGAGTATTTCAGACATAAATGTACATTTCTCAAAATCATGTATTATATATTATGCATATTAGTTCATAGTGTCATGCAGTTCCCTCATTACTAGGTTTCTGTAAACGCTCACACTATTTACAAAAATATCAATGTGTGATATATTAAGTTTATTCCAAAACATATTTATCCAATTTAATGCTCCAGAAGCTACACTCGAGAGCAATAGATTTAGGTTACGTAAAGATGGCTGAAAGTTTCGGACACTAAGAATACTCTTAGTGAAATAAATTGTGTTTCTAAGATAAATAAATGCTTCTATAATTGCAGTAGATGGTATATATTATTGTATCTTGAAAAAAATAGAAAAGCATAATATTTTTAATATCTTTACGATTTTATGTTACCTTCATGTTCTGCTATTATATCGGCTATGCGTTTAGTAATGCTGAACACCAAAATATTTTTATATGATATGGGTGCCTTCTCCAGCTTTAAAACTCAACCGGGTTAAGGTCCGAGCTACGTGTTCACAATCCGACCCGGAACTTTGCTCTTGGCTGTATTTTAAAAATAAATAACGTACGGAAAATCTGACACTAGAAATTCCAGCACAGTTTTACTGATACTTCTTTTACAGTATAAGCAGCACACCTATGGCATTCCTTACCGCAAACTGTAAGGCGGGGACGGTCAGTGAGTACTTTTAAGAAACACGTCAAGGATCACTATTTATTCCTGTAAGAACTATGTGTTATATCGGTATGTGTAGGTATGTGTATGCATATTTATATGAGTGTATGTTTGTGTATGAATATGTATTCCTGTATATGTAAATTATGCGCACCACAAACTACATATTACTACACAGTATAGTCCATCTAAAGGTTGCCTGTTAGAGATCGCAAACTGCGATAAAGCCGCCCATTGTACCACTGTTATTTTTTACTTTTTGTTTATATTTTGCATTGTATTTTTAATATCCACGGTATGCAATAAAGAGTACCTATCTATGTTCTATACACTTTTTCTCTTTATGCTAGAGAAACGAATATCCTTTCTCCACAGCATACAAGTTGTAAGAAACTCTTGAAACCCTACTCTAAACGAGGTTTCGTAGTTGTAATCTCCTGTGGGGAGGATGTACCTACTATTCTAATCTAATTTAAGAATGGCTTGAATAAGTTCATCACGAAACCCATGATACAGATACTCTAGACAGAGAGTGACAACCTACAGGAACAGGGGAGCATCCTGCGACTGGCCGTATACGAGGGTTTACGACAGAAAATAGAAAAACGTAAATGCATGACCTTTAACCAATGTCTGTAAATTAATTCGAGCACACCGCACATTAGAGTTAGGTAAGAGTAAAGAAGCCATACGTACGTTGAGGCGTGGCTTGTCGCATATTAATCGACTTATGTGTTGGATGTTTCTATCGAAATGATATAATAGGATTTATAAAGTTCAGTGGTATCGATATTGGTCCTATTCTTTACCTTATGGATGGAGGGATGTTATAAATTTGTTAGGAAGGTACCGGATGTCTTAATAAAATATGTTCCCGGATCCTTCTATTTTTGACACTGTATAGCACATCGTTTGGTTTTAGTCAGTTCGACTGCGAGTACCACCCCACCGAAAAGCCGATCACATGTCGGTCCCAGAGATTCTCCCAAGTACAAAACGCCCCCAAAATAACGTCCACAACATCCAATAAAAATGACAAAGCTTCACAGAAAAAAGTTATTTAAAAAACAAACTGATAAACTATTTAAACCTTTTATACTGTTTTTTTTTAGCTTTTTACAATTGTGGTCTATCACTACGGCGATTTGTATTATGTTTGGCTGTCTATGTGTCTGTATATCTGTGTGTCTGTCCATGGCATCATAGATAGAAAAAAAAACTTGATTTTCTTTTTTTTTATTAAAATAACATTTTAGAGTCTTCTTAGTTAGCTGAGATAATCTCTTCAGTCATAGCCTATGTATATGTAGATAGTTCATAGAGTTTATAACCATAGACAGAGACAAATTACGGCCCCAAGGACGGGCCCAAAATATTTACCATGATTTCTGAGATATTGTATAGATATAATCATTTGATATGGATAGTTATAAAAAATAGTTACATCTTACCAGTTTTTCACCTTCATGTAGTAAACTACTTAGCGGCAAAATCTTCAATAAGTGTGGGTTACGCAGTGCCTGACTTCTTTGTAGGGGGTGCAAAAGTTCTTCCTCCTTTCGTACAGCCTCAACATCAGGATGAGGGGGAGGCAGGGAGTTCACTAAACAAGTGCACGTAGCGAGCAACAACACCAAGGACAGCATCATAACTCTTCGTTACCTTGAACAATAAACACACTACTTTTATGGCTATGGTTTGGACAATATACTCACGGAGGCAGGTCAAGGTTTGCGTACACATTAGAACTACTGCGTTTTAAATCTCATTTATTAATATTGAAAAGTCGAAGTCAAAAGGTCTATCAAGTCAATTCAAATTAAATTTCTCTTAAGTATATTTACTAAGAATGGGAATTAAACAGTACATTTAGAATTTATTTAGCAACAATTTATTTAACAACAGTGTTGCTATCGATGATTAACGCTGTCGGAATAGATTTTATTATTCATAAAATCAAGGCTATCCTTGATAAAATCTACTCTATAATCGCTTTCATGGCATATTCGTTCAGCAGACCTACTGCGCATTTCATCTGCGCAATGGAACTGACACTCCCATTGCTCACTGCAGTCACCTAAAGGACTTGGCCATCACTCTGGACCGATCGTTGAAGTTCAAAGTCAACTGTGAAAAAATCAAACAAAAGGTTGCGACATGTAACAATCTACTTCTCCACTTAACATCCTCGAAATGGGGAGCTGCGCCTTCATAATAGTACGTTCATTGTACCAAAGACTACGTTCACTAACGATATCATAAGCAGCCTGTTCACTGTCAGAACAAGGCTTAACGCCTTTGACACAATGGTAACTCAACTAATTTAAACGAATGCAGTTTCTTTGCTAAACAACACCTAAGCTTAGAAAATTGTTACATTATAAGAAAATTTGAGTTTTAAAAATGTTGATTACAATTTTGTGGACTTGTCCAACCAAATACTAGAGATGGACTTGCTAATGCAGAAGCTCGTTTTTTTATTGTTGTGCTTAGAAGTATCAAATGTTAAAAGTAATATACTCCAAAGGGATTTAAAAAATAATTCAAAAAAATATCTTGCACTTCAACAACAACACCGTACTTCAAACGCATTTTTTAAAATTTTGGTACAATCTCAGTTACCCATTCTGTGGCTATATAATTCCTATATTACGTGTGCAGATGACTCCAAGGTCGAAGCATACACAAGTATCAAGACAAGTCACTTTCAAAACCATAATAATCAAAGTTAACGTTTGTTGGTCAACGTTTGAGAACGAGAATATCCGACATCGCGTACACACCTTTTACCTCGGCTCATTTTATAAGTATTTTGCACAACGATGTATTGATGTTTTGACTGTGTGAACGTAAATAACGAAGCACAAGAAATAAATTAATATGCTGCTGCCGGTGTCATTATGATTGTTTTGTTCATTTATAAATTCGTCTAAAACTCCACTTATTAATTTTTGTGTTTTAAAAAAATAAAAAAAATGCTTTGGGGTAACGTCGTCGCTTCGTAAGGTTATATTAATAAATAGCTTCTTTCTTTTCATGTTGACGAATTGTAGTTAACTCGTTTTATATTTGTTTAGTTTTGGGAACTGGGATGTTGTTATTATTTAAAAACATCCTTTTTAGTACGAAAATCAGATATTTTATTAAAATTATTTGTATCTTGTGTCGGAACTATATTTTCACTTGTTTTTTCCGAGTCGAGGGTTTTTTTTTCTTATTACACGTTTAACAGATTTCAAGTAGGTGTCATTCTTATACCAGCTTTAAAGAAGCTGTGGAAAAACAATGAAAAATATCGGCAAGGTAAACCAAAAATTTTTTTTGTGACCCAGTCTGCGTTTGCGACATATTTTACCCACATACCTATCTGCATACCAGTAGTAGGAAGAAAGTTTCTGAATACGTCAAAATGTAACTTAGCATTTATAGCATGATGGCGATTCATTTTTGTACCTTGTAAACATGTTACTTAAGTACCTACAATAAAGCTAAAACAGATTTTGATTTGCAGGGAAAAAATATTAGCAATTTAGTCCAAGTGGAAATCGTAATTATGAGCTTTTTAACTACTGCCGGTTTCTATTTGTGAAATACACTATACTAATTTAATGCAGCTGTTATTTTATTTAGGTATGTTTAAACGTGTTAATCTGTAGAACTGACACTCAGATTTGATTAATTTTCTTTTTATCAACATCACGCAAAGATCTTCAAGAGCGGAGTAGTTTGACAGTAAATGCAGGTTAACTGAACGGTTGGATTATTAGTACGAGTACTTAATATATTTTTGAGACAGAATTATCTTCAAGATAGAGTACTGAACTGATACTTGAGGAACAACAAAACATTTTTAAAACAACTCTTCAGGTTTATAACAGTGGTAGGTTGTATATGTGGTATTTTTTTTACTGAAGTACTATCTCCTCAGGGCCTCAGTTTTATTGCATAAACTTTTTATTTAATAAATCCTTTAAAAATGTTGAACAGACTTGAAACAATACCAAAAAGAGCACTAAAACTTACAAATCTAATTGAAAAACCAAAATGAGTGCCACCTGTAATAACAGCAATAGATACCTTCTAGTCTGTTTGAAGTCGGTGCCAAGCTCGATTCACAATAAGTAATCTAACTATGTCAGCTTTATATCAGCTAAATAAAGAATTGACTTCAATACATTTCTATTCCCCAATATTTATACCGTAAAACATTCGCTTACTCTGTATGCCAATCGGCAAGGAAGCGGAAGATATCATTTTAACACCAGATACAGTCACCCTCAGAAAGAACATCACACCAATATTATAAAGCTGAAAGTTTGTGAGTGTATGTGTTTGTATGTGTTTGTATGTTTATTGCTTCTTGACACTCAAACCACTAGACCAATTTTGACAAAATTTTGGTATGGTGGTAGCTGACACCCTGGATTAACACATAGAATACTACTTTAAACCTAAAAATAAAGATTTCCCGTGTGTTAAACGTGGGGCGTAGCTAGCGTATGAATAAAGCTCGATTATAAAGGGTTAAACCAATGTTAAAAATTTGAATCCGCTATAGTGGCGGATCTCTTTTCGTCTGGGAATTAAATGTTGCTACTCAGTATAGAATAATAAACTAATATTTTAAATACATAAATAGCTAAATACTTAAATATTTTTTCATAAATAACAAAGGCTTTTTCAATAAAAACACTTGTTAAAGGTTTTTTTGAAGTCTTCTCGTCAACAAAACATTGATTCTTTTTTTCTTAAAAAGACACCCCGTACTAGGATTAAATCCTGACTTTACAATCATACATGATTTTTTCTTATTATTAATGAAATTTATTATTTTATTCAAAATTTTATTAATGAATTTTAATTATGAAAATTCTCTCATTATGAACATATGAAGTTCTATCGTCTCTAATTAAATAACTAAATTTTATTTAATATTTAGTTTATTACTGGTTTTACTTGCTTTGTTATTGTCAACACAGATTTTGAAAAAGTCGGGATAAAATTTCGACAACATTCAACACTCACTTTCGTGTTAATAATAATAGTTGGTTAGTTAGGATTCAACAGATAGTACAAATTTAGAATATTATACATCGTAAAATTATTTTGGTATAATAAAGATATCGAATTAGAATTTTTTTAAAGATTAGAATTAGTATTTTTTTATCAAATATTAGAATATTATTATAGAATAATAAGTAAATAAGAAAAAAAATAGAAATTATGTCATAAACCTTGCATGTCTAGTAAAAAATGACAATACATACAGGAATGTTTTATAGAACATACCACCTAACTACTAACTACAAACAAAATTACCAGTTATGAAATCTTATGATCTTATTTTGACTAATAAAATGGACAAGCAACCAAAATGCAGATCAAAAGTTCAATTTAGTATCATACGTAACCATCGATTTTTTTTTATAAAAAAACAACTTACCACATGAAAGATAGGAATCCTTTTATCAATACACAAAAAAACTATCGTATTTCTTTAAACAGCACTGCACTAACTAATAACTTTGAACACAAAATCTTCTAAGTGTAAAGACAGTATGTCGTAACTACAGAAGCTGGTGTGTTCGGTTATTGCTGTCCAATGTTTGAGGTGTGGGTCAGCGAGCTCAATGGCGCCTACGATCCACCACCACTGACTATTGCGCTATTGTATTAAACACCGGGCAACTCAGCAATTACTTGTGAAGGTGTGTTGGAAAAGAATGGTGCAAATGGGAACAATGGAATGTTTTGACTTACTTTAGTGTTCCCTCTTACTTTTTGACTGTAACGCAATGCCTTTAGCTGCTATCTATAGGTATAAATTGGAACTTCTGGATACGTAGGTAAGACCTTGTAATGTTTAAACTGAAATCTTAATATTAAAATTAAATCTTTAAATAATACAAGAAAATAGAAAATAATTGGTTATTCATTTCGTAATAGAGCCGCCCTTGGTATACATCATCTGTTTGATGAACTACGTACTTTTAGTAATTAAACTATCATACTAATCGCTATTACAGGTATAGTGTTAACAAACACTTACGTAAATATCCATGTAGGCTTTATTGGAGTGTTAATTGAACTTAAAAAATAAATATCACACAATACTACAATGACTAAACAGATTACCTTGCTACTGTAGAAGACTATTAATTACTTATCTTTTTGTGAAGAAGTTTTCGTCAAGTTCAAGTACACAATACATTCTCTTAAGCATGTTAATGATGATGACAAAATTATATGGGTATGCCGAGTGTGGCTGCTACAAGTATAATAATTGTTTCATATGCATGTTTGAATGCTAGACAGAAAATGTGGCATTGCAAAGGTGTATTAAACGATTTGCAGGTTCGTTTAGGATAGAGGGTATACGATATATAGCAACCTATATATCATAGTTATAAAGTGGAACCCACACATCGAAAAGAAAACAACATCAAATAAAATATATACGATACGAACTAGGGCCTAGAATGGTGCATTAAGAGATTTTACTGTAATTATTTCTCCATGGGCTATACAGTGCAGTAGCTAGATCCAGGCCAAATCATGAAAACTACCACGAAGAAGTTGTACCTCATGCACGTATTATGACACGTATTTAATTCCCTTAGTTTAAACGGAAGTCCCGTAGAGCAATCAATCCTTTTGGTTTAGGTTTGTATTTAACAATTACAGCCGTAACTGGTTCTAACAGAAGGCAGATTTAAATTCTAACTTTCATAAAATCTCTTTTCATATTTCTAGATATGACTGACATGACCTGGATTATAAATAAATCCTAACATTATTCATACTTAAATCATCTCAATAGAATGTGACACAAAACGATGTTATTGTAGCATGCAGATTTATTTACGTAAGAGCACGTGACCACGGCAAGCGCAACAACCTCCACGCCTGCGCATGACAAAATGGGGAAAGGACGCTTATAAAGGCTGCTTGACTACAATATTTGGATGCAATAACAACCGTGGACGTAACACACAGATGATTGCACCTTGCAAAAGTGCTGAATTATGACGACACATATCTACTGAGTTTTGTACCTAGTATTTTTCCTAAATAAGGCAATCAAATGAGTTGTACGATGTATTGATACAAATTAATACATTTAATGGATCGCTCGCAAAATAAACTTATCGTTATCGTACGGAAAACCTCTTGATCCTTGATTCTGATTATATTATACGTTAACGTCCTAGTGGTCACGTCAATCACATACTGCTGTCAGTCCCGTTTTCCCATAGCCCCTAGTTCCGGATATTGAGGGGCCTATTCGTTTTCCTGAACCAAATTTTCGTTCTTCCGGTGTCCCGTTTGAAAACCATCAAACAGGAAGGAATCAAGTAAAATTCCAAAATATTCATGTAACAAGCAACAGTGTGCTTTATGATATACTAGCTTGTGTCCATTAGGGTGCTTCTACACGGTGGGTGCAGCTACTTACGGGAGCGGGTTATTTGCCTTAGTAGTATGCACAAGTTACTTGCTCGTAACTTGTTGGCGAGGGTTACATGTATGGGTCTTGCTAGTTTTATTTTTGAAACAGTTCAGTACCGGGGTGCTTGTAGTTACACAGTGTAATAGATAGAGCAATAAAAGTTAAATTGCCTTGACGAACGAAAATTGTTATGAAATCATTTCTTAAATATGTTATTCTACTAGAGTTAATAAATTTAGCACGCACCGCAAATCGTGTGGGTCACATACGCGGGTGGTTCGCGCTAAGAACAACTGGACCCGCTTAGTCCTTTCAGCAAAGCATGTAATCTGCTCAAGTACCTCAACATGCGCAAGCTACTTGCAACGTGTAGAAGCACCCTTACTCCGCCAGCATGTGTGTCGGTTATCGTGGTAAAAAGAAGCCTGTATGCTTTCTCAAGAACCAAAGTATCTCAATGCCTAATTTCATTAAAATCGGTTCAGTGGTTCAGACAGACAGAGTTACCTTCGCATTTAAAATATTGTAGGGATTGATACGCTAAAACTAGGTGTACCTACAGCTTTATTTTAAGAAATTGATTATGTTTTGTTCAAAGTATATTAATATCAAAACTAAAAATACCTTTAATGGACGTAGGAGGATCAAGTGTTTGGCAATAAGTGTCGCAATATGTTACGAGTCTGGTGGCATGCTGTATTACTTTGAAACATCACGGGGTTCACCTCTATAGTCAGTCAAGTTAGTTTCGTTGTAATAATTTATATTAGTGTGGTGGTATTATGTTATGTCCTTAAATTCTAGGAGGCCTTGTACAAATACGTATTCATAAAATACGTTTATTTATTTCGACCTCTTATCTACAAACAGCTTTAAATTATATTTATCTATTTGGCATCAGTAGCCAATAGTAATGCACGAGAAGGATCGATCAATCACAGCAGTTAACCTCCCATCATAGCAGATGTTATCGGAAAATAGAATATTTAACAACTAGTATTTACCGTCTGTATGAACTTTTAAATATTAAATATTTGACTTTAGTGGAACCTTACAAATAAGTAACACAGATCGAGGAGCAATGTTTACACCATTTATATCCTCAACATTAATGTAAAAAAGCTAAATAGTATATTTGTGTTTTTGTTGAACCCGTTCATTTTTCGAACTATCAGTTAGATTTGAAAATTCGTCTGCATGTCTTAAGGAAATTGTAAAAGAAGGTTATAGTTTATTGGACACTGCTTTACGATTCGAGTGGAGCTGTCACCAGCTGAGACTATAGAGGTCTAGTCAAGAGTCATGTTTAAAGTATCTCAACATCATGAATATGCTTATCGTCGTCGCTTACGCAGGAGACCGCCGCAACTAAGTAAAATTGATATTTTGAAGGCAAGCCTTAAGACCGTCAGTAAAGAGTATTGCCAAGAGTCTTCTATCTGTGGGCTTAAACACTTGGTTGATGATACTACTCCCTTTATTGAAAGGTATGTTTTACTATGGTTATGTTTTAATTCAAATAGGTCACAAGAAAAGAAAAATAAAAAAGTATCACTTAAATGCATTTTTTGCATATGTATTGCATTCATTAAAAAACTTGTGGCTTACCTACTGGTTTGCTGACAGTGAACTAGTAAACCCCTTATAGTGAGGAGACAGTGTCAGAACTCTTTTAAAAAAAAACTAATTTACGTTCTTTAGATTACAATACAATAAGTTTTGTTGCCATCTTACTTGGGTAACGAAGAAATCTGTTCTAGACTCATGAAGTATGCGACTGGCAAGTACCTACGATTTGAAATTGTAATTTTATAAAATCATGATTCTTTATCATACTAGGTCATTTATGTAACTGATCAACAGTTATACAAATAGCCTAACGCGTACTGGTTAAGCTACGGGAAAAGTAATAAAGATGTTAGTCAATTTGATTTTCTTATAATGTCGTGTTTCGAAATCCATATTTTATTTAGTAAAAAGTATGATTAAGACTGACAAAAATATAATTCAAGAATGACGTAAACTCTTATTCTTAAGCTCATGAATATACGAGTTTGAAGTAGATACTCTTAAAAAAAGGTTACTGCACGACTCGTTATGCTTCGGAAACTAAACAAGTTCAAGCCAAGTTTATCTGCTATCTTCTGTAATAACCACTGACGTACGTACAAACTACGATACATTCATACGCAATAACAAACTCAACATTTTAACAAGTAACGGTTTGGTATGATGACATAGGTAGATAAGTGTTAACACCTTACAACATATTGGAATATGGAACACTCGTGAAATTATCTTTTAATTGTATTTTAAACCTAAAACGATTTTCTATTTCTTAGATAGAAAATCGTTCAAACACAGAAGTTACTGTAGCCGATCCTGACGTATTGGGCTGGTTACTTGTATTCCTTTCTAGTCTAGTAGTCTTGGTGTCAGAGGTTCAAAAAACAAATGTTTTCGATTCAGGATGGAATTAAATAAAATCTGGCGAAAACTGAAGGTCATTGCCCATAATGACCCATTAAAAAAGTTAGAATGGACGAGATCGAGCAGATACTTTTCTACTGCAAAATAACTTTGAAAACCGTTTTTTTTTCAATTATCTCGCATATAAAGCAATGTAGAAAAAAAAGTTTAATGCAAAAGTTGTTCAGCTGATGATTTTATGTATTCATTAAGTATTTAAAAGAGTTAGAAGAGTTTTTTTATCATACGGAAAAAATGTGGCAAAGGCATCTAAGGTACGCATTTTTAGGAGAATTATGTGAACGGATCTCTGTACCTATGTGTGATACGTGAATAGAATTCTTTATACGCATAATTAAGAAAATTTCACGAAAGAGAATTTGAAATACGAAATACTTAAAGTTTATGTATAGAACATTCATCAACACAATATATGTTCAAATTTAAAATAACACGAAAACGCAGCGTTATGCTAAGCTGTTTATAGAATAGAATAAACTTTATTGTACACCACTTAGTACACCATACCTATAATAGTATATCAAATTAATGACCATGCAAAAATAGCGGCCTTATCGCTAAAAGCAATTTCTTACATATTAGACGAATAGACTAATAGACTAAATCATGAGTAGTTTTGGTGTGAAATGTAAGAGAATCAGAAAAAAATTATACGACAAACAGCATTTGATTTCGATACAGTATCTACTCACCTTTAAATGTGAATACAAATTCTATTCTAATTACGTGTCCATTAGAGGAATGATGATAATTCTCCATTGACAGCATTGTCCTTTACTTTTTATCAACTTTTTCGAATCAACAATGAAATTTCGATAATCTCGACTGTTTTAGATGTTCTAAGCGAACAGTGACATGACTATTATACCAAATAAATAATTTGCATAATATATAAAGTTAATATTTATTAACAGGCTGGTGTGGATAATAATGTTGGTGGTCAGTGTTGGCTGTTCTATAGCGCTGGTGCAGATAACATTTAATAAATTCTACAGTGCGCCACTTGTGACGACGCAGTTGCCCGATGGTATTCCAGTGGATAACATTATATTCCCCGCCGTCGGCCTTTGCACGAACAACAGAATCAGCAAACAGGCGGTTTCGGAACTAGCTAAGAGTTTGTAAGATCGTTTTTAGCATGTTTGGTTTTAAAAACAGGTATAATTTTACTTGTGTACGACGGCAATATTGCCCTGCCTAACACTAAGTATTTCCCTTTTTTCCTACCTTGCCCCACAATATACTCATAATTTTCTTATGAAATTCTGAAAGTGCCCGGTTGATAGCTAGCAAAATATATTTATGGTACAGATAGTTGATAGCTGGCAAAATGTGGACGTGACGCCTCTTTCTACCCTTTTACAAAATAGTTTAAACCCTAAACCTAAATAGTGTAGTACAACTGTAAAGCAATATACAAGAATGCGAAAATGAGACTTGTTCATCAATTCATGCTACCTATCCACGTGCATTAGCGTTTGTTACAGGCTTAAGGAAGAACGAAACAAGCAGTACAATGAAAATGAAATGATGAGCCTCCTCGCGGGCTTAGGACAGTTGTATGGTATGTCAATGAATGTAAATAATGTGTCTCCCATTGCTTTACATAACGCTTTGGGTGAATATGATGTGCACGAGTTGATGAGAAAAGTAAGTATTTTGTAAGGGTTATTTTAAACCTTTTACCTACATGCTTTATTAGTACGCTATACTATATAAAAGTATGCCGCCCTTATGACCGTGAGTTCATTTTTGTATTTAGTATTTTCAGAGTTACTTTTGAGTTGATTCTTCGCCTTTCAATAGTAGTGGTAAAAGCTGGTCAAGCACGGGATACATATTAGTACCAGTACAGAGGTTCCACTGTACAAATTCATTTAAATAATAACGATTCTCGCTCGAACACAAGTCGAATTCAAGTAACACAATATAAATCGCCTACAGTTATATTCTCTTGTTAGGACGATGATATTAGGATGGTACTTTTTACCTTTCGATGACCTTTAGAAGTGTTAGAAACGTAATTTCAGATTCTTGTTATGATTTAATCAGCCGAATATGATGCAATATGCAATTGTGTTTATGACGCGTGAGTAAGCATCAGACTAACGTGATTGAACGAATTAGTCTTTTACTTGAAAATGCATACAATTTGTGTCGGAAGGAACTGCCTTTCGTAGACGCTTAAATCGTGGAATATATTTATCTCGGTTTCCCAGAATGATCAAACTGCCTACCACCAAAGCAGAAGCAGATGCTATATAGATAGCGCTATGTGTATTTGCTCAGTAATCGGCAAGGGTAAGGGGAAAAGGGAAAGGCTTCACAGACTTTACTGTCAGGTGGCTCATATGAAACTGCCCCAATTAAAAATACTTCCGATGCCAGCATTGTCAGCATTTTGTATTCTAAATGTGATCATTTGCCTACAGCTAACACCCAGATGTGAAGACTTGTTGGTAATGTGCTCTTGGAACACAGAGCCGAAAAAATGTCTGGACTTGTTCGATTTTCGATTAACTATGAATGGATATTGTTGCACATTTAACTATTTGCGGACGTATGACAGCATTTTTGCAGAGTAAATATAACATTTTCTTATTTTCTCATACTGTGAACGGCGCTTTTAATATCTAGGGCCTTAGACTAATCGTTACTCTCTATCACTCCTTATCGTCCGTTTTCTTTTTCTTTTCTTTATTTCTTATTCAGTTTTGTAATTGCAATACGACGTACGACTAAAGGGAGAGTGGTATATAGTCAGAAGGGTACTGAAATAGACTAAGTGATAAAAATATGACTGCAAATCCCTACACTCGTGTTCTTCTACTATCAGTGCCATATCTGCAATCAGAATTTGATATTCTTTTACAAAATATGTTCATCTATATTCTCTTAAAAGCGTACTCGTCAGAAATGCGCGCGATATTAGCATCTGTTATTGCTTGAACAAACCCACAACTGTTTCAGCAGACGCAAAGCTGTTTAAGCACACGCGCAAGTATTTGTGGATAAGCATTCGGCATTCGTGTGTGTTGCTCTACATAAATGCCAAATAATGCAAATATTCGAATTGTTGTATTGTTCTGCTCAATCGGAGTTTATCCTTAAACAAATTGATTTGTGACAAATTACTAACATTAAGTTTCAGTTTTTTATATACGAGCTCTCAACTCTTGGATTTAAACTATTTTCAGCGTATCCCTTTCTAAAGAAACAATGGACATGTACAATTACGGCAATAAATCAGTCTTTGATTTTGATCAAGGTCTCAAAGTTTTATTGAGAATCAATGAAAGCGACGATTTCTTCTACAGCATACCACTACAAGGCGTTCAGGTTCGTAATAATACAATGACATAACAAAGTTTATAAACTTTGGATTTGGAAATATATAAGAGGTCCCCTAAATGCTGTAACCGAGGCTTAGTAAAGCTATCATTAACCTATTCTTAATCACGATCGGAAGAATTCGATGCAAACGTCTTTTAATCATGAAAGTATCATACCTAACAAATGTTATTCCCATTAAGTGTCCCTTACATGTGAAGAAGCATAATTAAAGTAAATCGCAAATGAAATATCAGGCTCAGAGTGTGCTAACATGACAAATACGAGTATGTAGCTGTGTAAGACAGAGAACATTGGTAATTGCATGAGGTCGGTTTCAGAAGGTGATTAGTGTATCACTATTTATCCTTAAGAATAGAAATAAATAACCAATACTTCTATACTTTTAATATAAATGTAAAAGTGAGTTTGTTTGTTACTCTTTCACGCCCAAACTACTAAACCGATTCATTCATTCTTTCACCAATGGAAAACAACATTATCAGCGAGTAACATAGGCTACCGATATACGCACGAGCGGAGCCTCGGAAAAAAGCTAGTATGTTTTTTTTTTTAAATTAATTAGATACCTACAACTTTTTCGTCAATGATATCCAAACTTTCTCAGTCGCTCTTATTTATCACACACTTGCTATACCTATGACTGAACTTTTTATAATGTTTTATTATACTCGTAATCTTTTACAGTTACAATTCTCAGATGCCTATGACTTTCCGGACTCGCCTAGTGGAAGTTTCGCGATGCAGATTGTTAGTCCAAGTGTGCAAGTAAATATACATTTCATATAAAAACTTTGATTGATATAGGTTCGTTATTCGAGAAAATAACCTCGTATTTTCCAGTACTTTTCTTTTTTTTTACTGCGGAAACTTCATTCATTTATTAATACACAGTTTATTTACAACACATTTTACAAAAGTCGCATACGCTGCTTCTGCACCACTAGAAATTCAAAATATTTATATTTAGCTTTTCTGTGCTTTTCCATGATAAAATGTTGATTTCATCACTCACTTTTTTAACTAATACTTTTTTTTTAAATAATTATTCAAATGAGATCAACAGTGCCAAAGATTAGTACGTTTAAATAGATACACAAAAATCTTCAGGTCCAATATAACTATTAGTATACATGACATTAAGTATCTAGATTAAAGAATTCTGTAGACATGTTGAACTACCGACAAGCATCTTTAAAGTGTACTCGTAAAAAATCACTTTCTAGTTCTTTCCATTGCTTTTAATTTAAATTCATTCGCGTGTTAGCCTTTTACGTAGGTATAGTCTTTAAAACAAATTTATTGATTAAATTAGAAAATAATCTAAATTCATCAACAGCTTGAAGTATATAGGTAGGTACAAGTCCCACGGAACGACAATAAGATTAATATTTGCCAACCAAGCCTCTTAATGAGCACTTTACACTTTTATTTAGATGACTGTGCAGGTGTCAGCAAGTTTTACAAAAGCCTCCCGAGATATCCAACACGTGCCAATTAGTTTGAGAAAATGTAGATTCTACGACGAGTCCTCATTTCTGTCGTTTTATACGTATAGCGACTGTATGCTAAAATGCCGAATGCTATTTCTACTGGATCGTTGTAACTGCACGCCTTTTAATATGCCCAAGATAAACACAGCTAGAACGTGCAATATGAAAGATGTACAGTGCCTCAAATTATATTATTGTAAGTATTAAAGAATAAAAACTACATTTTTATGGATGTGCCATGTCGTGTAAGGGGTTTTTCTGCATCATTCTTCTTCTGCAGAACCAAGATCTATTATTGCGAATAATAACCCGAAAGTAAAAAGAATGAAAGTTGAAAAATCGAAAGACTTTCAATACCTATGTGAAATATGCTCTGAATTTTGGCGTTAGCGTAGAGACATTGATAGACACCTTCCCTTTCATGGTTATAAACAAAACATCTTTACGTTTTTTTTCTTTTTAACTGTTTCAATAACCTTGTTTCTTTTTTAAACATTGAACTCACACCGAAGTTCACCTAAGGTTCCAAACTATGTAAACCAAATAAATATTATTTGGTAATGCATAATGGAAAAAAAATCCTTCTGTTTCAACAAAGTTACTTAAACACGAACGACTTTTTATGATATAGTTAACAACGTATTGCAAATTTCAGCTCAATCAATAGCAGTTCAACCAATTAACGTAGAAACGGTACCAGAAGAATTAGAATTGAACTTGGTGAATGGTGGTATTGATTGTCCAATGTGTTACCCTACGTGTTCTAAAACTACATACGGCTATGACTTCAATAACGTAGTTATTTATCCAGAGTTCCTCAACACCGTGCCGGACAGTGATCGAGATGACTGGCTGTAAGTGATAATATACAAAATGAAATACCATAACCTAAGTGTGTGTGCAATAATTGACTTAGCAATTAATCTTAGATGGGGATGATTTGTGGACCTTGCCACTAGTACTTAACACTAAAAATATCTTACCTAAGTATAAGGCGAAATAACATAAGAGATTGTTTTACTAGAAGTCAATAATACCTACTTAAAAAAAACATCACCGACTGATTTATGAATTGTATTAAACTGTATTCTTCATTACTAAATTGACCCTTAGAGGTGGTATTTTTCCTCAAATTTGAAGTGTTCCCTTACAAAAAAAAGAAGAAATTTCCAAATTAATTTATAAATGATGGAGTTACGAGGTAACAAACATGAAAATATATAACCGATATGAGAAGGTCTCCCTTTTTAGGGTTCCGTAGCCAAAATGGCAAAAAGGAACCCTTGTAGTTTCGTCATGTCCGTCCGTCTGTTCACACTATATCTCACAGACTATTAGTGCTAAAAGCCTGTAATTTCGCGTGACCATAATATAGTAATTATTGTACGGTATATAAGAGACTGCCTCTGTGGTCTAGTAGTTAGCGTATGCTATCAAAGTAAAAATGTTATGAAATTAAAGTAATAAGCTTGTAATAGGTACATACTTCCACTGTACCACCAGGGGAACGGCCAGAGGTACACAGAAAGACCTGGGGGTGACAGGTGAGGCCATCTGTCACCCTAGCAGAAGTAGGCCGGGTTGGCGGCGTTACGCGCTGTGGAGCGCTCGCGCCGATTTAGGTGCGGAAGGAGAACACCGTGGCTCCCTCATACGAGGGGGTCATCTACAAGCCGTAGATGGCTCGGGGTCCGTCGGGGTTCCAGGAATTTCCTTCCTAGGGTACACTTGGTTCCCCGGCTACTGGTACCCGAGCAAATCGTTTTCAGTTACCATCGTCCTATGTGAGCTCGTTTTTAGACGTCATGAGACGCCGACTTCGTTAAACACTCACCAAAACTCCCTCGTTGGTATTAGTTCGCATTATCATAATAGGTAACTATGGCACCCTACATTGGGCGTGGCTCAACACGCACTTGGGACGGTTTTTTAAGTCGATTTGAAAAGGTTACCATTAAGTCCTGAGTGTCAAATCTAATATTTATAAAAACTTCAAAATTTTAAAAAGTAAAAAGTAGATATTTAATTCTATTGCATGATGTCAATACTACCTACTGTAGTCATAGAACCTAGCCGAGTGTAGGGTTATTTTAATTTTCGTCTCCTTGCCTAAGCGTCGAAATAACATGCTCTATAGCCTAAGTTATTCTTCATAAGTGTCTTGTTGATAAAATATATAACTATAATTGTTTAATATAGCATATCTTAAATAAATGTAAAAAAAATAAATATAAATCACTTTTGAATCCTCAATACTCATGTTTCTTTTAGATGTACTATGGACTGCCATTTTTATATAACACTGTATTTGCATATCACTTACCATTATACGAGCAAACCACATCACTTAGTCACCCTAACTGCTAAGTTAGTGCTCATCAATATATTTTTAAACAAGAAATACGCGCTGATCGAATAGTCTCTCAGCGGTACAGACCGCTGAGAGACTATTCGATCAGCGCGTATTTCGCGCGTATTTTATTAGACTATTCGATGAAGAACTACATAAAACTAGGTGTGGAAATTAGTTACTTTAATATAAAATTACAAAAAGGAATACTTTACTAAACACCACAAATTCATTACACACAATACCAATAAACGAGTACATAATTCATCGTCTTATCTCGAATGTTCGAAAGGCACAGGTATTAATGGGTCCTTCGTTACGGAAAGCAGCTTTTTCGATCCTCGATTTTGGACTCCCGACTTTTTGCAACCAAATCTTCATATCTTCGATAGCTCCAAACTGTCCTTGCAACTGTCCTATGACAGTCCCTTGAGCAGTATTCATTACCCATCCTTTAAGACCAAGCTCAGCAGCTTTTTTCTGAGTATGTTTTCTGAAAAAAACGCCTTGAACTTTTCCGAACACTTCAAAATCGGCCGTTGTTAACCCTGCCTTTTTATTAGCGACAGCCATTTTAGGTTTTTTGTGGATAATTTAAAATAATAATTAGTTATTTGAAAATATTTATAACTCCAAATAACAAGTTTACATTTTGACGTTTGAATTTGTTGATTCTGTTCATTTGTTTGACGTTGTTTGGGAAACGAATGCTGTGGAGTTGTACAAGCCTGTTTGTTTGTGTTGTCATGGAGCCAACAAAAAGGTGTTATTTCGAAATACCCCGAGAATCCCGAAACTCAGTCAAATTTTTTAAACCCTCTACACCGTTTAATACTACTTACCATTCTATACTTGTAAATACCTAAATAAAACATACATATTGTTGCATTTATAATTTCTGACCTTATGATTTTTAATTTATTGTATGGTGTCTTGAAAAAAAGAACTGGCACTTTAATTTTGATTTGTTACTAAACAAAATGTAATGTTTATTTGTAAGTGCTAATGCATCTTATAAATTTATTAGTGCTATAAATTACGGTGTACCATTGCAAGTATAAACTGAGATTAGGTAAGTCACTACGATGATAGAGCGCAAATAGAGAACAGTAGACAAACTTTATAATTCAACGTTCGCTGGCAACCCACATCTGGAATACTTCAGCTACATTAGTTTTGAACAACAACAATACGTATTTGTTGCAGGGAAGGTGCAAATTTTACTGGCACATCTATTGTTCATGTAAAGTACGCTAAGGATGCAGCCGATTGTTACGGCCAGAATGTTATTATGAAATGGTTTGATTTAATTAGTGAGTATAATATGGATTATTTGTCAGTTGTCTAAGTATTTTTTTTTTAAATTTTGTTAAATGAAATCGTAAATTAAGCATTATCAAACACCGTCAACAAAAAACACCATCATTTTCTATATTCAATGAAATTTCATTAGATATAGAAAATGATGGTGTTTTTTGTTTGCATAAGTCTTCTGTAAAACTTACGGAAATCTTCTGCACCAAATATCTTAATTTTTTAACTCTCCTAGATATAATTCTAAATATTTATAATTAATTATAATTCTAAATAAAGTGAAAGGGACTATATGGCTGGATATAACCGAGAAGTATTAAACAAAGTAAACTTAATATTTAACACAACCTGCAAAAGATGTGATTTGTGACCTACTCTGGTAGGGTAACTGCTATTAAAATTTAACGTTTTAAGGTAATATCGGTTCAACTTGTGGCGTCATCACCGGCTTCAGCTTTGTCTCAGTACTCGAGTTCATCTACTTCTACACGGTGAAGTTGGTTCGTGAGATGCGTGAACGAAGAGAACATTTTAACAACGGTAGAAAAATCACCGTGGAGCCCCAGAGACCGGCACAATTTGAATCTATTAGGAAATATAGGCCTATATATTGGCATGAACTTACTGGTTACCACTATTGATTACATACGTTTAATTTGAAAGAGGTACCTAGAGTAGGAGTATAAATGGAGAAGTATGTAGGAAGATATTGAAGTTATATAACATATATAATATTCTTGATAGACTATAATTCTATAATATACAATGCCTCTTGAGATACAGGGATGAACCTAGTTCAAGAGGCAGACTTGATTGTGCACAGATTTTTGAAACAGAACACACTATTCATTGTAATATCGATTGTATTTGTATCTATAATTTTCAGTGAATACGTAGGTAAGGTGGGGTACAGTTTTTCATAAACAACAAAAGACAATGTAGCGCCGAATTATTTATATAATCAATAATCAACTTCTAACTGCCATGGATGGGAACTATAACAGTCTCTCTTCACCAAAACTATTTAAACATAACTTTTTTGGCAACTGCTTAATTTAAATTGTATTTTAATGGGGTCAGTCGATTGCAACACTGAAACCCGTATCTGGGGTAAATTGTTACAGCGCAATGTTACAACATAAAAATAATTAAAGAATTACAAAAAGAGAACGTATCTAACAAAAAAAATATTTCTTTATAATATTCTAGTTATACTCAGTCATGAAATTTTTTATTTTTTTCATTAGCTGATTTTCAAGGACCTATGTCTTGCACTTTCTTGCATCACAATTGAATTCCTCATATTATCATGAAAATGTGATCAGTCTTACTCTTACCATTTACACCATTTTCTTCCAAAACTTAGGTACAATACAAAAAAAATAGTTCTAAGGTTCACTGTTACCATGTAACAAAGTGCCCTAGGATCGGAATTTTTTTTAATTGTTTTTTCGCGTTTCATCGCACAAAGTTTTTTGTTTGTTATGATAAAAACGCTGTATAAACTAAGACAATCGCAACTGTTTACGTCAACTGTCCTCCGTCACAACACGGAGAAATTCTTAAACATACGAGTATATTGCTTTTGAGTATATTTTTTAAAAATATGTATCCTCAAAAACAATAATAATAATAATAACCTCACATATCTCACACACGGTTGTCTGATCCCAAATTAGGCAGAGCCTATGCATTGGTAACCAGCCTGCTGATAAAAATACTTATATATTTCTAAATACATACATATTATAGATAAATTACACCCAGACACAGAACAAACGATCGTGCTGCGTCACACAAATATTTGTTCTGGGTGGGAATCGAACCCACGACCTCCGGTTTAGCAGTCAGGGTCACTAACCACTAGACCAACAGGCCCGTCAATAAAATAAATATATTGTTTTATAGTATTTGTTTTTAATATGTAGGTATCCTCATAAACAATATTGCCTGAATTTTCAGTAATTAGGATATTTAATAACAACTCACATTAGCGTGAAACATTATGTCATAAATGTTATCAGTATAATGATTTTAGGAATAGTACATCTGTCCTGTTCACACATTGATTGTGATCTCCATTCGAGTTTAGGCTCCTATCGTGATTGTATATCTTCATTATTTATTAGCTACATTTGTGGTTACTGTCACGCACAAAAGTTATTGTAGGTATAAAAATTAAAGGACGATAAAATACAATGTTGTACTCAATACCTATGATATCGAGCATGAAGACCGACGTGGAGTATAAAGAGCCATGGAAAAGGTATTTCGAGATATGGTGGAATGGTATCAAAAGCTTGCCGCAAACTACTTCTATACACGGCTTCAAGTTTATCGCTGATTCCGATAGACATTGGGTGGAAAGGTAGGTATTGCAATTAATGAACGCCCGTTTTTTAATTAATTCAATAAGTACCTACATCGACCCATTTTAAAGAGGTCATGATTTTTAGCAACTAAGAGTGGTTTCGGACGTAATTCTAACCCGAGATCTCTGTTAGATAGACAACTCAGCAGTACGACTAGGCAATCGTCTATACTTGTATTTCTAATAGTAAGAAGAATTATCAAGGATGAGAAATGCTGATGAGAAATTGTGATTTTCAAAGGGGAAAATCACCATTTATCATTAGGCGAGCAATTGCTTATATATTCTATATGGTATGACAGGAAAATTATGAGTTAAAAACCTACTACCATATTGAGTTAAGTAAGTAATAACTTAATATACGTATCTGTAAAAATGGTTTGTGTTTTATTTCACTTCCGTAAACAAATGAAACGCAATATTCCACAAGTTGGTTCTGCTCTAATGAAAACTGTGTCCTTTTTTCAGTACTCAGTTTTAGTACCTAAGCATTCAGATATACGGGTATTTTAACAAGTAAATTTATAGTACATACTGAATTTAAAGAATATAACTATTTCGTCTCTCTTTTGCTTATTAAACTGAAACACAGAATGTACAATTTTTTTCTGACATTATGTTTTTGTAGGACAGACTCAACCAGACTGATGGTAAGTGAATATTACCAGCACTGTGTCCACGCACTACACTGGTAACCGCAGTTTTTGTAGGGCATTAATATCGGAAATAACATACAAATTTAAATTCAGAGTTTTTTTACAGGATATTCTGGCTAATAGTCGTTGCTTTGTCCTGGTACGGTTCATCGTTGCTGATCGCTGCTCAGTATGATGCCTTTCAGAATAACCCCATCTCTTTCGTCGTGGAGACTACATACAAGGACTGGGATACTGAATTTCCTTCGGTTGTGGTGTGTGAAAACGATAATTCAGATCGTGTTGAAGAAATATCTGATAGGTAAACTTGTCTACATACATATATACATTTTTTAACTCTAACTAGATAGTAAGCTATGTAGGTAATGTGACTACGGCGAGGAAACCACGATGTAAAAAAAGTCACCTAAGTAATATAATAATAAGAATGAGACGGGTACATATTAATTAAATTCATAGGTGGTTATTAAAATCTGGGAGCATTTCGTGGCCTAGATAAGAATTAATAGGTGTGTTGTGGTGTTTGTCCTGCATGTAAAATGTTTGTGAACTTAAGAAGCATTTCTGAAGTCGAATGAAATATGTTCTTTAATCAAGAACATATTTAGAGATTAAAACTTTAAATTACATTACAATAATAATGATATTTAAACAGTCTTTCCCGTATTTCAGATTATGGGGAGAAGATCACGACTTCAGTATGGAAGAAGTATTGAAAGAGTTGGCATTTTTTAAGGGGATCACATACTACACGTCTGAATTCTGTAACTTGGTAGATCCACTACCAGACTGCATGCAAAATAATCTTTCTTATTATGCTAACATGGTATGTACGTTGTTATGATATTCTCGTCTTTATATTCTTCAGACGAAAGGATGCGATATATGCAGGTAAATCCAAATTAAGTAAATTATTGATCCCTTGCTGTACAGTCCAGTCGTCTACCGGGCACATTGCAATGTCCATTGCCCAAAAAAACTTTCTCAACTCCAAGAATAGTACATAGAACTTCACGGCGCTAACTCAAACGCGAACTTTTTCTTCTAGATTATCGAATCAGTCTTCGTAGATGTATATTAGTAATAAAATAGAGTTATAGCAAAGAATAGTATTCCTCTAGTAACCCGAGTGCGTTTTCAAAAACATTAGCGTTTCCAAAAGATTACGGTTTATGTTTCAATAATTTACGTTGTTACAAACATTGTAAAAAAAATCCTTTGTGGCTCTCAGTCCAAGGAGGACTACTACCCGTAGTCTTACTTTTTTTTTAAATATTTTAACCTAAGGAATTGAAAGAATTTAGTTACTCACAAATAAAGTTTCTGCAAACATTTATATTTGTAGTCATTGTGAGTAGGTGTGACAACACATCTGAAAGGATTTTCTACCCGTCAACAAAAAAAAAGGATGTTATACACCAAATTTTCAGGTAAGAGTAACTTGTGAAGAGACATTAGCAAATTGCTCTTGGAACGGGAAACCTTTCGACTGTTGTACCTACTTCGCACCAATGGAGACTGAACTTGGAACGTGCTTTGCAATCAATACTCTACAAGGAAGGTAATAAAAAAACTGTTGCATTAAATTCATGCCATTTACGGGCAAGTATTCTTATTTCACTGCAGAATTATTCATATCATTTATTTGGACAATTGTTCTTAACTTTTTATGCTTATTATCTTGGCTAATATCGGTTAGTTCTGCCAGTGAAAGTCCCGTCGAATCGGTCCAGCCGTTTCAGAGATTACCCGGAACAAACAGACAGACAGACAGACAAAAATTGTAAAAAATGATATTTTGGCATATATGTACCGTGTAAACATACATATGCATTTAGTAAAAAGCGGTTATTTTAATATTACAAACAGGCACTCCAATTTTATTTATTTGTATATATGAAAAAGTGCACTCATACTGAGCACCCTTTTCAAAAGGCTTACCCAAATCCTACTCTGTACTCGCACAGTTTTCTTTAACTTTGTTCACGGACTAAAAAAAAAGGAAAAAAAAAACAAACCACAGAGGTGCTGTGGTTTGTTTCGGCGTTTCTTCCCAGAGTGAATCTTAGGAAATGCAGGCTCCATCTAGCTGTAAAGTCCTACTTGTAAAAATATCTGAAAAGTTTTATTAGGTACAGAAATAAATATCACTTATCATTATTATATGTATAGACATTCATTTATTGATATGCATTCACTTTCCAAGAGTTTATCACGTCCAAAATCTTAGTGCGATGCTTGTATCAGCGCAATTAAAATATGGTGTTCATGAAATAATTCGGAAGGAACTTTTTTTTATGTAGAGATAAAAATGCTCCCAAACTAGACATGATAAGCAACCAAACAACAGGTCCTGGAATGATTACCTTTGATGTAATGGTTACCGCAAATATTTACATTTTGAACGCAGAAGAAGTTCCTACTATAACTACAATTGGCTCAGACGTATTAACAGTTGGACAAGAAGTGAATTATAAGTAAGTTCACTAAACTTACATTTTCTTTATAATGTTCATTTCTCATCTTTATAATATTTTATATCTGAAATATATTCACAGACGTTACATAACAATTCGAAACATCGAGAATGATGTAGGTGCACGTCTCATATCACCAGACAAACGTAAATGTCGTTATACAGATGAGAACTTCTTGCAAGTATATAAACATTATTCATACACAGCGTGCACTGTGCAATGTAGAAAGGATGCTCAATTAAAATTGTGTAATTGTACCAACTACTTTATGCCTGGAGTTCCAGAACATCTCAAATGTAATGTCAGCGGCATAATCTGTTTAAATAGCCATGTCCACGAGCTTTCGGTAAGTTTAGTTAGGATTTTTCTTATAAATGCTCTGTAATATGACTCCATGGATGGCGTAGTGGTTTAAGTGTTGTTCTGAGTCTGGCCGTTTGTGTTCGTCTCATGAATGTTTGTAAAGTCCCCCGTGAGTCCTAGAGCGAGAGCTGTCTTTCAAAAAGAAAAAAAGCTATTAATTGGTAAGTACTTAGGTACACAGTTCTCTCGCCAGCTTTGTACCTAATCTCTTAGAGAAGCTGACTAGAACAGACAGTTACTGTCAGTCAGTTAGATTGTAGGTATCTACCGTTTCTATTCTTCGAGTCCAAATGTACTGATATTTACGTAGGTCAGACAATTTTAAATACCTGACTGACTTTACCGATTTTATCGGCTTAATGATTCTGTAATAAGCCTTTATATTATATTCTCTTTTTTAAACAAAAAAGTTTGTAATAATATAATGATTGAATAAGTACCTATCGCATTGATCTTTATCAATTTTAGTAAAACGAAGATGGTGTCTCTACTTTTCTAAATTCCTTATCTCACCTAGGTCCTTAAAGCTCGTTGGTCACACCGCTTTGGACTATCTTGTAATTGTCTGCCTTCATGTACTGAAGCAGAGATAACTATCACAAAGGACTTTAAGTTTACTACATCGGAGAATTTCGCCAATGTGCAGATAGTATTGGCGGTATTGCCAAGTGAACGTTATAGGAGAAACGTCGTACGTGGTGTACTTGATTTAGTCGGTAAGTTTTGAGATAACTTAAAAAAAAAAAAAAAGTAAAAAATACCGTTATCCATGTCCCAATTTTACATGCTAATTAGGTTTCTAAAAAGCTATAGATAGGTATGACATGACATGTATGTACATGATAAATCCACTGCTGACTTGCATGCCCGATCTATAAGATTTTAGTTATCGATTTTCCCGATTTGATTGATTGTGTTTTAATAATATCATTGTAACTCATCTATGTATCTAGGGTGCACATTTTTTTACATAACTTTGTAAATCCAAATATCAAAAGTCCAGTCCTATTACCATAAAGATCAGTCTTCATAAAAATACGGGCCTGTTGGTACCCTGACTGTTAAGCCGGAGGTCGTGGGTTCGATTCCCACCCAGGAAAAATTATAGTGTGATAATTACGATGATTTGTTACGTGTCTTGGTGTAATTTATTTAATACTAAGGAACAAAACTCATAATCGTCAAAATTCATATCATTCCTAATAACACCTGGTTTATTCTAATATTTGTTTTCATATATTTTCTCATTTTAAAGATCGAATCTCTTAATCATTCTTATAGGTACAGAACGCCAATATTCATAAATTTGTTTTATACTAATATTTGTTTTCATATATTTCTTAATCATAAGCATTGAGTTAAAACAACACTAGAGAAGCAAACCTCATTATCACACATCGAAAAAAGTGTAACCACTTTTGAACTTTGACGACGTAGCTTTGATACCACGAAACATTTGAAAGTAAACATATTTATGTCTCATTTACACGCGAGACAAGAACAATACCATCGCTCGGATTAGACAAAGACAAAGACATAACTTTACGATGGTGGGCCAGTGTTGACTACCGTATGAAATTTTACCCATAACAACCAAGAAACAATTTTTTTTTTTAATTTGTAATAAAATACATTAATTTAAATATTTTAAATAATATATTTCGAATTGAATGGAATAGGTATAAATAATAAAATAACTAGAAATATTTGGTTAAAAGGGTTTATATTCAGTGTAAAATCAAACTCCGCTATGAAGCATCAGTTTTGTATACAATTGTCTTTTAGACTCTTTTTTATAAGTTTGTGTGAATATTTTACTTTCATGATACAATCTTATTTTTACCTATGTATAAATAATGGCATTTAATAGTAAAAGTGAATGATCAACTTGTACTGATAATAAATAATCCCCAGGGTGTATTGCAAATTCTTTTAATATTTTAAAATACAAATAAAAAAAAAAATTTTTTTTGTTTTTTATTTTTATTTATATTTATTTAGTTTTTAATTTTATATATATATATTTTTTTGTACAATTGTTATTTATATTTGATAATTAATTAAGAAAAATGAATTAATTAATTAATTAATTATTTTATACAAAAGTCTCCAGCACTGCGAGTTCAACGGGTCCCTAAAAAAAGTGATCGATTCAGCCCTAACAACTACCGTTCTTCCTATATTTTATTATTATTGACAAAATGTTTAAAAACAGTATAAAGCATATTATTTCATAAATTATAAATTCTCCCACTAATGTGGGCAAACAAAAATGATTTTTTAATGGTAACACTGATTCTAAATTACAATTATCAATGTTTTATTTCAATTATAGCCTTATTTATGATATTATCAATACAAAAACCATAAACTTACACGTGATAAGTAATTCCGCATGATTTATTATGGTTTTGTGACCTTGAATCGCATTCTTTCACTACGCATTTACCCATTTTGGCGATTGTTACTGTCATGTGTCGCTATGTTCAACTCGGTTGACGCCACATTGAACACTGAATTGACGTTTGCTACGCATATGCCTGTGGACAGATGTGCAGTAGCAACGATTTTAGGCGGTAATTACTCATCTATGTAAGTATTATATCAATGATCATAAGTTAGTTATTTATCCGTTATTTAAACCGTTTTAGTTCATTTTGTTAAGTGTTCTGTACCTGAAATAATATAATAATAATATAGAGACAGATTGATTTAAGTATTAGTTCATAAAAAAGGCGCAGGAACTAGGACAATATTTGATCGTGTAAAATGATGTATTTATGACAGTAGTGTAGTCCTGACGGTGATTGCTCTGACGGTTTGTTTGTTGTTTGTCTGTAATGCTGCTGAGACTGACTGTCATATGGGTTAAATTGACATGAATAATTTGCACGACTATGACTTAAATGACTACTTTGTTGATTAGACTGACTTAAATTATTTGTTTGACTTCGACGACTAAAATATGACTGACTACTTAAAATACCAACAAAATGAAAGACAACTGACTGAATCGACTGAGTAAAATGTTTTTAAACTACCGACTTTTTTTATTTTTTAGCTCCTGCGATGCATAACGTTTTCGCTGGTGGACTCCTTGACAATTTTTTCCGCATCCTGCTGTGCGACGATGATCGTCCTCGGAAGCTCGCGCATCCTTTCATAAGTAAAATTTTGTTCCTGTAAGAGTCTCTGGCGGACATGTGCTAAATCTAAATGTAAATTAGCGATAAAAATATCCCCAATGAGAGACTCCCTGAGCGTACCGTATTCACAATCGTGGCTCTTGTTTTCCAGATCTGTGAGGAATTCCTCGATGGATTCGGATTTAGTCTGCCTACGTGTGAAAAATTTGTACCGACACATGGTCACATTTTCTTGTGGTTCGAAGAAATCATCGAATCTCGACTTGATTTGACTTAGTGTGCTGCCCTCGATGTTAATATTAAAGCCGTTAAATATGTTCGATCTTCCTCTCCGATCAGATGTAAAAAAAATTACGATCTTTCGCCTCTCACCTGATTGATCCATACCAGTGATCAACAAATACAACTCTAGTTGCTGCCACCCCTTTTTCAAGCTTGCGCATTGTTACCTCTAGTATGAGACGTGATCTCCAATCGTTTTATCGACGTGTTAAAATTTTGACATCTTGCGTTTCTTCATTACGTTTTTACTTCTGACACCAAGTTATATTCTTCTATGACTTTAGGACGTACTCGTACTTATAAATGAAATCACTTGTTGACTTTTTGACTATCATATAATTAGAGTAATACTTAGACAGACTTTGATTAGGTATTTTACAGTGTCGCAGACAGCAGAGCAATGACTACCCAAGTATGTACATAGTGCTACGTGCCTTAGTGACGTGACATAACTTACTAAAGTAGTGATGTTACAACAGGAAGGGCTCCGTTAGGTACGACGAAGAATGAAGCGAGGAGGAGTGTTATGTTAGGATAGGTGAGAACTGCGACCCCATAGCGAGCGCCGAGCGAGCGAAGCGAGCGTGCCGCGGTAGCGGGTGGTAAACTGCCAGAACCGAACATATTTTTGTACTAATACTTATATGTATGTAGTAGACAATTCCCCTTCTATTTCCAAGTCCCTGCGTCTTTGTGAATAATTAACTAACATATGGACTCCTCTATCTCTGTAATTATATCTGAGATAAAAAGTTTGCAGGATTGCCTTCTAACAGAAATAAACTGTTAATAACCTCTAATTTATTGCTAAAAAGAAATAGATTTCACCTTTATAGTTCTTGCGTTGCATTTATATTTTTCACTAAGTAATGAACGACGTGAGTAAATCTTATTTTGAATAGTTACCTTTATGAAAAAATATTCAGTTTAAATATTTTCTTAATAATGCCATTATTAAAAAGAAAATTATGATAATTGTCTGTTATGAAGAAAACTGTTTTGGAAAACAACATTATGAGTTTAAACATGTTCTTACTAATGACACAAATAATAAAAAAATATGATAACTGTCTATTTCGAGTGCCGTTAGTAGTTATAAAAATTTATGAACAAAAAATTATGAGGAAAAATTATGAAGAAGGATTATTATGAACACAAATCGGTATTAAAACAAAAAAATAGGCATAAGATTTTTATGTGAGCCAATATGGACCTTACAAGAATATGCCAATATGGATCTTACAAGAAATAACTCGCAATATAACGTTCTGATGTGGGTACAAATCACACGGAACCTTTGCCATCCTTTTTACTCATCATCAGTAATGTGGTTGCTTGAACAAAATTTCTAATAGAATGTCTTTGAAATCTCATTCTACTTAATTTCTGCTCTATTGTAATACGGTTACTAACTTATTTTTTTATATTGCAGTATCTACGGGTGGAACCGGAGGACTCTTTCTTGGCGCCAGTATTTTAAGCTTCGTTGAGCTATTCTACATTTTGCTCATCCGGCCATTTTGCGATATTTACAGTCAACGTGATGACGATCCGTGGCATAGAAAGTTCGGGATGCGGAAAATTCAAGACAACAACTTTATCCCAAACTGGGGTTGGTCTTTTAATAGGAAAAGGACTACGGTCCAACCAATCAATAATAAGGATAAGTTTTTAAACGCCGGTCGTAAAGACTAAGGGATAGATATGAGATCTATTCGATCTAAAAATATAGACGAAACCTACTTATGATGTCTACCGTTTAATTTCACATTCCAACCAACACTTGACTGACAGGCCTGTTGGTACAGTGGTTAGGGGCCCTGACAGCTAAGTGGTTCGATTTCCACCCAGGTAAAATAATTGAGTGATGAGCACCATTACTTTTCTGTGTCTTGGTGTAATTTATCTATACTTAATATATATAAGTATGTTTATCAGCAGTCTGGTTACCAAAGTATGTGTCTGAGTAGTTTGGGATCAGATGGCCGTGTGTGAGTTGATAATAATAACTTCACACATCTCACACATTCGATGTCTGAAGTTACTATTTTTATATAATAATAACTTCACACACACATATTATATAAGTAGGAGATATAATATGAACTCTCCATCTACGTTCATTCATCTATATTTCTATTATCTGTGTAAAGTTTTTAGGTATAAAAAAAAAAAAAATAGTGGAGTTGTAATAAACAGAAAAATAAATATAAAATAGTTCTTATTATTTAAACGGTTTTATTATTGTTTACCCAAAACAGTATCTTTCAGCGATCTCTTCGAAAATATCCATGACGTTCTTCCTGTAATCGTAATCATTATGTGCCATCATTTTCTTTATAAACAACCCTTTATTTTTCGTGAGAATTTCATCAAACTGTACGTTATCAGAAAATATATTTGTAGTTAGATCATCGTCCAACCAAAATTGCGGTATAAGGCAAGCACAAACTATTAGACCCCATTTTGTTTGCTCTTCAGCAGAAACCAAAAATTCGTTTTTAGTCATTATATCATTGATTTCAATGTTATAATTTGAAAGTATTTTCTGAAGTTGTGCATAATAGAAATTAAAAAAAGTATCAATATTTTCTCGACGACATGTTGGTTCTAGATTACAACAAAGAAGTACCATTACGTCCGAGGCAGGTGGCTGATATCGAACCGCTTGGAAATCTACAAACAAGCAACTATCAGGCCCTAGCTCTTTATCGTCTTCATAGTGAAACATGATATTATTATTCCAGAGATCTCGATGACATATTACATTTGTTTGTCCTGGATGATATTCACTCAAATCCAAAGCAGTAGACCATATATCACTCCAGTATCTTTCGATAGAATGGATTTCTGTTTTGTTGTACTTTGAATATACTTTTATAGCTTCCAAGGATCCTGTCATGCATTGAATGTACCACTCACTTAAGAGATGGTAGCCGCCTTTGTTCAGTACATGTTTATAATCATCATTTATTTTATAAGGTCTGCCCGTCTCTTTACTTTTGTTTACTTCATATATGATAGAAGATGCGTGAAATCTCGCTAATGTTCTGAGCGCTTGAAAAGTGTGGGTCATATCGAATCTTTCAAATTTATTTTTTAATTTGTAATTTAAGGCGTTTAAGTCTTCAAATACCATTGCATCTTTAAGTTGTGTTATCAGCCTTGGACTCCATGGTTCCATACCTGTAAAATATTAATAATAAAATATTACATAAAGAACATAATGAGCGGCGGACGGGCCTGTTGGTCTAGTGATTAGTGACCCTGACTGCTAGCTGGAGGTCGTGGGTTCGATTCCTACCCAGTACAAATATTGTGTGATGAGCACGGTCATTTGTTCTGTGTCTGGGTGTAATTTATCTATAACATGTATGTATTTAAAAAATATTCCATCCATCATCACCACCCATCAATACTAGTGCAAGAAGTCCAGAAAGCCATAATGTCACAAAAACTAGAAAAAGCTCCAGGGCCTGACAGTATAACAAATGAGCTGATGAGAGGCACTGTGGAAGAAATAAGTCCGATTTTAACCAAGCTTTTTAATGATATTTTAATAACCGATACCATCCCAGAACAATGGAATGAATCACATATTATTCTTCTCCATAAGAAGGGAGATAAGGATAACATCAGCAATTATAGACCAATAAGCCTCATTTCAAATGTGTATAAGGTATTTGCAAAAGTAATCCTGGAAAGAATAACAAGGGTCCTAGACGAAAACCAACCAATTGAACAGGCAGGATTCAGGCAGAATTTCAGTACAATAGATCACATCCACACAATTAAACAAGTGTTGGAAAAATATAATGAACACCAAAAACCCTTATACATCTGCTTCATAGATTATTCCAAAGCTTTTGACAGCCTAAACCATAAATTTATCTGGTTGAGTCTAAAAGAACAAGGAGTGGATGAGGCCTATATACAAATAATAAAATCTATATACAAAAAATGCAAAAGTCGCATTAAATTGGAAACAATAGGAGACCCATTCCCTATAAACAGAGGCGTGAGACAGGGAGATCCGCTCTCTCCCAAGCTGTTCAACGCTGTGCTGGAATACGTATTTAGAAGATTAGACTGGGAAAACTATGGTATCAACATCAACGGTAGCCGCCTTAACCATCTGAGATTCGCTGATGATATTGTCCTGTTAGAAGAAGACCCTAAAAAACTAGGACACATGCTAAAATCCATAGCGGAAAAAAGCAGTGATGTAGGATTGTCGATGAATGCAAACAAAACAAAACTGATGACCAACTCTTCGGAAGTCAACATAGAGGTTTACGGAAATAGGTTGGAATATGTGAAGGAATATGTTTACCTGGGTCAAATTATATCTCCGGAGGACTCTATGTCTAAAGAAATAAATAAAAGAATAGCTTGCGGATGGAAAAAATACTGGTCCCTAAAAGAAATAATGAAGAACAAAAACTTAGGTATGCATATTAAGAAAAAGGCCTTCAACACCTGCATCCTCCCGTGCATGACATACGGCTGCGAATCATGGCCGATAACAGACAAGCAAAGGGAAAATCTGGCTAGTGCACAAAGGGCAATGGAAAGGAGCATGTTGGGACTCAGACTTAGTGATAGAATTAGAATTTCTGAAATAAGAAGAAAAACTAAAGTTGCAGATATTATAACTCGCATAGATCATTTAAAATGGGGTTGGACAGGACATATGCTACGTTCCAAAATAAATAAATGGAGCAAACAAGTCACCTTATGGTACCCAAGAGGGGACTGTAGAAGAAAGGGGAGTCCGAAAACTAGATGGATGGACGATATCCGCCTAACTTTGGGACCTTACTGGAATAGAGTAGCAGAGGATAGAGCTCAGTGGAGAGAGCTGGAGGAGGCCTATGCCAAGAGGCGCACCGAATTGCGAGACATAATATAACAAATAGAACTCGGAAATATGTATTGTCAAATCTGTAGCGAATTCGGAAGAAAAGGGCTTTATTATTATTCTCTTTATTTACTTTATATACATATTATTTACATTTTTAAATATACACTTTATAAAAAAAATACATTTAAAAATATAAAAAATAGTAGACCACCGACATCGGGTACAGGGACCAAGACACCGGTGGTTAGGACTCCAAAGATAGGAACCTCCTCACTATACGAGCCGTGTCAAGGAGGACTGCCTTCTGTATCAGACCCTTGATCCAGCCATCCAACGTGAGCCTCTTAAGGTGTTGGTCGAGGCTCTTGGCTATCAATCCATGAGCAGATACGACTATCGGAACAATGATCACTGAATCAACATTCCACATATCGACAATCTCGTGAGATAAATCCAAATATTTAATTTGTTTTTCTTTTTCAACTTTCACGAGATTCTCGTCATGAGGAACGGCGATATCAACAATCATTGCGCGGCGCTCTAATCGATCTATCAACACAATATCAGGCTTATTGGCAACAATAGTCCTGTCTGTGATAATAGATCGATCCCAATACAACGTGGCCCGACCATTCTCGAGAACTGGGTCGGGCACATACCTATAGTATGGCACCTCTAGATTCACAAGATGGTATTTAAGGGCAAGCTGTTGGTGTACGATCCTGGCTACTTGGTTGTGCCTGTGCAAATATTCTCCGTTAGCAAGACGAGAACAACCAGAAATAATATGCCTGATTGATTCGCCAGGACGGTGGCATGCCCGACAGATGTCAACCGTACCATCTTTCAGGATATATTTCCGATAGTTATTCGTCATGATAACTTCGTCCATAATCGCACAAACAAAACCTTCAGTTTCTCCAAAGAGATCACCATGCCGTAGCCAAGTCGTAGATGCTTTTAAATCTATATCGGACCCGTTTAGGGCCCGATAAAACCGACCATGGAGCTCTTTGCCCTTCCATACTTCCCTGCGATCATTAACACCAAGTACTACAGGTCTGCGCCAATTCTCTTTAGCCAGAGCGAGCGGGGTGAAGCCGGTATCCACTGCAACTACATTGCGATGCACTCCCACGTCGGTATGTAGAAAATATTCTCTGAGATTGCATACCTCGCGATTATGTAGGGTCTTGATATTTAATAGACCGCGACCCCCAAGCTTTCGCGGGATATACAATCTCATAACTGATGAACGTGGGTGGTGCATTCGGGATGCAGTCAGCAGTGTGCGGACTTTCCTGTCAAGGGCATCTAATTCGGTCTGAGTCCATCTAAGTATACCAAAGGAATACATTAGAACCGGCATGACCCAACCATTGCAGGCTCGCACCTTGTTGCCCCCTGATAAAAGACTTTTAAGTACTTTTTTCAAGCGGCCAAAAAAGCGTTCCTGCAATGTTTGTTTCATGTTAGATTCTGGTATTCCCAACGACTGTGATATACCCAGATACTTGTAAGTTTCAGTGGCAGACAGAGATCTGAGTTTTGTTGAATCCAAAAGCTCTATTCCTTCAGATTCAACTATCACACCCTTCTTTACATACATGACTGCACACTTGTCTACACCAAATTCCATTTTGATAGAATTACTAAAGTTTTCCGTCACCTTTAGTAACTTTGTCAATTGTAATTTGTTGGAGGCTAACAGTTTCAAATCATCCATATAAAGAAGGTGAGATATAACTTGATCATCTTTCTGCAACCTATAGCCTAACCCTGAACCCTCTAATAAAGTGCTAAGAGGGTTCAAAGCCAGACAAAACCACAAGGGACTCAGACTATCACCTTGAAATATACCCCGCTCGATCTTTATTAGTACATCGTGTATCGCTGTCTGCCGACATCCTGGATAGCGAAGTGCCGTTCTCCATTGCCCCATACATGACTTCAAGAAAGTGCACAGAGTTGTATCAATTTTATACAACTCCAGCACCTTCAAAAGCCATGTGTGTGGAACCGAGTCATAAGCCTTCTTATAATCTATCCAACACGTCGCCAAACTCTTACGATTACAACGTACCTGTTGGCTAATGGTCATGTCTATGATAAGGAGGTCTTTAGTGCCACGGGTCCCACTTCTACATCCATTCTGAGAAACTGACATAATCGAATTATTATTAATATGTAAAGTAATTTTGAGTCTCAGAATAGATGTTAGAAGTTTATACATGGTAGGTAAACATGTAATAGGTCGAAAATTTTTGGGATCCATGACACTACCAGACTTATAGAGTAAGTGGGTTATGCCAGTGGTTAAAAATTGGGGTAATGAACCCGAATCCAAAGCTGCCTGGAATTGAGATGCCAAACGCGCATGTGAGCTTTGGAACCACTTAAGCCAAAAGTTGTGCAGTCCGTCTGGACCAGGTGATTTCCAATTCGGTAATGAACGAACTGCACAACTTACATCATCTTTATCAATTTTAACAGGTTCCATAGGTGTTATAGACTCACATGAGCGTCTGACATCCTGCAACCAATCACCTTCTATATGAGTGACAGGCACCGACCAGATGTTACGCCAAAATGTATTTGTGACATTTTCATCTGGCAAATGCCTATCACCCACACATGGATCCGGTTCCTCCCATTTCCGGTACACCCACTTCTCATTTCTTTGGAACATCCGATTCTGATTATACCGATCTATTCGTTTTTTATACCGTCTTATCCTATTTGCCCATGCATAAATTTTCTGCTTTAGAAAGTCTATGCGCTCTGTGACACATGACATGTACTGCTGAGGACTAATGGTAGTCCCCAAGAATGCCTGTTTCACAAAGCGCATCACTCTCGGCCGCATATTCCCTGATCGGTAGCTAATAAGCTTACCGATGAGTGTCCTGGTCTCAGTAATACGACGTTCAATTCTATACTGCCAAGCTGGTACAGTAGATTTAGGTCGAGTAGTAGTGACATTGTTAGCTATTTTAACACCAGCTACTCGACAAGCTGCAATAGCCGCACAATATAGAATAGAATGTGTATCACTAAGATCTTCGCTATTATCTAAATATTCAGGTAATAACGAATCCAGGGCACCCACCAGCGCTAAATTTCGTTTATGAATGGGCAAACGGAATAACCGGGGCCTATCATTGCAATTTAAATATCGGTATTCCAGAATCGCATCCTCCAAAGCACTCCTTATCCTATCATTGTATTGGGTACTTACGGATATAACTTCACTCTCCACTAGTTCATCAATATCATCAGTATATGATGCCAACTGAGGTGTGCTGTTGGCTACCGAATCCACAGTGTGTGACGAAGAAGGGATAATTAAGCTATTCCGTATGTCAGAGCGTATCCTCTCAAGTACTGCATCATCCAGCAGATGACAGCGCTGTATAGCTCGTACTTGATCCGACAATCGTTGTGCTGATACATTGACAGCTGGTTCAAGCTCCTGAAACAAAGAGACTAGTCGAACACGGTACGCAGTAAGGTTCGTTCCCACCTCTGTAGCCCGATAATATGCCCGCATGACATTTTCATTAATAGACTTTGTCCACTTCATGCGGCGCACATCACCACCGGTAGCGGGGACCCTGTTCGAGGTCAGTAGTCCTCGGGATCCCAAGCTGGTCGGTGGCCGGCCTCTCCCCTGCCGACGTACAGGTGTTGGCGACGTCGGCGGAGAGAAAAACTCGTCGCTTGAAGTTGAGCTCGACGCCTCAGCCACGGCCGGAACTTCTGTTGTAGCTTCCGGGGACGGCAAGACGGAGCGGAGCGACGAGTCCGGGGATGTTGTCAGTGCTCTGGATCTAGCTCGGGTTAACATTTTCTAGTCGAATTTCTAATTTCTTTCATTTTCAATATTTTTTGTATTTTGACATGACGTTAAACGTCATGTCTTACTATCAACATATATCTATATATATTATTTATTTAAAACGGTTTTGTGTTATATTTTCATAAAAAGGATCCATTTCAATACAGTTTAATAGCTTTTAATGATTGTACGGGATTGTAAATGTATAGAAAACTTGTTTTAATTCGAAAATGTGAAGAAATTCCGACTGATGTAGGTAAGTGTTGCTAGTGTATTATTATTATTATTATTATTATTTAAAAAATATATAAGTATGTTTATCAGCAGTCTGGTTACTATAGTACAGGCTATGCCTAGTTTGGGATCAGACGGCCGTGTGTGAGATGTGTATACGAGTATGTGAGGTATATTATATTAATACAATAGTTACTGAGAGTAAATGCATGGTTTATATACTCACTTGATATTATTATTCATAGTTTAATTTCTCTCTTTTCACTTTGCATCTAATACTGCGCCAGATTGCAACCAAAACTGAAGTTCCCTTAAAATTCTAACAATGTTTTCGAGGAAAAATAATATAATAATATATCAAGTAAAAAGTAGAAAAGAATTAAGCCTCCTGGACATTTTTCTCTACAAATAGGTACATAGTTTTATTAGGTACGTGTTAACTCTATATAAAAATCTTACGAAAAGTTATATCTAGGATAGGTCGTTCATAGGTCAAACCTATCATAGTCAGTGGTATCGTAGTAGGTCATAGGTATTTCTAATAGTAAACATCGTCCTAACGTTTGTAGACATAAAATGATTACAATAAATTATTTCACTTACCAGGTACTTCTAAAATTTTCTTAACATTTAAGTAAAATATCATCTCTTTTTCGAACAACTTCATTTCCTTGACCATTTCTGCTTTTGCTACATTTGTTTTAGAAATGGCTTTGATGAAGAAGTAAAGAACTTTCTGATTCGTCAAGCACACTTTGAGTTTTAAATATTCCGATAGGAAACCCAACATTTTGTCGCTAGCAGTATGAACATAGTACTTAGAAATATTTCCATTACTCGTACTATTGTCTCTCGATATAATCAAATTGATATCTTCTTCTGTGATGTACTCGATATTATGATTAAAACATTTCTTAATTGACAATGTTGCCATAGCGTCATGTAACTGCGAACAATTTTATATTTATGAACAGTTGTATAACAATCACTAGAGGGCCAGAGCTAATGAAATTCGGTCTAAATACACAAGATAATGATGTTAAGAATACCTATTTATCATAACAGGTAATCAAAAGGTAAATATTGATAATAATTATTACCACAAAGCAAATATGTGATTTGTAAATGTAACCATAAGGATTGTCAATCTTTCAACTCGTATGTATGAGAAGGGAGTTGATAACTAAGATAGGTACTTTTTAGAATGACTACTTCCTAAGATGAGAGAAACACGAGAATTCGTCAGTCGAGAATTTATTTATACTAAGTAATAATATACGTACTTAATACTACTGAGACTTCTATTATTCGTGCTTATGGTCATAACCAGTAAAACTCATAAAATTTATGAATAATATATAATGCACTTTATTTTTTTTTGTAATACCTAACCTTTATAAAAAACAGTAAAATGTAAATATTAAATACATTGAAAATACATATATTCATTAAGATACTTATAGTAAATGAAGTTCTGATATACCCTTTTAGGAATATCAATCATCATGAGGTGGTGATCATAACGTCCTCAAAGAAATCGAGGTAACGAGAGGGAAAACGAAGCACTGCATTCCACTGATCTCTCGGCCCGTAGAAGGCGCGCCGGGTGCCGGAGAGCATTCATCGGTCTGCGGCCACCTTAGGAAGTAGCCTGCGAACGACGATTTTGTGGAATACGTCGTCCGAACTGATACAGGTCTGATAGGCAGCGTACAGCATTCCTTTATTTTTAGCGGACTGCGACTGGGTGAAGGGTGACGGTCGCAACGGGTAATGAAACCCGTCTTGGGTGAGACGGGTCAATGCCTGTCGGGGGTGTCAGAATAATACAAATGCGATTCTAGCTCCCCCGGCCATTTCCAAGCAGAGGAACCCCGGGGTGACTTTTTGTCGGTAAGAGTCCGACAGACCCTTTCGCCCCCTACCCCAATGGGCGTTGGACATTCAGGATGATCTTCCACCCCATTAACAAGAAAAAGGAATATCAATCAATTCTTCAACTTTTATTAGACCACTCTTTGTCAAGGTTCAGCAATTTATCCATTGGTTTAAAGGTTACATACTTACATATAAAAGACATGCACAGTTACTTTTACATATAGTGTTAGTTTAGATAAATAGCTTATTGGATTTTGATAGATATGTGCACTAGGGAATTGCAGTTTTTATTTTTATTTTAGGTACCTATTTATCTATAAACTTACCCCATTATCTTTTTGAAATACGAATCTTTCAAGGATTTCATCTAGCAATTCTGTGACCCTGATTCGATATTTGTCATCTTCTTTCGCCATTTCGATAAACTCTTTACTACGAGATTCGACGTTTGCTTTTCGAGAAGACTTCGGGTCACCAAATATCTCTTCCCTTTTATCTTTCCTCATAACTATTACAGGCGTAACGAGACTAGCCTGCGTGATTCCAAATACAATACTTTTCTCGTATGCCTCTTTAACTGTGCTTTTATTAAATATATCTTTGGCATTTATCCCACTAGCTTCTAATTCCTGAGACAATATACTGTAGTAGAATTCTATTAATTCTTCCGTCCAGATAAGTCTGTTGGCTCGAGTAGTGTTAAAATATATTAATGAAGATAAGTCGAGCATCGGAGAACAATAAATAACTGTTTGAAAATCTACAAAAATTGCATGACAATCGGCATTGGCTTCTTTTAAAAATATGTTGTTGGTCCAAAGATCGCGATGTACTACAACATTTCGATATTCGGTTGAAGGCTTCATTAGTTCCATAGCCCTATCATATAGCCCTGGCATATAGGCTTCTAAATATTTATTGAAATTAGGTTTGAATTTATATTTGGAATATTCCTTGAGAAAATCGATCGCAGCATTTCTTCCAGTGTCACGCCAGTCCAGTCCTTTAATTGATTCTTGCAAATAATCGCTGTACTGCTCCCATATTCTGTACGCTCGTCCTAACTCTTTACTTTTCCTTTCCTCATAAATGTATGATTGTGCGTGAAACCTTGCTAACGTCACGATGGTGGATTTCAATTCTTCAAAAGATAACGTTTCTTCCTGATCCGGCATCTTATATCCTTGAACTAGTACATTTTCAAAAACAAATATATTTTCTTTACTAAATAACAGTTTTGGTCTCCATTTACGTACACCTGGAATTATTAAGGATTTTTTTTATAAAGATTCTTCAAGTAAGAATACTGCGCTTTAAGTAATAACAGGTGCTTATAAGTCAGACTATTAAAGACATTTATGAATTTCTGCTCAGAGGCATTAAATAAGTACCTACTATACGTATTATACGTAATCAGTAGAACCGATTCGGAGGAAACATTTGCTACCTCAGTCAGGACTTGATAAGTATTTGTAGTAGTGAAAGAAAAGAGCAAGCTTTCTTGCAATTAATTGGCGTTGACCTGTTTGGTTGGTACGACACATATGTTTTGTAGGTATTTGGTGAGAAAATTAAGTCAATGATCTACGAGATCTATGAGTCCCATAGCGAAATGATATTATAGACCTATCCCTTAAATATCTTACCTTCTGGGTCTTCAAATTCTTTAAAAAGCTTAGTAAGCATTATGTATTCTTTTTTGAAAAACAAAACTTCGTTAAGGTATTCAGCTTTCCATTTGTCGAACCTTGGCATGCATTTTACAAAAAGCATTACTTCCGACTTAATACCATTTGATTCCACTTCAATTATTAGATTTAAATGGTCACCTAAATACCCAATAATTTTTCCTTCGATTTCTTGAAAAGTCCACTTTAACACTTTAGAAAAGCCACACTGTTTCGCAATAAACAAAATTTCGGCTGGGTTAAATAATTCCATTGTGTACTGTATCGCTTGTACGATATTAATGTAGGTCTAAGTAGGCTGCGATAATACTATTTTAATGATATCATAATTACAAGTGATATCTGTAAGTGTTTGTGTATAGAAAGATAGAATTGAATTGTGTAAATATGTTTAAACATTACTGCGGCTTGCTAGGTGTTGTTTCACTCGTGAGCAAGAGGCAAGATAATTTATGTTATCAAATAGTACGGTAACTACTTGTTAAAGGTGTGGTAATATTATTAGAATTTATAAAACCAAAAGAAATAGTTAGCGCAATAATTTGTAAAATAATACCTACTTATTCAAATGCATAGGACAGAAAGTGAACATATCTGAGTTAACTATATACCTACAAAGCGACAAAATATCGTTGTAAACGCTTTACGCTAAAATATTGAAGATTCTCAAAAATTTATTAGGTACTGTGGGGTTTTTTATTAAATCCTAAGAAAATTATTACCATTATGGAAAAAAATTGTCCTTCAAAATGTATGGTTTGATCAAAGTCCCCTGCTTCCAAAATGTATCGATAACGAGGTCATGAAAAATTATTTATGAGTGGCTGATTTTTTTACTATTGCTTAGTTAATATTTATATAATTTTACAGCCACATTGTCCTATATATTGCGTGGACGAAGGCGGACTGGAGTAAAGTACGTTATATACTTACGTATATTCGTAACTGTACTTACCTAACCAGTTACAAGAAAAGAAATTATTTTCGTTGTTTGGTAACTAGTTGTGGGAGAAGAATTATTATTCCACTTTTGTAGATCAGATTATTTCCATTTTTGTAACCTGAGATGTTAGTTCCTACACTCAAGTTGTAGTACAAATCCATGATTTAAAAATAATGGCAATCAAGCTAAATCTTCGTGAATAGATATACTTTGATGAGCAGCCCAACTTTTTCTCTTACAAACATTTTTTTTGTGGTCAAAAAAAGGGGTAGCAGGGATGAAATATGTCGGCGATTATCAAACAGGAGAGGCCTATGTCCAGCAGTAGACTATTAAAGGCTGTTGATGATGATGATGATCAAAAATTACTGACAGAGACACATACGGCCTCACAGAAAATGGCCATGAAGCATTTTTCTTTCGTTGCTTTACACCGAGTTAGCGAGGTTACCGAAGGCCAGACCTGCCGGCCCTCCTTAGCATTAGGGCTCCTGAGCATTATTTTCCTAATTAAAGGGCGGCAGCGCACTTGTCTCTTGAGTTGCGGGTATCCGGGTATCCATGAGCGGAGGTTGGCATTTGCCATCAGGTAACCCGTCTGCTCATTTGTCCCTATAGGTACCAATGAAAAAGATAAACAATACTTTAGCATATAGCTAATTAAGAAATATAAAATATCGCAAATTTGGACGTTACTTTATGTGCATACGACCGCCGATTAAATTATTTTTTATGAGTACATTTCCGAACAAATACCATTAATATTGATCTTGGTGTTTACTATCTACAGTTTCATAATAATAATCCTTTATCTTAGGCAATATTATTAATATTAATATTAACTTCACACATCTCACACACGGCTCTCCGACTCCAAACTAGGCAAAGCCTGTGCTATGGTAACCAGACTGCTGATAAATATATTTATATATTTCTAAAAACAAAACAAAAATAAAATTTATTTTATTTTAATTTATTTATTTCAGGTCATTTTTAGAAGAAAATTTTTGTGTTGATTTTTCTGAAACTGTGTGATTTCTTTCTGAAAGCGGTTCAAATCTATCACGGGATCAACTAGACTACTGTATTAAGAGGAAATGAAAAAAAAAACGACGATTCGTATAATATTTTTTTAACGACTATATTACAAACCAAACATAGAACTTGTTGAATGTAAATCTAAGAACGGTTCTGTCTTGATTCTATTCAGTTTTTTCTCTTTAACAACTTCATAATTTGGAGTCCAGAGTTCAGTTGCTCTTGGAGAATACGACCCATTCAGCTTGCTGTTATTAGTATCTTCTTCATCACTGGAGTCTGCATCGATTTCCATAGGTTCTTCTTTCGTGTCATCTGTCAATGCCGGCTGCTCCATTCCAGATAGGCGTTGCAGGAACGACGTACATAGTAAGCTGATTGCTGGTACCATGTGTGGCGATGCTAAAGAGAACTGAAACAAACAATAAGACATTTTTTTAAATTCCCTTGTAGAACTAGCAAACAATAATTTGTTATGTCAGTCAGTTTGTTTATAATATGTACATAAGCAGTATTTCAATGTTATCATACGGATACGGACAGTATAAGCTAAAGCTTTGAAGTCAGTGGATCGAAATCCAGTGGCGGATTTACCTGCCGCTGAGTAGTCTGGAGCCTAGGGCGGCATATTTAGCCCAATTTTTTTTTGTCATATTTAAATAAAAAAAACAACCTAAAATTAAACGTTAATTTTCGAGACTATTTTCCTTCATCTCTAAAATTTAACAAAAATAATAGTATTTACTATACTACTATTACGAGTAGTACAATGCAGTGTACCAAATATATTTGAAAAATTACTAAACGCTTGGTGAAATATATCTTTGAGAATATGGATTGTTAAAATATTCCAATAGCGGTTTAATATTACAAGCCTCCAGCTGGGAGAACAACGAGCTCAGGGAGTGGCTTGACACCATTTGCATACCACTACGGGCGGTGGCCAACTGCCGATACCATGAACTCAGGTATACTTGTATACTTTGTCGCCGCCGATATACTTCGGCACGCACTTTCACCTTCAAATCCCACGGTGATATTCCGGCCAACGGTCACGCCACCTCCGTAGATACGGAGCGCAACCGCGCATGGCTCTGAGCGCGCCAGAGGGGCGCCCTAAGAAGGCAAGGCGCTAGAGGAGACGACAACCGAACAAACTGTCGGAAGTGGACTTCCCATTAAGGATCAGGCCCAGATACTTCATCTGGGCTTGAACTGGTACGAGGACCGAATTGATCACGATTGAGGCACCAGGGACTGAAATAAGACGGTCTCCGTCTTATACAGGGCAACTCTTAAGCGCCTCCAGGACCTCAATGATGTGAATTCAATGTTGTAGGTTCGATCCCACATGGGACAACACTTTGCGTGATTCACAAATTGTTTGTCTAAGTCTGGGTGTTCTTTGTGTCCGTTTTATATATGTTTGTAAAGGATATATTCACAGTGTGGGAGGTGCCGTTTAACGAAAAAATGCGCCCTAGCACCAGAGAGATAGCACTGGTGGCCAGGCGCGTTTCCTCTTGAAAGTTCGCCCCTCGGAAAGTGTCATCGTAACAAACCCGGGAGAGAGATTTCCCTAGTCTCTTCGAAGGCTCCTATATTCCACAGGAGGGTTCCAAGAACAGACCCATGTGGAACACTGCACGACATGGGCAGGCGCCTCAGACATCCATCTTGGCCCTCGTACATAACGGTACGCCCCTCTAAATAGTCTGCCACTAGTCGCCTTAGGTACTCTGACACTCCGTGATAGTGAAGTGTCTCGCTGATGTAGCCGAATGGCAGGCTATTGAATGCGTTGGCGATGTTCAACGACAACGCCAGCAGCACGCAGAGCTCTTCGGTCACGATCCTGAGGCGCAACACAGCGCCGATTGAGGAACGCCCCGTTTGCGAATTGGACGTCTGACAGATCAGGGTCCACCTCGCAGAGCTGGCGGACAATGCCGTCAAAAAGAACCCACCCCAATAAATTTACCCCCCTTGTCCAAACACCATGGGCCCGTAAGTAGCGGCCAAAGTGGCAGGATGTCCCGGCTTCGAACACCTTCCTGAGAGGGTCTGACATGGGGTCGATGGCTAGGGCCAGTACTCGGGTAGGTATCCTGTCTGGTACGGTTGCGGTGTTCGGGTGTAGAACAGCCGCCCCTACCTCCACATCAGCAGAGTGGAACATCATAAAGGACATGACAGCCCGAAGGGGTTTTCACTCATAAAAAAAGGGTATTGAACTGTAGAGGTAAGTGGGGCCGGCAAAAAAATTATAGCCTGCTGGCGGCAAATATGTAAAGCCGCCACTGTCGAAATCCATACCAATATTATAAATGCGAGTGTGTCTGTCTATATTTTCCTAACTTGCATATAATTTATTAATAGATATGCAACGCAAGTAAGTGACATAAGATCGATTTGAACCCATACCTTCCTATCTTTATTATATTGGAAACATTATAACTTTGAGAGTCGTGAATTCATAATTATAGAGCCTACTTTACAAAAAAGTCTTCGACCATAAAAATATAAGAAAATAAGCTGATAATGGGAAAAATAACAATACTATACTATAATAAATATACTTATACTATACTATAATAAATATATTAACACACACAATTACTTGTTTATGTTATTTATAACATTATATTTTAAATAACATAAACAAGTAATTGTAAGTGTGTGTTTTATTAACATGGACTCCGAAAGTGGTAACTCTGATCTAGCGCCGACATTGATTCTTGTCATTATTATAGTTCTCATCGCATACTCTTGTATTTATAATTACAGTTTTTTCTTCTAATTAGATGTTGCTGTCGTTCACCTTATATCTCTTTATGATCATAGATAGACTGATTACATTAGTCAATGTACTCGTTCTATATTTAGCATTCTTTACCCGCTGTCAAGAGTACTACGAAAAATAAAGTTTAATTTTTTATTTTTGACGTGAGAGACATGTCATGGAAAAATAACAATAAGTAAAAGTGAAAGTAGTTGTAAAATTATTATTTTACACATTTACACACGGCAGACTGACTCCAAACTAGGCAGACCTTGTACTATGGCAACCAGGCTGCTGATAAACATACTTATTTATTTCTAAATAAACATATTAAAGATAAATTACACCCACACATAGAACAAATGACCGTGCTCGTCACACAATATTTATCCTGGGTGGAAATCGAATCCACGACCTCCGGCTTCGCAGTGGGGGTCAAACCAAAAGAACTAGAGCAAGAGGCGCGTAAAATAGGTTTGCTAAAGTTGCAAAATGGTAAAACGCCAGTCAATTATAAAATGTCTTCGTCCTATCAATGTCCCTTTGAAATATATTGTACGAAACATAGCTACAATTAATAATTTGAGTTTTCAGTCGTATCCCTTCTAACACAGAAGGGTGTTCTTAACGGTATGTTGTAAAAATTATCAAGTGCATAAATACACTTTAATGAGTGTTTCAAGCAATTCCGGACTTCCCTTTTAACTTGAAATTAGTTGAACTATGGAAATAAAATAGCGCCTGTATGACTACCCTAGCAAGAAGAATTTTGATATCTTGTTACTATCTTATTCCTTTCTACTTTTATTTTTCTCACTTTAATTTATAATATTGCCTTCTTTACTAAAACTAGTGCCAGCAAATCAGTGTTTTTCTTGTTTTTAAAAAGACATACAAAGTGTGGTCCCATGTGGGTATCGAACCCACAAAACTCAGCACAGTGGAAAGCGGCGAGGTGACGTCATCCGTGCAAGTATAAGTAGATAATATTACCTGAGCTATACTCGAAGTGGCCAATGCACTGACGTCCACGGCGTTTATGTCGACCGCGCCCCCCGCTTGTACCTCAGACAGCTGTTGCTCTGCCAGCAACGCACTAAAGTTCGAAGTCGGCAACTTGCGATGTGATATCACCTCTAGACGGCCTTCCTCACTTGCCTCTGGTTCTATGCAGTATATTTCCTGTAAAATGGAAAACATTAAAAATAACACTTGACCGGATGGCGTAGTGGTTTGAATAACGGACTGCTATTCCAAAGGTCGCGGGTTCGATTCCCACTCAAGTCAAACATTTGCGTAAAAAAAAGTATATATGTATTTATATCAGTTGTCTAGTACCCATATTACAATCTCTGCTTAGTTTGGGACTAGATGGCGTTGTGTGATTGTAGTAAAATATATTATTATTAATAACATTTGTTTACTACCTATAATTAGTTAGTAAACGCTTATTGTTGGCGTTAAATGGCATAGTATAAACTTGTTTGTTTACTAATGTTAACAAACACATTTAAACGTTTATATTTCGCCATTCCTACATAAGAGGGCTTTGAAAGAAGCCTATGTCAATTATTTTCTTTATTTTTTCATCATAAAAATAAACAATAATAGTAAATCTATCTAATATTATAAAGCTGAAGTGTTTGTTTGTTTGGTTAAAAGCGTTTATCTCAGGACCTACTGGTTGGAATTAAAAAATATTATATATATATATATATATTTGGATAGCTCATATATTTAGGAAGGCTATATAACATTACGCTACGACTAACAGGAGCCGATCATAAACGAAAATTGTTGCAAAAACAAGATTTTTTTTTGAGTAAATATAGAATCGCAAAAAAAAAGGCACACAGTTATGTTACTACGATGGTTCTTATTATTTCGCTATTACTATATAAAAGGGCATTCAAAGAGACATACGTCAATTATTTTTATTGTTTTTATCATAAAACTAAGCACTAATGGTAAATGATTATAATAAAGTTTATAATAACACACAAAACTCGTCTGAGAGCTTGCCCTTTTCTTATCTGTCGAAGAAGTAAAGCGACATCAAAACACATGACTTCTGTATTGCAATGAGAGAGAAAAACAGTCCAACAAAAAATGTACATATTTAACAAATAAATATATGCTTACCGAGTCATTCCTCATCAGATACAAACTAATATCGTCGTCGAAACATGTCCCAAATGTACATTGTTTGAACACACCGGTGGACGGATCAACAAGCTTTTTCTTCGTCAGTATTGGGGTCGAATTATGTGGAGTGAATACATAAACTGAAACAAACCCAAAAATTAGCTTTATAAAATAAGATTTTGGTAGTAATCAAAAGGAAAAACGAAAAGAACCGAAAAGGGACCAACATATAAAACGTAACTTATTTTTTGTGCTTTACAATAAAATTCCTTCTTTAAACATCAATTAAAAAGTTAAATTCAAATTAAGATGCTTGATAAATAATTGAATGCTCTATTGTGAAACTCTCTACTGAGGTTATAAAGCTGAATACTTTATTGGTAACACTGTTTAACATATATATGTTAAATAACAGGTGTCCCAAGAAGAACGCAATTTTTAAATTTTAAATAAAACAGATATGTAAAAAAAAAATCGTGAAACTTTATTATATCGTAAAGTAGACAGAATGAGGTTATGTATGGAACAATATATCGTGCAGATGGCCGCCGCGGCTTTGCTGGCATGCACGCGATCTTTTAATGAAATTTTCAATGACCGTTTTGCATGAATGCTGCGGTATTTCATTAATGCAGCGTCCAATTTCCTCTTTTAAGGCTTGAGTCGTCGTCGGCTTATTCGCTTAAACCATCGACTTCAAAAAACCCCAAAGAAAAAAATCTAATGATGTTAAATCGCACGATCTAGGCGGCCAATTCTGATCTCCAAAACGCGAAATAACATGACCGAGAAATGACTGATGCAGCAATTGAATTGTTTCTCTGGCTGTATGACATGTAGCGCCGTCTTGTTGGAACCACATGCCCTCCACATTCATTTCTTCAATTCTAGGCAAGAAAAAACTGGTTATCATTTCACGATACCGAACACCATTGACTGTTTGCGCTTGACCTGCCTCATTGTCATAAAAAAAAGGTCCAATGATTCCTCCAGCCCAAAAACCACACCACACAGTGACACGTTGAGAATGCATTTGCTTCTCGTGAATCACTCGAGGATTTTCCTCACCCCAAATGCGACAATTCTGCCTATTGACGAAGCCATCAAGATGAAAATGGGCCTCGTCACTGAAGATGATTTTATCGGCAAAATCAGCATTTTCATGTTGTCTCTCCAATACCCAATTAACGAACAGTCAATGGTGTTCGGTATCGTGAAATGATAACCAGTTTTTTCTTGCCTAGAATTGAAGAAATGAATGTGGAGGGCATGTGGTTCCAACAAGACGGCGCTACATGTCATACAGCCAGAGAAACAATTCAATTGCTGCATCAGTCATTTCCCGGTCGTGTTATTTCGCGTTTTGGAGATCAGAATTGGCCGCCTAGATCGTGCGATTTAACATCATTAGATTTTTTTCTTTGGGGTTTTTTGAAGTCGATGGTTTAAGCGAATAAGCCGACGACGACTCAAGCCTTTAAAGAGGAAATTGGACGCTGCATTAATGAAATACCGCAGCATTCATGCAAAACGGTCATTGAAAATTTCATTAAAAGATCGCGTGCATGCCAGCAAAGCCGCGGCGGCCATCTGCACGATATATTGTTCCATACATAACCTCATTCTGTCTACTTTACGATATAATAAAGTTTCACTTTTTTTTTACATATCTGTGTTTTATTTAAAATTTAAAAATTGCGTTCTTCTTGGGACACCCGTTATAATGTGGTTGTTACAAAGCGGTTGCATTTCATCTTAAATCACGGTACCTAATGTTTATTTTACATTACCCGTCCGAACGATTTTCACCGAAGTAGATCGACACCGCATCGCGTTCAATGCAAAAACAAATGTGTGGTGGCCCTAAAAGTACTTGAATTATATAAAGAGTGAAACATCGCATAAAATTAATCACTTACCATCGTTATTAGTTGTAACAACAGCTACTTTGTTAGAAAACCTGTGGGCCGCTATACAAGTTGGTGTTATTTGCACGAGCCATTTCACTGTTAATGACAAAAGACTCCAAACCGCTAGGCAATTCTCCGTTGTACAAATTAACTAAAAAGAAAAAAAAGAAAATTTTAAGTATTTCTTTTTTATATAACTTAACCGGGACCGAACTTCGTCGGGGCATTTAGTTCGCTGGGTTTAAATTTGGAATCGTTACTAAACAATGACTATTATTGAATTCAGTAGTGTTTCTGGCAGTCTGACTGAAAATGATAAAGCAATCTAAAAATACATATAATAGCAGTATATCGGTAATATCTCTGGAGGTACATTATAAACAATTAGATATATCTCTCATAAGATTTCAGTATGAATGTGAAATATGTAAATAAATAAAGAATATTAATTTAAGTAAGGGCGATGTTTAAGATGAAAAAATACCAATCGAATTGAGAACCTCCTTCTTTTTGAAGTCGGTTAAAAAATAAAATTATATACTCACATAGTGTGCTGCATCTTTGTTACCAAACAGAACATTGACACCCTTAGGACGCAATGCTGGATGTGATAGGGTAGTCCTAAGGTTACATAGATGTGTGTCCCATAAAGTCAGCTTCGAACCGAACCAGGCAGCGATCAAAGAACCGTCTTGCGAAATCGCTACACCTCCCATACTGTAACTATCATCTCTCCCAATAGACACTTTACCCATTTCATCGGCAAGTGAATGCTCCTTGTGAATATTGAACAACCTCTTTATTATATCATTTTTATTATTGATTTCTCTTAAATATGGTAAATCCTCATCTTTCCCAGGTTTATGCTTTGAAGGCTCTTTGAAATTATTCAAGACATTATTTGAGATGGACGAACCAACACCTGATGAATAATAGCATGCCGTTAAACAGGCCCAAGCAACTGTCTTGCGATGCGTCTGTGACGTATTCTCTCTTTTCCATATTCTAAACTTCTGGTCTGCCCCAGCTGATACACAAAATTCACCTTTCTTGTTAAGAGCTAAAGAAACAACATTGCATCCACCGTGAGAAAGGTTAACACATGTATTTAGGTGGAATGGTGTTGCCTTATTGTATTGTGCTTGCCAGAACTTCAACTTTTCTTCTGGGTAAATAATACCATCGTTTCTATATTCCGATGTCACCAGCCACTCGCCATTACCGCTCACTGCTGCGCAAGTCACCTCTGTCTCTAATGGCAGTAAATTCCATCTTTCTGATGGTAGGCTGTTTGTTTCTGTTATATCTAGCTAAAATAAAAATTTCAAATTAAATAACAATATCAATATAGTGACTACAATACACTAGCCAATATAATACCTACTAATAGGGGTTTAAAAAGTCTTGACCAAACTAAAAAAGAAGAACAATAAGAAAACTTTGATCTTACGTTATATAGGACTTTGTCTGTAGTAGTAGAATAAAGCTGTAAATGGCCAGTACGTCCTGCTATGATCAATGCTTCAAGTGGTTGATGATACACCAACGCGCCTCCCACAGCACGCGCGACAGGAGACAAGCCGCCGCATTCCAGAATAGTGGAGACTACTCGCAGCTGAGCGTTTGCAATTACTACCGCTAAAATATTACACAAAATTAGATATGACGGAATGACTCGACCCTCATTGATTAAATACAGTAGTGAAGTACAATTATTGAGACTGTCAGATTTATGGCTGGTGCTATCATTCAAGTCATTTTGCAGACTAGATTAATGTCGCGTCACTCAGACATTTACGACTTGACGCAGTATACAAGAAGAAAACAATGAAGTTGTATGTTTCTACTCCTGTGGTCTCGAGTCATTATCATATTTGACTTAAACAAATTGTTCAATATGTGCCACTACCGATTGCAACACAACGAATTGTCCGACTATATCTCACAGAGGGTAAGATTAAGTCGAAACATAAACTAGCCATGGATGGTTTCTTTCCCACATTTAGACTGAGCTTTTTGATTGTAACGGTGCATTTCGCACCATTACAGAAAAGTGAATTATCGACGTGTTGTTAGTTTTAAAGGATGAATTTTCTTACGTTTCAGTAAAGCTCCGAGAGATGGCGTCACAGTCGAGATTTTTAATCGACTATTGTAGTGATTCTATGGCAGTTTTTTGCACTGCTTGCTCTGGCAACATTTTTTTGGTCGCATTTGCATCTTCCTGGGCGAAGCAGACCGGGGTAGACATGTTTGTGCTTTTTGAAAGATGGAAATGAAATTCGTTTCCATTTGTTATAATCAGAGGGTTAATCACCTTTTAGTGTTGGCCGGTTTTGTTAACAAAGTTGCCTTTTTGAAATTATTAGTAATGCCTCCGATTTATTTGTGAGACGTTTTGGAACCCTGTGCCGTAACAGGGTTCTTTTTATTTTTTTATTTATAGCTTTTTTATTTATAGCTTTTCTTCTTATTAGTTTGCAATTCCCTTACGTTACAATTAGTTTTTTACCTCACGACCTGCCTGATCCTGGGATTTAGTCTGCTTTGGAGAGTGGATTTCCTTTCTTAAGTACCTCTAATGGCAGGAAAAGTCCTCTGACTGTAGCCCATTATTTGGATTCACTTGGGACAGGAACCAGGAAGGTTGAATTACTTACCCCGCCACGACGACATCCACGTGGAGAACAGGAGTGAGCGTTATAAGAGTTAGTTATACCATAGTTCCAAACGGACTGTGCCGGCGTTATCGGTATGTCTTTTGTTGTATATGATAACTACCTTTAATTTCTTTATGTATTAAACAGTCTTTATGTGACTTTTAAAGATATTTTACCTTGTAATTTGTATTATCAAGGTAAACAGATTGCATTTATAACAGAACTAATTTGAGAATAAGAATTACATTTGTAACTAGATCTATAATATTCCTTGTACTCTACAGACACTACGGGATTAATAAACTGCCTCTTAATCTTATAACATCTCTTTATTTGATAGCTGCCCCCCACCCTAGATTAAAAGTCTAAGCGCTGACCAAGCTGTTCCAGGTATTTTTTGTATTTGTTATTAGTTGTCTATGTTCATTTAGGCCGGCACCTGGCGTCCGAGATTATTGGTTTTGTTAGAATTTGTGGTGCCGGACCAGTTAGTTCATTCATTTGTATTCAACATAGACTTTCATTAGTTAAAAATTTTTTTTTTATTTTTTTAATATTACATGATCACCCTTATTGCTCAAACTTGCCAAATGTTTAACTATTTAAAAAAATCTAAGCATACTTACAATTGTTTGTCATTGTTATTGCCACATGGTTGTTATTTGTGGTAATAAATCTAATCATTCCGGGCAGTCGCGGTATAAAAGCTTTCTCATTGGCTCTGTAAGCCAGGTTACCCATTGTCCATTTCACTAAAACTTTTTCCATTCCGCCAGTGTACAGGTAATTACCTGGAATAAAAGTAAAATGTTAAAAAATTCATATATGATGTAAGTCTACTGGTTTGGATTGAAAATTTCTTTTAGCGTTGAATAGCCTTTTTTTCGAGCTAGGCTATATAACATCACGCTAGGAACAATAGGAGCGGATCATTAATAAATAGTGTTGCAAATGCAGGGAAAATTTATTTCTTTTGAGAGATGCAGCCGACGGTGCTTGGGTCAGCTAGTGTTTAATATTGGTGCACAAGTTCTAGTTCAGGATCTAAAAACGGTTCTACATAAGACCAAGTAACTATAAATATATTACATAATCGAAAAGTCTTAAATGAAATATTATATTTTAATATTAACTAATAATAATTTTGCTAAGCTTAACAGAATGAATTCTTACCTTGTAAAGAAAAGCATGTCGCAAGTGGAGGTAAGAAGTGCCAATGCAGCACCTCCCTAGCAATTTGCCTGTGGTCATATAAATTCCCTCTTATAATTGTGGTGCGGCCCAAAGTGTCTGTAATAGCGACAGCATTTGTTTTCTGATGTGCCGCCACTGATGTTATGCGATACTGATTGTGGTTTATGATCCTAGAAAAAAAGACATTTTATTCAAATTCTCATAGTAAAGTATAAAAAAAATCATTTAAAAGTATTAAACAGATAATAGAACGATTAAAATTTGACGAATGTTTCTTAAGATAGGCATGTTTTAACAAACAAATAATACATGACAAACTAGTTGGTGCCAAGAGCACTCTTTTGCCTTTTTGACGTGGTGGTCAAATACTTGTATAGAGTTTTGAACTAGACTAAAACTTACTGTGTCTTCAAGTGTGGTTGCTGAAGGTTCTGAATGAACAAATACTTTGTTCCATTAGTAAGAGCTGCAAATCTGTCTCCGTTACACCAACCCAGTGATATTCGTAACATGTCAAAGCATATTACTTTTGTATCTTTATATTCATACAAAAGTTCTCCAGTTTTCACCGAAAAAGTACTGAGTACAAGGTATTTCTGTTTTGGTAGTTTGTAAGTAATGCAACATTCATTGCTGTCTACCAAGTCAAATGTTAAAACTTTAGCATTAGATGGGAGTTTCAGTTTCTGTAAATGTAAAAAAAAATGTTATTATAAGCAGTTTTAAAATATTTTAATGAATTTAATATAAATTTACAAACATTAGAAATAGACAAAGTAAACTGTTATTTTTTATAATGTACAGATGGCGTAGGGGTTTAATCTTTTGCCACACTGCTTACTACTATGCTGAGTGTTCACTACGACACTGTGTGATACACAAATTGTTGTTCTGAGTCTGGGTTTTCTTTGTGTCCGTTTCATGTATGTTTTTTAAAATCTCCCTTGACACAGGATATATTCCTAATGCGGGAGTTGTCTTTATTTTGTAATAAAAAATATATACAATTGCCTACACAAATAAGATTACCCAAGACCTTGACCGCCTTGGACAGAGAGTATATTTGAGTCTACAGATATACTAGCTTTAGCCTGTGGCTTCACCTGCATATATTTCGGTTTTCACAGTAAAAAGTAGCCTATGCCTATCCTTTCTTATCAACTTATCTCCATGCCATTAAAATCAATTCAGTTACTTTTACAGTTATAATAGGATTGAACTAGGTGTGTCATTTAAAACTGTATACACTAGTGGGTTAAGGGTGAGTTGCAGCAAGCTAGCGCTGCTCACATATAATGGTAGTGCATATGAAGGTTACTATTTAGATATTATGAAAGGTGTACTAACAATTTCTCTTAGAACAGCTCCTTTATCCCAGGTCCATATTGTAACATAGCCTGTGTGTGAACAACCATATAAGTTGTAGTCTTCATTTTCCGGAAACTGAACGGCTACAAGCTCTTTTACTGCAATCTCGGTTTCAAGTGTCCGAACACAATCTCCTGTTTGTATATTATACACACGCACTATATTCTCCACTATAATAGCCACAGATCTGAAATATTAGGTACCAGAATAAATTATTGCTGGTTTATAACAAAATTCAGGAAGATAAAACATTGATAATACTAACTCTCCGTCTGGTGAGAAAACAGGACGATGATCTATTATACTTCTACCAGCTTTTCGATGTACATTATAGTTATTAGCTTTGATGCCTTCATTATTCGTTACAACACCCATTTTCGGTATTATATGATTTTCATTATCTTTCACACATAATAATCATAAAATAACCATGAGATAACCTAAAAACTTGTAACTTGTTGTTATGTTGCAGCCGTAACTGGCCGTAAGACAGCATGTGTTGAATAACCTATCCTTTGGCTCGGCAAAATTTGATATGTCAAAAACTCGATTTTTTTTAGTAGATTATCGAATAACTTTTTTATTTGATATATAATAATTTCGATTGTTAGAATAAATAGATTAAAGAGTATAAAATTCTTTATTAAATAGGAGCTCTATTTATTCTTTGGTACATTTACACACACAAGGTATTATTCATTCGCTCTAATCAATTTGATTTCTGAGATTAGAAAAGTCTTAATATGGAGCCACTGAAGCCGGATCAAAGATTAAAATTTACCCTACACCGTACCACTTACGTCATATGTATTGTTGTATGGGTATAGTGGCAGGTTTTATCCTCGATCTGGCTGCACTGCTGCAGTCACATAGTAATTAACCTAAACTTAAGTAGTATCCGAATTTCACGCTTAAACCGCTGAACCGATTTAGATGAAATTTGATAAAAAGATACATACCTCACACTTTCTCAGTCACATTTTCGTCATCCCTCAGTAAGACATGTCCATACCACGATAACCTATTACTTCTTAACTTTTCATCTAGTGGCGCTACTTTCAAACTCCCGCGTATATACTCATTCCTAACCTTGTCTATCCGAGTCACATCACACATCCATCTCAGCATTCGCAATTCGGCAACGTTCAAGCGCCTCTCATCCTTTCTTTTAATGGACGAAGTTTCAGGCTGGTAATAAATAATAAATACATACAAAATAAATGTCTTAAAAGGTATGAGTTTACCCTAGAGATCTGCAAAAGACCGGGTTTTAATCTTTCAGTTTGTTTAAACCCTCCCATAGGGTTTTTATTCGGGTGTTCATTGATTTCTTGTTTTAATTGCCGTAAATGTTAATATCAATGAATAAACCACTATGTACTATTTGCTACTCTTTTACCTATTTGTCAAAATCTTTTTATAAATAAATTCTTTCTACAAAAATCTATTTGGTTCAAAAACGGTAGAGTTCATTCAGACGGAGACAAACAAGTATTAAATAAACATTGATTCTCCTCGTTTCTTAAAATAAGTTGAAAAGTAAGCTGCCATGGCTATCAAAGCTCCTTCAGTTCCTCCAGAAAATCACCAGCTACTCAAGATGGTTTTCGCCAGGGTCGCTCAGCTGGTGATCTTCTCGTCTATTTAACACACCGGTAGGCACAAGCGATCGAGACCAAGGGAGAGGCTTGTGCGGTTAGCTTGGACATAGCGAAGGTCTTCGATGTTGTCTGGCATAAGGCGATTCTCTCGAATCTCCCTTCCCGGGCTTCCCGAGAAATTATGTAACAGGGTCACGAGTTTAATTGCAGACAGAAGCATTAAAGTCGTTACTGATGATGCATGGTTTCCCTTAAAATTTGTAAATGCTGGTCTCCAGTAAGGCTGTATGCGATCACCCACACTGTTTTTGCTGAATATCAATAACATGTTGCAAACTAGTAGTCTCCATTGCTATGCGGGTGATAGTACGGAAGATGACCTTTGTACCGACCGATCTAATTATTTATTGGAAAACGTCGTTGAGAGTCGAATCAAACTTGTTTCTGAAATTGAAACTTCCTAAGCGGAGGTTTTAGATTGGGGTCAACTAAACCGTCCATTTTAACCCAAAAAAGACACAGCTTTGGGCGTTCACCGCGAAAAAGATGCCATTTGTCCTATCACCTTGGTTTAAGAGCACTTCCTAGATACCTTGTAACCGCTGAACCTGTCAGGCGGTCTACTCACCGGCTTACCCAGCGGAGATATACACGAGATTAATTTGGGTTACCTCAGGGCGCCTTGTCGACAACAGAGGGGTACAGATGTTTGTGCGTGTGGGCAACCTAAGGGACTCTTCAGAGAAACACAACTTACACCTCAGTCATACATACATGTATATTTCATTCGATTGTTACAAAGTTATAAAATTGAAAATATATATATAGTAGGTATATAAAAAAAAGATCAAAGCCGAGCAGATGTTGCTATTAGCCTCTTCGTCAGCAATCCTGCAGATTGTCTGCACACCAGCCCGAGTCGGCTAGTACGTCGTTTGCCTCACAAATTGATGGTGACGGCCAATGGCGGTCCCTACATGTAGGTTCTGATTAGGTATTTATATTAATGAAATCAACAATATTACGTGACCATGGAGTGAGGCTGACAGCTTGCTTGTGAGCCGCGTGACTGGTTGCCAGTGTATCGGATTTTACTTAGGAGCTCAATTACAGAAGGCCACAAACAAAAGAGCACGCCGTCTGAGAAGTATCTTTTGACCTGAAATCTGGAGCCCTACGAATGAATACACACACTCTTATAATCGTTCAGATACCAGAAACAAATGACTACAAAAAAATAAGATTAACTTACCACTGAAGTAGGTATTTAGGACACAGAATTTACTGAAAATGGATAAACAGACAGTCAAAATGCTACTTCAGATCGGAAGACTAGAATCACCAGAGTGTCCCTTGCGGCTGAAAGTCGGACTTATATATGCTCGGTTTGTGAAACTTCTAGAAAGAGACCCTTCTCTGTTTAGTCATGAATGGGAACTCAATCGAATTCACATTATCATTGAGGTTAACTCGACTCAATTGAATGGTACCCGCTTCCTACCATATCAGGACACATTTAACACCAATATAATTTGACAGGATAAATTATTACTACTACATACCGAAAAAAACACGCAATCTAGTGGTCCGATGGCGGACGAAGAGACATCAATACTATAGTTATAATCTACTTCGGATAAGCCAACTATAACCTGCAGCGAAATAAGTGCGACGCTGGGGCGACAGGTGTGACTGTTGACAACTCCGTATGCAATACAAATATGTTAGATAAATAACTGTTACAACCGCAACCAGTATTAGACATCGACATATCGAGCAAATTTCAGTTTCGGGATCACTGAGGGTAAGGTCAAATGTCCACAACTTTTCGCCATCGTTCCACACGCATAACGTTCATTCGCATCACTTGGATAATTTAGAGACACTTTTTGCTTTGCACAACCAACCTGTGGAACAAGTTATCGTCTGCGGTATTTCCGGACTGATACGACCTTCAAAACTTCAAGAAAAGAGATAACTCCCTCCTCAAAGGGGCAACGCGCTTGTGACTCCTGAGTTGCGGGCGGCAGTAGTCACTTTCCATCAGGTGCCCCGTCTGCTCGTTTGCCCGCTCTTCCATAAAAAAAGGGTCTAATCATTGATGTATTATAAAACACTCAAAATTTTGCAACAGGTCAATTCCTTTCAATAAAAATACAACTTCTATAATTAAGTTACTAACTGATCTATTCAAAAGATAACGTGAGACAAAATCAAGGCAAAGGGTGCAAATAGTTAAAAGCCCTCCCGCCAGGGTTTTCATCCGCTTTTAAACCCGTTCTTCCAAAAAACCCAATGGGTTTAAATCCTCTGCCCATCTATAGTTAACCACACCATACCATACCATTTAGTTAAAAAATATTGCAAAACAACCTTAAGAGGTAAATTTACTTAAATGGTGCGACATGACAAACTACGACATTATTCATATACAAAATATAGAGTAGATATCAAATTAGAGTATAATTTTTTTGGAAAGTCCATAGTTCTACGCTATGATCTGCTGAATCGCATCATTGAAAATAATGTTGATTATTTTGATTATATGATCCATATTTGTTTGTTTGGTAAATAAAGCGTTTTGATGAAATAAATAAATTACTGTTGTTATTAATTACATATTTTTAGAAAAATTAAGAAAAAATAGAATACTAATGATTTCTCAAGAAAAAGATGTTTCATTTATTATAACATTAGACTTTCGATATTTTTACCATTAGTATTGAAATTTAACAGCATCGACTTATATCGCACATCCCTAAAAAAAACCATATGTCAGTGTTTGTCAACTTGGTTAATCGTGTTATATTTGCGGCGTTTTGAATTATATTTGTTTTAAAAGTACCAGTACCTGTACATTAACAATATTTGTACTTTAGAACATAATAAGTGTTAACCCGTAGTATACTACAATGTCTGCAGATATATCAGAGGTTCAGCTGCAAGTTCGTTTTATAACCAAACAAGAGCAGTAAGTGTAATTTCTCACCACACGGCATGGCTTTCATCAATCGTTTAAACTATTTATGGTTAATTTGTCTTTAGGTATGCAGTTCCAGATAGTCCGTATGCTATTCAAAGTAATGTCCAGTCGTCGGAATTGAACACTTTAATCAACGCGTTGTTGAAAGAAAGCAGCGCGGCGGTAGAAAAAGCAGTTGAGTTTGATTTCTTGGTGTGCGGAGAGTTACTATGTACGTCACTATCAGAGCATTTACAAGAGAAGGCCGTTTCTACAGAGGAAACCATAGAAATTGAATATCTTGAGCGGTTTCCTGCACCTGCACCACAGGATTGTTTGATGCACGATGATTGGGTGTCGACAGTGCAAGCACATCAGAATTGGTAAGCAAATAATGTTTTATGAAAGTTATTAGTAACACCCTTCAGTCATACGCTATATTACAGACCATTCATTTGGGAAAAAGAATTTATTGATAAAATTTATACTCCCAATTGTTGACACTTGGTGGAACTTGTTAAAATAAATTACAAATTAAAGTTCAAGTGAGTACAAGTTTCATAATTTTTTATTGATGTGACAATATTCGTGACCACCTTCAGGCGTAGTAGGCGACCATATGATGGACTAAGTTGTTTTAAGTCAAGATAATAGCATTTCTAGAAGTTTCATTAACAAACAAAAAAATCTTATGCGTTTTTATACAGTTGTTAAATAAGAATTTACATAGTTTAAAAAAAATGATTTATCATAGCACCAAAAAAAAAGGTTATATGCGAGACGATTTAGTGGTGTGGTTTATTGATGATTTAAAAACAAAAAGTTTGTCCTTATTTCATATTTTACATGCAAGTTTTTACTGTTTATACCATTAGAATTGGGCATAAAAAGTAGACAATATTATAAACTATTAAAAAAAAAATAAAGGTCTAAAAAAAATAGCACACAGAAAAAAAAGAAAAGGATGACGCCATAAAATTAAATGACACAAATATAAGGGAATAAGAGAAAATGGTAGACTGTATCAGATCCTTTGGACTAGAATTCAAGATTGACTTAAGGGGACCAGATCCTGTACTTGGTATAAAAGGCAAAAGCGGGTTAAAGAGGGCTTTTGGCCATAGCAAGACCATGGTACGAAGAATCTCTTCAAAGATCCCGAATAGACCGGGACAAACCTGGTTTTTGCACAACTGAAAACTTCGTGAAGTCAGTAGTCAGAAACTTTCTATTGAAACCAAAAAATGTAAATAATTTATATTTTATTTGGAAAATGTAAATAAATATGAGAAAAACACTACACCATAAATACTACTAAATATAACCACCTATACATAAATAAAAATCACAATATAAAATACACCAATAACACAAAATATTATACTCTATATTCTAAAAGGCAATATTAATTACATTTTAAGATCAATTATAATTATTTTATTGGTGTATTTATCATATTACAATAGTAGTCGCAAACCAGCTCACTGGTGGTCGTAAACTGATGAAAGTGGTTGTTAACGGGCTATATTTGCACTTTCTCAGCATTTTATAATAATTTATGGATGAAGGTATTTCATTTTGTTTCATAGCAAACTAGACTATACTTGTGGTGTATATCTATACTTGTGGACTATACCGTGTGGTGACGAATTAAGAACACGGAATGTCACCACCCCTATTCATCCCGTGGGTGTCGTAAGAGCTGACTAAGGGAAGCAGAGTATGCAGGATAACAGCACTGCAAAGAGAAGGAAAACTTGAAACAAACCCAGTACCAATCCGTCTGGCCTGGTGTCTGGCACAGTGTGGTATAGTAGGCCATAACCTCCTTTCTAAGGAGAGGCTTATGTCCAGCAGTGGACTATTATAGGCTGTTGATGTGAGACTAAACTTGGGACCAATTTGCACTAACACACCATATTGTTTATAGAAAATATTTTTTTTACCGTGGCAATGACCCTAGAATATAATCAATAAATCCGTAATTTATTTATTTTATTTTGTTCAGAAACCATACAGTGTATATAGCAAAGGACACAATATGTGTATGTGTGTAATATAACAGTATGCACCATTTACGTGTTTTCACAGAAATACTTTTTATTTTTTAAGATAACTATAAGCCCAAAGGTTTTATTTAAACTGAATTGCTATAAAAGCTATCTAACAATGTAAACTTTCAGGATACTGTCTGGAAGCTATGACAACAGTCTTCATATTTGGAGTACCAAAGGCCAACATAAGCTTGCCATCCCTGGACACACATCGCCAGTTAAAGCTGTTTGTTGGGTATCTTTCAATGGGGATCAAGCAGTATTTGCTAGGTAATTATTGTTATACAAAAATGAATATGGCTAAGAAATATTTGTGTTGCATTATTTTGAACTTAAAAATGCATAGTTACACAAATGAGTCAATCAATATGATAATTGTATTTAATTGCTTGACACCATATCAAAACAATACATTTCAGTTAATAGGTAGGTGTACTTCTGTATGTAACTTTTTAAACATGTAAATTATTTGATCATATATATTTGTCAAAATTCTCATAAAATATTTTATTTTAAGAAACTTTTGTTAAAAAAAATATAACCATTAGCAATTTTCAGTGGTTCCCATGATCAGTCAGCTATGTTGTGGATTTGGAACGTGGCTCGAAACTCTGTGGATTGTGTGGTGACATGTCGTGGTCACGACAAAGGAGTAGAATGTCTTGCAGTCTCAGCAGATGCTACCCGTTTTGTAACTGGCAGTTGGGACAACAACATATGTCTATGGAGTGCTAGTAAGTTTTAGACTTCTAGTTTTAAATATAATATGTCTAAAAAAAATGCATTAAAATGGACCGATTAGTCCTGTCCCTAATATTTCCAAAGTCAATGTCTAAAAGAACTTTAACTAAACTACAAATAATAAATAAGCCATTGTTGAATCACTCACTCTACAAGAATTTTGATACAAATAATAAATAAGCCATTGTTGAATCACTCACTCTACAAGAATTTTGATACAAATAATAAATAATCCATTGTTGAATCACTCACTCTAAAATAACTTTGTATATTATTTCACTTTTTCTGTGTAGAAAGTAATTCTTCTGTATAAATAATTCTGTGTACAAAGCCTGCAATTTTCTAGATGTGAGCTCAATGCTCACAGGACAGGTTGTAAAATTAACGTTGTTTATCATGTGTTACCATTTATTCAACCCAATAATCCAGGCACATCCAGGGATGCTAAGAAGTGCATAGAAATGTACCTAACATCCAGTAAAAGATCAAGAAGAAAGAAGAGATCAAAAGCTAGTAACATGTTTACTAGTATAAAATAAAGTCGCTTTTTTTTTGTTGTATGCTTAGATCTTGTAAACTAAACAAAAAGCAATAGTGACTCCCGAGTTGCAGGCGTTCATGGGCGGAGGTAGTCGCTTTCCATCAGGTGACCTGTCTGCTCGTTTGCCCCCTATTCCATAAAAAAAAAACACTTTGTAAACGCTGGCTAATCCTTACGAAATAAATCAAAATAATGTACTATGTCTTAGTCTTATATCTTAAAAAGATCTACAAAAAAGTCCGGGATGGTATATGTCTATCTGCCAAGGATAACCCACAGTAACCATTTTTATCTTTTAATATTACAAAACAATATGTTATTATTCCTTATTAGAATTGATAATTGATCTATCTCAAGGTTTAGCCAGTGTTTGCAATGTAAGCGCACCAAAACATATTTTTTAAGACTACATTACTAATATTTAAAATTCTCGAATTTCTTCTACTATAATGTGCATGTATTATACATATAAACTCTCTATTAAAACCCGTTGCAACCGCATTAAAACTCGTTGCTTAGTTCGAAAGATCCAAGCGTACAAGAAAATTACTCCACACTGACACCACATTAGTAGTATCTACATTGCACCCGTGCGAAGCCGGGGCGGATCATTAGTGTAAAATAAAAAGTGGAAAATTAATATTTTAATATTTTTAAGGTTTATCAGATGAAGACAACGTCCCATCTAAGAAAAGAAGTAAACCAGAACATGGGAACTCAAGAGAGCCTCTTTCTACATTAAAAGGTCACAGAGAGGCAGTTTCAGGAGTACAATGGATGGATTTCAATACAGTACTCTCTAGTGGGTGGGACCACTTGTTGAAAATATGGGACTGTGAATTAGGCGGTATCAAGCAAGATGTTGCTGGTAAATATAAAATTATTTGTTTTGGAAACAGCAATTTTATTACTTTTAAATTGGAAATTAAGATATGATAGCATTTAGCTGTTGTGAGTGTAAAATAAATTTATTAATAGTAATTTAGTAATTACATAATAGTCGTAATAAAAGTATTACCAAAAACTCATGATATTAGTAAGATTAATTCTCAACAATTAATTTTTATTTTCAGGTAACAAGGCGTTCTTTGATGCGAATTGGTCACCATTAAATAATAGCATCATAACGGCATCTGCAGACAGACACATTAGATTGTACGACCCTAGATCAACAGGTAATTAATACCTTTAACTTTTTCTACTAAGAATGTGATGCAATATCTTAGACATAGCAGTCTTAGTGTTCCTCTTCAGTTGTATAAAAAGTCAAATTCAATTTATATAAACCTTTTTCTGCATGGCTAGCTTCACTCCACATTAGATTAGATCTCTTGTTTGAATAAAATACCATCGACTCCTATCAGATTTTTTACAAAGAGGAAGTCTTACTAAAATTTATGCTTTAGGATGTTGGTAAACTAATTTCTTCTATACTATTTTGTTGCTATGTACTGGTAATGTACTCTTGTAACACAAGTTTGGCTGCGGCAGGCTTCTCTAGATATTTAATAGATAAACTTGCTTATGTTACCCCTAAATATAAAATCAGCTCTGGAAAATATATGTAATTGAAACAAATAATTGCTGTGGAATACGGGTTTAGAATAACTCAGGGAAGCCCAAAGGGACCGAAATTTAGGGTCGAAATCGGTTTCCCAGGGGTCGACATAAATGAAAACTGATTTTGGAAACACAAGTTCTCATTTGCAACTTTCAAGATACTGTATTAGTTGTGTTACGTGTACCACCTTGTTATAAGAATGACAAATATTTTAGTAGGAAGTATCATTGTTTTACGTTTAAAAAACTCAACAAGTCGATAAGCGTGCAGTAATTTGGCTACGGGGGTCTGAGGTATCGGTCATTTAAAAAAGGGGTCTCTTGTCTAAAATAGTTTAAGAATCCCTGAAATAACCATTTGAGAGCCATGCTTCGGCACAAATGGGCCGTCTCGACCGGAGTGATACCACAGCCCCAAAGAAAACTATAGTAAAGCAATTATTTCGTTGGTTTTCACTTACTAATGACTATTAAAATACTTTTTTTGGAGTTTACTCCTAAAGAATCGATTTTCATAAAAGGCGCCCGATATGAAATAATACGAACATTAAAAAGTGATCGAATGACCTCGTTACGTTTTTTGTGCACAACTTATCGTGTAAAACTTGTATACTTTAGTGGAGCCGAATCGTTCTTAAAGAGTGAACTAGAGTCGTGCCTCGGAGCTGATATACACTTTTTCATTCTTTTGGAATTCCATTGTCTCCATAAACTATGACAAACAGCAACCGTTCTATACAAACTAAATGAGGGAAAAAAATTAAGTGTTATTGTTTTAAGAACAAGGATTTGTACTGGTTGCAATAGGAGACTCGGCGGTGTCTTGCTCGATTTTAGTGAATTTAATAATCAGTTGATTTTGTAGCACACTAACGGTATTACAATTCAAAAAGTGAATTGTTCTTTCGTTTACCCAATTACAATGAAACTGCAAGTGAGCATTGCCGCCCATGTCAGACTCTTGTCAACGATTACAACCTTTTTGTTCCAGAAAGCATCGTCAAGACAACATTCACGTCTCACACAGGATGGGTGCAGTCCGTGCGCTGGTCCACGACGCGAGACACTTTATTCTTGTCTGCTGGTTACGACGGACAAGTCAAACTATGGGAGACTAGAAGGTTCGTAATGTCTAAGTTACTACCATATCCTTGACATTGACCCACAAGAACTTAAGCCCCACAAGGTTCCAAGCTTTAGCGTAAAACAATAATTTCTTGGAACCTGATTGGTCAGGGGGCGGGGCTTGATGGATGCGTCACTTTTTCCTTAACGTAAATGGACTAGTGTTATATTTTTCCAGTCCATTACAGTTTCTTGTATATTAGTTTTGCTTTTGCTCAATGGCTTTCAATATAGATGACGCTCATCCTTTAGAGTACTTTAGACTTTAATTAAATTCATAACTTTCGCTAATGTCATCAAATCTAAACGCCTAACATCAAATGGGCTGTATGCTTTTTTGCCAATTTACTTGTGTGAGTAAGTGTGTGTGTAAGATAGTACAAGCAGATTCAATCTCGTATTGCATTAAATAACAGTTGCCCCTGTAATATAAACCAGCTAGTGACTACCTACTCTTCTAAAAGCGTGGCACAAGAATTGTAGTGCGAAACATTGACCTCAGTTCCAAAAGCGATGATGGTTGTACTATGGAAAATTAAAATATCCACCATCTTGATTATGATTAAACTTAAAGCTAAACCTATTACTGCCTTTAGTTCTACTAAGCATTAAGAAGACACATTTTATATCCTTATATCCAATGTTTCGAATGCCTTTGAATGAATTGAGTCTATGAATTCTTTAAATATATTTTTTTTTTTATTTTCGACCATGTCGATATACTGTAGTAAACAGTTTATACTATTACCAAATATAAGTGATCGACTTTTCAAAATTAAAATGAAATAATGAATATATTTCAGCCCCCGCACGCCACTCTACGACTTGAGCGGTCACGAAGACAAAGTACTGTGCTGCGATTGGTCAAACCCTGCTCTCCTCGTCAGCGGTTCCAGTGATAACACGCTAAGAATTTTCAAAGCCAAACACTATGGCACTGCGTGAATGTTTTATTTATAAAATACGTACTAAATGTACCTACTACTGTTACTGATTAATTTACGAGAACATTTTTTATCTCAACATTTACAAAAAATCCTTCAACGGTGTATGTTATTTAGATACATAGTTTTATTAGACAATAAGGCCTATCATTAATTAAATAAATAAGTTAAAGCATACTTTTCTTTTCAAACTTGCTCTCCATAGGTAAACTATCCTGCAAGGTTTAAGTGAACACATGACAGAAATAATCCCACTGATGTTGCCAAAAAGAAACCGGCTTTACTCACCTTCTGATAAATATGTTCTGTAGCTTGGATGCACTTCTGCATTTCTCGTTTTTTTCTTTTATATTTAAAAAAACAACTGTACTAGGAATATATCCAGCGTCGAGGGGGACTTTACATACATTTATGAAACGGACACAAAGAACACCCAGAGTCAGAACAACAAATTGTGGATCACACAAGGCGTTGTCCTATGTGGGGAGCGAACCCACAGCACTGAGCGCAACGGCGAGGAGACTGTTTGAACTACTACATAATCTGTGCAGAGAAGGCAATCAGTAGTAGTAATGTTCAGGACTTTTAGGGAATGGTAAGGTATTACAGAAAGAAAATAATGTACTAAATTTGGTTTCGCTTGTTTTATTTCAATCATTTCGCTCTTACAAAATATGTTCAATGCAAAGGAACATGACTTGTCACAATAAAACATGCTTCTTAGTACCATTTTGATTTATTTATATTATATTTTAGTTTCCATTCAGCATAACTATAAATAATGCGGGTCACATAAAATGCTCATAGCACAATATAGAAACTTGCAAACACTTTGTAACAAAATAGATACATAACTTTCCTCTTTGTCTTTTCTCTGCGAGAAATGCTTTTACACTATTATCATAGTTATGCCAAACCTCACGTAACACAACGAAGCAACATGTCCCTTAAAAATAATCTGTCTTACCAACAATTTCATTTCATTTTTTTTTACATTTTATGAAGTTTTTATTTTTGCATTCATAATTCTATAATACTACCTAACTAAATATTTACCTATACTATGCTACTGTCTAGACTAGTCTGCTGGGTAGAACACCACACTATATTAATACACATTGGACAAATACATTCGTATCGACACTTCCGTTTTTTTTTCATTTAATTTTCTTTCTTTACACTTAATCAACTACATAACGAAAGAGGTGAAAGCAAACGTTGTTCAACTGAAACTTATCAAGAAGGTGTTCACTATTCTCTTAGACGTCCTTACGCTAGGGGTGAGGCGACGCGCGTGCGCTGCGTGCCGGCTTCAGTCCATTCAAATTAAATTATTTAATAAACTAACAAAGGAAACTACCCTAAGGCCGGCAAGAAGCGCGCGAGCCCCGCATCGCCCGCACAAATATATTAAATCTAAGGCTCTAATCTATCTATCTTACTGTCGAAACATTGTTTTCTATTCTAACCTATCTATAATTAAGCCTAAGTCTTAATCCTAGCCGTCATTCGTTTTCGCGCCGTAGCTTCACTTTTCACTGTATCGACGTTCCTTGCGTTCACTTAGAATTAAATGACTTATTTTAAAAACATCTACTTAACATTTCTATTCTTCGACATGGTTTTCTGTTGAAACAGTTTTGGTTTTCAAGACTTGGTTCTCTAATTCGCATCTTTGTGCTCACTTACGTTTGTTCTCACTACATAAGTTGAAGTATAACAAATCATCGTCCGTAATCTCATAGTATCTTATCACACATGCCAAGAAGGATAAAGTGAGTTAACTAGGAACATCTACGATTCATGTCGAGTTCAATTTACACCATGTGTGAAAAAATGCAACGATTAGACAGCCACATTATCTCTTTTAAGTTGTTAATACAAAATATTTTATATTATCACTACGTTTATGAATACGGTAAGTTCTCTATTACCTGTAAAAATATTGTGTAAAGCACATGCAATTGCTATATTGTATTAACATTATCTGTTACTTTTAAGGAAGCTGAAGGCACTACCATGAAATCAATTATTGCTTTCAAACTGGAAGAAAAGCATTAGAAAAATAATTTGATGCTAAAATACGTTTGCTCTCGACGGTGTTATTCTAAACAGGACCGTGCCACGCTATATACTACAAGTCACTTAGATCAATACTTAAAGTGTGCTCGTTTTGGTACGTCTCACTATTCTAAAAAATATATACGCTTTATATAACCAATTTCCGGAAACAACGACTTGTTCATTAATGTAGATCGAAACGTTAGAGCGAGGTAACCATAAACACAAAAACGGTACGTTTAAACCAAGGCTCGGGTGATTTTCATACACGTGAAAGGAATTAATTTAATACGTCGACATCAATTTTAAATGCAAAGTTAGCGGCAATATCTATCGGAAGACTGCATTTACAGGAAGCCACAGTGTACGTGGAACACTAAACGATCAATACTTAACTAAGTACCACGCGACATTGGTACTACATTGCACTTTGTGGTTATTAAATTTTCACAGGCGGCTATCATCAGTACAAAATATTTGGCTTGATTAGATATCGTACATGTACGACACTGATCTACGGAGTATTTATGTTTCAGTACGTTTTACTCGCAGGTTATACTAATAAAAATCTCACTTTTCATTAGACTTTGTGACGTGAGTTTCTGTCGACAAACCGATTGTGTTCAACTCATTGCGATCGTAATTAGGTACAGTGAGGCAGTCAGCTAATATAACTACTATCTGGGGCTATGTGCTTGCGTTAGTCATCTCGAGTATACCGACCGGCGCGCGATTATGCCTCTACGTGATAGATGTTTAGTACTAAGTTACAAGGCCGTAACTATTGAAAAATCTCTTGAGCTAATGTATGTACATTTCAAAAAGTAATTCATTAGGGAACAACAGTACATATTCAGCCTTTTCTGAAAAGAATGAGTCAAGTCAACAAACGAAACACAGATCTACTTATTCGTTCAAAATCTACGTTATTCATTCAAAACCTGCCGTTAGCTAGTCTCAGTACCTGTATTGTTTTATTAAGTCGGTTCACAGGTTTTGAATAAAGAGGTTACCGCTTAATTGTCAGTTTAAAATACAGTTAATATATCAAACATTTATCTAGTCTTCAGTCCCTGAGTTGTATAAATATTTTCCTACACCTTACTCGACTTTAATGATTTGTATACTTTGGTTCTGATGAAACTCTTGCCGTGCCAAAATAGAATTAAACAGTTGCGATATAGTAGGCTTTTACTCGTACCCATCAACAATGTATATACATGTATACATATCCATGTATAATTTATATATATTCAATATAAAAATATCAAATTTCATATAAAGTCATAAAGTGTACCCAAAACCTACGTGATGGTACAAAAAGTGCTCAATAACACCAAAACGGTGTTTACATTTTGGATTTGAAATCCATTTATATTTTATAATGTGGAAATCAATCGTGGAATTTTTGTTTGAAGTTTTCTAGTGGAATGTGCCGACCGCCTACAAAATAACAACTACAGTTGATTCAGTACATGATTCTCAAAAAAGGATCATTATTATTCATGTGTTTTCAACGTACAAAAATTTGTATAGACTCGTAAAATGTAAAAATAGACTTTACATACAACTGCTTATTGCTAAATGTTGCCGTATTATCAGCACTGTTGTGCCACATAAGCGCAGACGTCGTCGTTGGAAGTCATTTACCCATCCAGTAGTCGAGGTACACGGTCTTTAGGCTCGCGGCCACCGTAGCACCGATATTAGCGTCTACGTACATATACGCTAAGTAGTACATATGCAGTCCCTTATGAACCAAAACATGGATCAGAAATATTTGGAAGTTAACAGTAGGTATACATAAATTCAGTCTGTGTTCGGGTTTGGCAACAACGTTATTGTTATTGAACAGTTTGTTTCAAACTTGCACTTGATACATACACATAATAATAAAAACAAAACAGATAATCCTATTTGTGATGAGAGAATACGATTCTAGAAAAGAAATACAATTTTACGTACCTCTTTTAAATATCAAATTTGTTCGGTGAGTTTGTAATGTTTCATTAAGAGTAATTTCACTTTTAGCCGATTGCCACGTACGTGGCGCTCTCTTGTTTAATAAGCCGTACTAAATGAACATCGCGATCTTTGGAAGACTGCATAAGTATGAATATTTATTCTGATAAGTAATACTGTTTTTATATATATATATATATATATATATTCATACAAATATTGAGGGAACATAATAAGTAAGAGCACCATGCAAACGTTTTCTAAAATGTCCTAACTCCACACTCGCGACGGTGCGGTGGTTTCGGGGCAGAGGATGGAGCTATCTGCCCCTGAAGTCTCCTGCAATAAACTCATTATACTTTTACTATTTAGAGCTGCCCGAATTTATTTTTCCGAATATAATAATGACGTAACGACTGTATTTTAAAAATACTTACACATCATCGGAAGATTCTAAATCTCCGGCACTTTATCGTACAAGATCTAATAGGTGAACCCACCATTACTAACCCTTACACACATAATCTTTCATTATTCTTTACATTTTTGTTAATATTTTTGAATCCATGATATGACCATTTCTCCTTATCCTTCTATCCGACTCTCTCAGATATTGCTCTCCTCATATACTCCGATGTAACGTAAATATAATTTAAATCAAATGACACAAATGATAAATGTACAAATTTCAATTTCATATATATAAATATATACTTTGAATGAATATTGTGAATCGATTGCACCATTTGTTTGATTTCAGTGATGTTTATAGACCGACCGTCAGAAACAACCAGTAACATAACGGATATGACACTAGCAATCAAATGATATAAAATACACCGATTTTGCTGCACCGAGGACAAGTTTAATTTGCCATGTCATGCATGAAAACACTAAGCTAAAATAAATACCTAACTATCTTAAATAATCTTGTCAACATGTACGAAATCTGCGCCTAAAATCTTAATGAATTTTCATAAAACAATAATAAAATTATAATGCAAAACACTTTTAAAATTGCAACTATACTTATACATCAAATCCTCTCTTCGAACCGTGAAAAGACCTCATCAAAACATCACAGCAAATCGAACGTCCAGCATAAAGCTAAGAGGACCAGCCAAATACGAAGCCCATCGAGAAAATAAATAGTCGAGGCGATCAAGTAGGCTTAACAACTAGTAGAAGGAGACGCCGCCGGCACAAGGGTACCGCGCGAGCGGAGTTTTCGATGAAGTCTATAACGGCCGCAAATTAAAACTAAAACAAATTAACATTTTAAAAAGTCACAGTTGCTTTGATTTTTGGCTCGTGTACAGCACGTAGTGTTGTAGCGTGGCTTACTGTCTACTTGGGAGGCGGGTACGTCTGGTAGGCCTCGTCAGGCGATGCCGCCGTCGACGCGTGCTCGCTTTCCATCGGCATCTGGATAATTGGCGGAGTCGGGCCCGCGAAGTACTGGTACGGTGGCGACGTGAAATACTGCAACACAACGACCACCGATCTTAAAATCTTATATAGAAACTGGTTATGTTCCCACGATTATTACTGTTTTAACATTGATGTATGAGTGGTCAAGTATCGTATTTCCAATTAAGTATTTCTCTTTTATTAGCATATTATGGAGGTTACAACATCAGGCACTTGAGTTTCATGTAGCAGTTGCAGCGTTTTGTGTGGCGAAGGAAGCAAGAGGAGCGCTAAGTGAGCGGTGGTAAGCAATGGGACACAGAAGGTTAGAGCGTTCGTACAATTTTTACTTTATGACTCACGTATAACTCATTTTCCGGCCTTAAGCTGTCCCAGTTTACCTGGAAAACAGAGAATTACTATCAGTCATTCGTGTTGTTTTTGACTGAATTCTCGTGTGAACTGCTACTGAATAGTAAACCTAGGCCATCACTTTTATCAGTCACATTCTATTGACCGGATATTTTTGTAAGCCATCGAGCGCTGATGTGTTGTCTTGGCGTGAATTCTAAGATGACATTAACCACTGCACTTCTTGTGTCTTAATTGATCCCAGAAATAGGTAGTGCCAGACGTGACTTACATATTGGCTAGGTACAGCATCGATGGGTATGTGTGGGTGCGCCGGGTGAGTTGCATGATGCGCAGGGTGCGCAGGCGGTATGAGCGCCGCATAGGGTGCCAGCCAGGTGGCGGGGTGCGCAGCATGGTGATGATGATGCAGCTGCGGGTGATGGTGGAAGGCTGCCACGCCGTAGACGTTGCCGCCCCCGCGGTACACGCCTGCGCATTCTCCACCTGCGCCGGCACCGCCTACGCCACTTGCGTATACGCCACTAACCGCCATCGCAGCCTGCAACATTTCGAACTTTTTTTGTTATACTTACGTTGTAAATATTCGGAGTTAATGCTGAAAAAAATCAAAACGTAATGCAACTCCTTATATTGAATTGCTTATAGCAATAAGAAAATACTACTTTAAAAAAACGCAAATTTATAGGACTTCAAAAATTTATGGAAAACTGTTAAAACTTTTAATTGACACTTCGTTTTATTTTTTCAACTGTAAATTCTTTGATTGTAGATTGTGTCAACTATGCACATAGTTTGTTTGCAATCATCAACAACGACAAGTTTTCAACCTGCTAATGAAACTTGTATAACTATCGCTACCGGAAGGAAGGTTCTTATGCAAATTTAAACGGCAATGAAGACAGAGTTGTGTGACGCTACTGGTTCATTATTAAACAAAAAGACAGCCCTTTTATTTCATTTGAAATAGAAAATATAGTATATTAAAATTAGTATACATAAATATTTAACTTGTACCCTAGGAAGGAAATCTCTGGTACTATACGGCCACCCCGTCACAGCCTGATATGCGTTTTTCTGGTGGTTTTTTCACAGAAACAGTTGGTTTATGAATATAATGCAGAGTAGCTTGAATACCTGTGTAATGGAGTCGTTATTGTCCCTCCATGCTCTACCGTTGTTGTCGCCTTGTTTATTGTATAACGCCTTCTTTTTGTTACCGCCGTCGGCGAACTTAACTAGAAGAGGCTCCTTGGCTCCCGGAATTGGATTTCCATTAAACATCTGAGTAAGATAAGCTATTTTGTATTTCGTTGCAAAAATAAATTACTTATGTTCATTGAAAAACAAAAAAATAAACAGAACATGCAAGTCTTTTTTGAAATGAAATAATATTTGCCATTTGTCAAAAAGATGCTTACTTGAATGATTTGCTCGCACTTCTCTCTGGATTCCATCCTTGCAAAACCGACTCCTTTGCTTTGTCCGTGGGGGTCGCGCAAGATTCTAGTGGAAACAACCTGCCCAAACTTAGCGAGCAGCTGGTCCACGTCGTTCTCTTTAAAGTGTGGCGGCAAATTTGCCATGTAGAGGTTGGTTGGGTCTTGCTCCTGTTGCTGTAAAATCCCCCAAAGTAGAAGCTGAAGAATTTACTCTTAAATTTTCTCAACATTTACATGAATCATTGTGACCAATATCTGACAGTTGAACTCCACTGTATGTGTAAATAATTATTTGGAATTGTGCTTGGATTTTAAATTAATTAATTAAGAGCTCAGCACATAAAGCTACTGTGGAGGCAAGCAATGTTTTAAGCCCCAAAACCACATTAAAGGCCTTAAAATATGTGCGTTGGTAACTTGGAAAATATTGCGTGGTTTCTGCTTCACCTCCCACAGTAAAGAAAAGCGTCACCAACATTGGAATGTTAATAAGTAACTGCTTTATTTACATGTTTTGCCCGTGTGTGTGTGCAGTCAATGACATCGGCAGATATCACCAATTGCACGTTATTCTTGTTCATTTCCTTCAAGATCTATCCGATTATGTTTTTAAGCGTTAATTTAAAGTGTCTGTGAATTTGTTCCTATAATGTTACAATTAGCTTGAAGCCCGCATAGGTTATCTAGACACTGAAGCCAGCTCTGACGTAAATCAGCAGATTGATCTAATGTACTAAATATTACGGAGGTGTTATCAACGACATGGGCATATACATTAGCATAGAGATTACGAAGCTAGTTAAAATTCGCATACACACTAATTTAATATCGAAAGCATAGAAATACCCGAGCCCAGTAGCGATAATATAATTATACATTGTTATAATTAACGCTGAAGCATACGACAATAGTATAGAATTAATAGGATGACACAATGTCTGAAGTATAGAATTAAGTAAGCGTTATATTGGCATCGATTTGCGAACCATTGAAGGGATAACATACTTACAACACATTAGTGTTACATTGCTCTGTTACGATGAACCACTAATTATCATTTGTGTTGTACCTAAAATTTTCTACACAAATGAATGATTGTGTACTTTAGTGGCTGTATTAATACCGGGTCAATTCAAAATGTTTATTGCCCATATAGTCGATGATCTAAACACAGGACCTACTACTTCATCTATATAATTTAAAACATCTATTTAAACAATAAATTTAGGCGTTATGTTTCTGAAATAAGGATCACATCAAATGTTTCAGTTTATATTACATGGAACAGGATGCTTAGATATGCTACATATGCACGAAATGTCAAATCTAGCGAATGTTATAAGATAGAACGAGACATTAAGGTTTTAATGCTCGGTATTATATGTATGTATTACAGCACTTCTTAGATAGATAACAGGGTAAAGTACTAAAGCTATAAGTAAGGGAAGACGGAATATAGGGATGGATCAATGGAAATGACAACTGTGTAAATGGCACAAAGTCTGTCTGTTGCCTCAATAACGACCAACATAAATTAAATTACGAAAGGCTCAAAAGCGTTGTACGATTTTAACTCCCAATTCTAAGAGGTCCAAGTATAAAATTAAATATTATTTGGGATGGGACAATCTTTACAATAGCGACACATTTAATTTCACAGTTGCCAATCCTACTCTGTTTAATGGCATTTGGATGTTACTGAAGGATTTGGATAAAGGAGTTAAATGTTAGTATCTTAAAGGCGAAGGAGCAGAAATAGTAGACGATGGGATGATAGAGCGGACAAGGAGCAGGCGGTTAGTCATAATAGTATTACTTGCATGCACAACGTACACGGTTCAGTCTACGCAGGAACCAGATACCCACTTTAGCCATCTGGGCCTGAACACCTTTGGCTTGTAATCCTTTAACAGCTGCCTCGGCCGACGCGATCGTTTCAAAATCTACAAAACCGTAACCTGGGAAAACAAAAGTGAAACAAATGTATAATAAAGGGTTACCTTGGCTGATACTGGAAACTTTAAAAAGTATTTGTTTAAATTCATACTTCGATGACATGCTTGGACATATATGTTGTAATATTATATATCTAAAACTTCAACAAAAAAACAACTATGGTACATACACCTGACATAATGAGCGCGAATATATTGCCTACTCGACAGTAGCGTGATGGAAATGTGATTTCGAAAAAGATTAACATCGTGATGAATATAAAAATTTGTGTGCGTATTCATATCGAGGTAATATATCTTTGAATCTTCTGTGCTTAGGTGCAATATGGTGAACATGATAATAAATCTACTAGAAAAAAAGACAGTTACATAAAATAAACATTTATAAATATGAGAATGTCATACATATGATTAAAATTTAATGTATCTAGTGTTCGTGCATATATTGGAAAAAAGTCTCACCATAGATGGATTAGTTTAATGAAGGTAGGTATATGGTATTCTAGAAAATATTAATATTGTTTTAAGTAATTCAATTACGTATAGTCGATAATAATGCAAATCTAATCAAGTAATAAATTGTAAAACAATATTTTAAATACATACGTGAGAACTATGCACAGATTTTTATCTATATTATTAGTTTACGTGTAGGTAATAATAACATTATTACTTCTATAACTGTGTTATAAGAGGACGTACGGGTATGAATGTTGTTTACCTTTACATTTATTCGTATTTTTATCCAATATTGCTTTTGTTGAAATAATGTTGCCATACCTAAAAAACAGAACAGCGATTAAAGCCGGTAATTCGATAATACACATGTTACTCTAGTGCTCGATAATACTTACATCTGGCACATTTGTACGAGGTCCTTATCGGTGGTGTTCTGGCTAAGGCCCCGTATGTAGAGGTTCGTGCGGCTGAGCTGCTCACCCACCGCTCCGGTTGTTGATGCCGATGATGCGGGTGGGGGCGGCGCGGTACTCAAGCTAGTAGAGCGAGTGCCGTTGGCTGAGCCGTTGGACGAGGATGACGACGCCGTATTGGCAGGCGACGCCGCTGTTGGCACTCGTCCACTTGTCGCGCCGCATCCGCCGCCCATACCAGTGCCCGAAAACTGCAATATTAAGGCCTACATTACGCTTTACGATAAATGTCAACATAATGTTATAAATTATTGTTTTCAAATAAAAAATAAATTACTAATTTCTTTCCTTTCGGTGGCAAACAAAATATAAAAAATCCTTTAGATGTTACATTTAAAAAGTTATCTGTGACAGAATATTGCAAAAAGATATTAATTTTTATTAATTTAAGTTTTGGGCGAATAAAAAGAGCAAATTGTCATCTCTGGGTCATACGAAGTTTTATACTATGATTTTTTTGAATTGCTTTAAGCATTCCATTTACTTTAAGCATAATATATTAAGAAAAACAAAGCACAAATTGTTACACAGTTCAAATGTATTGTAGTCGATATAATAATTAAGGTGTGAGCTCATGACTCCCTAAATAATTGATTAAGGACTTGATGAACCCATTCGCATATATGGGGTTGCCAAAGAAAAAAGATAGAAACTTTTTATTAAACTTTTTAATTGGAGTTTTTTTTTTCAAAACATTTATTTCAATAAAAATGATGTGATTATAATCTCATAAAATCGGAAATATTTCTCACAAAATACGACAGAAGACATACTTAATCAATAAGAACTCCTTTCTTGCAGTTAGCAAAATATAAAAGTAAAGTCAGTCAAACAGCGAAATACCTACTGTCAAGTAGCAAGGATAAAGTAATAGAAGAATAAACTAATGATAATAATTTACCCAAATAAGGTCACAATCTGATAGGAAATAATAGGATGATTTAATACTCGCGTAATTAGCGGTCTCCTGTGCTTTGCCGACCCTATTTCGCCACGAAGTTCCAAAGTATCTAATCAACAATAGTTAACAACCGTAAAAGGGCGTAAATTATTTTATATGATTAGTGCATTGTTGTATTATTAAAATTTAAAGGTAGATACCCAATAAATTATGTCAACAACACGAAACATTCAAGAAATTATGTCAGTGTCTGCTCTAATCCCGTGAACAGAGTGAAGCTATAACGTGGAGTCGGGACGATTATTTCCACCCGATCAAAGTGATAATATGAGCGTTCCACACTCGTATTACTTTAGCGAAACGAGCGGAAGGAGAGAAATGTTGCGAGATGGGGAGCCGAACGCGAGCGACTTCATTGAAATAACTGTCCTCAGTGAAACGCGTTAAGTCGTACGCTATTAGTTATCTAGCCGGCGAGTAATGAATAGGGAGGAGTAATGAGCGCATGCCGATTCAGATCACGCACCCTTAATCGACTCGCATGATACCAAGTTAAGAAAAACCAACGGTACGGTACAGATTCCGCGTGTTCTGGCAACACCGCAATTTGTAAATGGATAAACAGTTAGTTTGGATTAACGAGGAGGATCGGATGGAAATATCAATTTGGTTCGATAAACAAGTATTTAACGTGAAAGCGCTAATAGATGTACCGTAAGGATTGCACGCGTCTTAAAACAACCTGCTTTTGAGAGAAAAATCATCCTGATTTCGTGAAGTTTCAAAGATAATACAAAAAAAAAGATTATTGAATAGTTTTACCTTCTTTTGCAAGACATAATAAAATATATAATAAATATAATACGTCAAAATTATGGAGTGTAGAGGCAAGGAGAACTATATCATTTGGAGAGAAAGTTGAAAAAGTATCCAGCTGTATACAGAAAATAGAGGTCGCTGGCGGACGAAAAACTACTATAGCTGAATTTCATGACATGACATCGTTAGTAAAATACTAGTAAAGGGACAAAACCTCAACAATTTACGTGATTTTATTAGTCCATCCTATCCTAATTACTTTTGGCGCTTTCTTTAAAATTTATCATAGGCGACCGCAGTGACATCCTTATTGGACGCGTGTTACGGACACTTTTCATACACAGGGATGGTTCTCCTTGCCTCTATCCTCCATAGTTAAAATCAAAACACATTATACTTATCATAGATTAAATGTAGTAAGATACTTATCTTCGTGATGATCAACTTCACAAAATAGCTAAGCAATTTATTTTTGCGATATGTATTTACATTGTGTTTTGTGAAATTCAGAACAGGCAAAAAAAATAAGATCTAGCCTATATATTAAGATGTTTGTTAGTTAAAACAATAAAAATCATAGCAGTCTCATGTTTAACTTAAACGTTTCAAATATTATAAGTTAGCAAATAACTAAAATGTTGTACTTACTGGTGCCAACGCTGTTGTTCGAAAACTCTCTAAACTAAACTAAAAATCACTAAAAAGACATTTTGGCCTGTCAAATATTGCGTTTGCAGAATAGGAAACGTTGTTTGACAGGACTAAACAATTTTTTTGTGATTTTTAGTTTCGTTTTGAGTTTTCGAACAGCGGAATTAGCACCACTGTCAAAAATACCATTTATATTACATGCAAATTCAGGTTAAAGCAAAAAAACTTCTACTCATAAACATACCTACAATGAACCGAAAGACACTGTTATTAATTACAGCTACATAAGTGTGTACAATATATCTATACAGTTGTGTTATTTGCATTTAGTTAACATATTAATCCCATAAACTGTGTGCCGTTGACGTAACGACTCATCAAGCTTGTACTTACATGTGTGCGCATAATATCCGAGTATGTTCATAAAGTAATTTCTTCACACCCACCCTTTAACAAATAGTTTGTTAATCTGCTAGTTGTCCCCCTATTGACTACTTAAATATTGGTTTTCCTAGTACATAAGTTGACAATTACGCAGTAGGAAAATACTCCGTCTATGTGGAGATATTTACCAAATTATTACAGATGTAGGCAAAAGGGAATAGAATTTCGTAAAACCCCTAAATATGTTATTTTTCTGTTTTCAATTTCAGGCACGTATTTCCGCTGAAGAAGGACTACGTTAAACATTCCAGTGGCATTCCATAAACAAAAATTTACTGATACTGTACTAAAAAATCTAATCATCCAAATATCAACAATTACACTCTTAGAGTCCACACATGTAACACTCTGCTAATAAAAAATCCCTAACATGCTCTTGCTTGTCGCTCGAAAAAACGAATAATATCAGGTACCTCGGTATTCAACTCGATGCAATATTATACTGGAATGGAATGCACAACTAGACCTTCAAGCGGCGTGAACTCGCAAGATGGATTGGAATTATTTTAAAAAATCAGAAATATACTGAAACTAGCTCTATTAAAAACAGTTTATTTTGCGCTAGTTCACTCAGTAATTGATTACTGTATACCGGTTTGGGGTGGAGCATACAAAACAAAATTTTTACTCGTTGAACATGCACAAAGGTCATTACTCAAAGTATTGCTAAGAAAACTCTCGATATCCTACGTCTAATCTACACAGAATGCAATGTTTAAACAGTAAGAAAATTATTTGTTCTGAGTGCTACACTTCGTTAACACATAGATCTTAAATATGACCCAACGACCATGTATTCTTCTGGTAGAAGAAATCCAGCCCTAAAAACTACTAAATAAAAGTACACACTGTTATCTTTAATATGTAAGTCAAATACATAGAGATTAAATGTAACAGTGTGTATACTTTGTGATGGAAAATTAAAGTATTATTATTGCTATTAATAGGAATACTTTAAGCAGTAAATTGGAAATCAAGTGAAATGCATAGGTCTCAAGCAGCAGGTCTCCTGCCTACCTTCGGAATTAATGACTCGCGATTCTTTTTTAAATAGGACCTAAAAATGATAATCACGTCAACTGGGTTATATTGTTTGGCCAGGATCGGTTAATCGTAGCCTAATACATATATTTTAATAAAATGTTGACTTGTTAAAAATTAAACCGGCTATTAATTACTGTCATTCTTTTGTGGGGTTGTTTATAAAATAAACCTACATGTCAAATAGGCTTTTATTAAATGTCAAATCGTTTTTATTCAATTGTAAACCTTTCAAAAGGACATTTAAAACATACGAGATGACATTTTCCCAAAAGCACTTGGATTCGTAATCCAATTGGTATCTTGGGTAGTAGATGAGGGTAATTGGACCAATTTGTGTTAACTGCCGGAACGACCACCGCTGCGATACATACGCCAACATAAAAATAAATTAGCAAAATACGTGGTTAATAAGTTCACGCTATCGTCACCACTCAATAAAAAATATACGTGTAAATAAACGGGTTTTTGTGTTTTTATAACCATTGCCATAGGCCATTTTAAATGTCAGAATTAATAAACAGATACAATAGTCATAATTATCTTAAGATTATGCGCAGCTGTTGTAAATTCGATTAAAAATGGGTCTTGGGGATTAGATGTTTTAATGAATGCTTTATGATTTTCAGCATAACTATGTTATAAATAGATTGGTAATATTTCAAAATATTAATGAGAAAATCTACCAATATCTCTATGTACCAACATTTACAAACGCACGAAGAAATTTGTGCATCTTATAGAATGGTTACCTTAGCATTACTTATTAGTAGACTAAGATCGAAGTGAACTAATCTAAATTTTCTTCTTCTTTCTTACTGACTAATAATACTAAGTAGTTATTATTGCATAAAGGTATGTGATAACTTATTTGTTTACAATCCAATAAATACCTATCCAATAACTCATCACGATAAATAATGTAACAAAGAACGTAAGAGGGACATCAATACGATTACAATTGATTATGCTCATAACAGTCTCTTCTAATACTTAGACACATGTAATTGGCGCAGTAAAAGACGTAATGATCGCTATTAACAAGACGGTATTTAATTGGCAGTTAAAATACAAAATGTCCGATTACTGCAATTAAAACTGTGTAGTCTAAAACGAGTTCACATCATGTCGGCCACCTGTGCAATTTACTCAATTTAACTTTATTATCTGCTCGACATTTTGGATGTATAATTAAGTGAGCCCGACCAGTATCCTCGCGGGACGTAGCAAAGTTTTGTTTCACCGGGGTCAATTGATTTGGTCAATGGTTAGAGTTTGTTTACGAAAACTCAGCTGACGTAACTGTCAAGCAGATTTAAAGCGAATAAACTATAT